AGACATTTCTTATCTGCAAACCAAAAAATATACGAGTATTAACACTTTTTAAGTCTTCTTAATATCGTTCGTTCGTTTCAGCCAAATGACGTCCACTGCTGGACAAAGGCCTCCTCCAAGGATTTCCATAACGAACGGTCCTGCGCTGCCCGCATCTGGGCGGGGCACATAGCTCGTAGAGACGATGGATAATAACCACGAGCGTGGGCACGCCTCCCACAAGTTGGACCGACGATCTGGTGAAGGTTGCCGGAAGAATCTAATGTGCTTTTGCTTACTGCCATTTCAGCGTGCTAATCCGTCGGGCTATGTCAGCGACTTTAGTTCGTTTACGGATCTCCTCATTTCTGATTAGATCTCGTAAAGAAACACCGAGCATAGTCCTCTCGAGTTGTGACGGCGCAATTTTGATACGATGATGAAATAATAAAAATTATGAATCATATTCGATTTACAGGATACAGGACTTAAACTGCTGTGATAGAGATTATAGATACAAAAAATCACTATCATTGTTTTAGTTATTCAAAATCAAAATTATTTATTCAGTTTAGACCACAAGTGGCACTTATGAACGTCAAATGTAAAAAAGAAAAGGTAGCCCTTAATGGGGCACTTTACATGTCTCCTTATATTAAAAGAGATTATTTCCACCGTTTCAAATCCTGAGTAGCCAGGATCTGCAGCTAAACCGAGAATAAAAACCTAACAAGTACCTACCTAAGGTCATAGTTAGACCCGAGGGAAAGTTTAACCGTTATTGGACCCGCAACGCAATTAATCAGAAGAAAATGAAGTTCGCAGTGAGGGTCGATCCTTCCAGTTAGTTTAGTTACTAAACTTTGAACTAAATAAGTTAATAGAGAATGTTTAGAATAAAACGAACTAGCTATGTTATAACTAATTTTGTGAAAAGATTGATAAGTACTGCGATTCCTTTTGGCGCCGAATTGGCCTATCAAGCCGTGTAATAAAGAACGTTAGGTATTTATTTATTTTTTATTTTATTTTATTTTATTCGGATAACCAACAGCAATACAATACAAATAATGGGACCTTAAATTATGTATCTGCTTAGCCATTTATAGGTAATCGCAAATGGAAGTTAAGATGCAAATAGACCATATGCCATAGCAGACATTAAAAGAATCCTATCCTATGCGATCCCTATGCTCGTATAGAGTGTAGTAAGTGTATTTTACCACTTTTTAATTTAAATAATTTTTAAATCTTACAACGAGAGTTCATTAGACCATGAAAAATACTCCTATAGTACTACACGAACTAATAACGACAGTGAATAACCTGAAAAATCCTTCACCTTGCAATGATGAACGGAAAATAACTTTTCAAGGTGACCTCTACTTTGTATCTCGGAACTCTCGAGTTTGCTTAGCGACAAGGAAAAGCCAAAGGCTTTATGAAATTGCGTCGTCGTACAAGATTGGATAACAAATTCAATTATACCGAGAGAGCCTGAGCTTTTATGAAAAACACAAATGTTGACAAACTAAGTAAAAGGTCGACTTCTAAATGAATAGTCAAGTTAGTTACTTTGTTAGGAATAGCCGGCGGCTACGTTATTGCAAACTCTACTAAAGTTTTGTTAATTTTGTTACTCGTTAAATTCTCATGTAGGTAAGGGATTTGTGACCCCAATCCCCATGATAAGAAAGAAAATGTATACTTTGATATTAAAACACACAGACACGCTTGTTGTCAAGCGTAAATAAAAACCTATCCACCAGTAGAAAATTGGATTCACGAGATTGAAATCTTACAAAGGAAATGATTAAAATCTGTTTCAATTTAACCCTCTGCTATCACTCAATGGTCTTATCGTTTAGATAACAATGTGGCGCCTAATCTAAAACCGGTTAAAATGTAGGTAGGTATAAATTGCATTGCACATTCGTAACGCGATTATCACGATAGTATCACGCATGGCCGATAGTAACGTCTAAGGACTTATCAATGATACACTAACATGCTCACGTAGTTAGTCAAATTGTAGTTTTATTTATTTATGTTTATGATGTGCTCCGATAAGATCAATACCTTTCCGATTGGAAATTAACTAATGAATAAAATGCACACGTGTAACTTATCAGTCAGCTTACACATTTATGATGTCAATAAGTAAACCTAGCTAGCGAATAGAGGTCGCAGGAAGAACATAGTTTTGTAATGTGTAAATAAATACACCTGGGTAAAAGAATGCTATATTTTAAAAGCTATGAATCATCGCGAAATTCATTACAAATCATTCAACATTCGTTTGTTTATGTTTTTTGCGACAATTAAGAAATATAGATAAATTTTTTTGCTCTTACACCAAACAAAACAAATTGGCTTACAAGTAATAAACAATAACAAATATAATTATATCAAAACAGAATTATCATTACATATTCAAGACCAAATTACTTGCTCAAATATTCTGTTTGAAGATAGCTCGTCATATCGATCGACCTGTCGATGTTTGAAGTAATTTACATTTACTTGACTCCGCTATTCAGTACGTATTATGTATTCATAGAGAAGTAATGGGACAATGATTAGGTCCCTGAAGTATCCTCAATCCTCAGTAAGTCTTGTATATAATATTATTACACACGTTAAATATTTAAGTTCAGATGAGCCCATTTCCATTAGGCACAGGCATCATGAATAAGTTATAATGACGGGCTTAGATGTGTCCCTTGAGGTGCACCCATAAGAAACATCATTTAATTTTGAACTTTGTTGGAAAATTGTCTGGGTATCTAATTCTTCGGCGTTTTTAATACACATTTACCGTTTATAAACCAATCAATCACGTTATGTAGGTAAGTGGACACAAACACACACGCAATTTGATTAAGTGTAAGCTGGCGTCTGATTAATTGACTGAAGTGATTGCGCTTATCACTTCCGAGTCATATCTGTATCACTGCAGACGTCTCGTAATAGCGTGTGGCCTTCAACACACGTGTTAAGCTATCTAATAGATAATAGGAACTATTCTCTGACAAAATGATTTTCCACCAGTTTTCGCGTGAAATTAGCTGCCTGCCAGAGGCAAATCTTGCTCGAGCGAAACCTATTGTTAATATTCATTTGTTTTAGCATCGTTTACGCCTGTAAATACCAATTATTCGCAGTAGTCTCATCTAGCACTGTCACAACAATAGCTCGTAACTTTTTTTCCAATAAAACGGTACTATTCCCACCTCTCGTTCCCACCGCTGCAACTCCGGTGTAGCCAGGATCTACAGCTTGACCGCCAATAAAAGCCCAACCAACACCGGAGGCAATCCCATTTCCGGGACTATTTCCATCTCTCGTTCCCACCGTTGCAACTCCTGTGTAGCCAGGATCTTGACCGGCAATAACCAAACCAGTGAAGGTCAAGTTTGTTCCCGAGGAAAGTTAAACTGTCATTGGACCCGCAACGAAATAAATCAGAAGAACATAGGAGGAGTTCGAAGGCCTTCCCATTTGTGAATACTACGGAACATAGACGATAGAGGATTCAAGTATTACGCTAATACAATGTTATTGACCGGCTTGTTATGTCACTCTCTGTTGCAGTGATAGTCGTGATTTTTTGGCAAGGGTTCGCTCTTGTCGATAGAGTTCCAATTTTAGTTGAGACATCGACTCGTGGCAAGCCACGAGTTTTTCTCCCGTGGTATGCTCTCACTATAATAGCGTTTATTTAAAGTGATTCGGTACGAAAATATATTAATGACAATGTAAATTAACGCTCGTACGTATAAATTCCTCTGTCTGATGATCTAGCTAGGAGACCAATTTTCATTTAAGAAATGTCAGAAAAAATAAGGAAATAAATAACCCGGTTTCTAAGATCGGAGGTAGAGTCAGTAAGAATATAGCGTTCTAAAATCGTCATCGGCTATAGTTAGTTGATGACCAGTTAAAAATTACGTGACAAGTCGTAATTTTTTTATGAGCATGCTCAGAATTCAGGGGAGACGCCGAAGTAGACTACGGCGATAAAATATCTTTCCTAGAACTCTAACCGCATGAGTAAAGAATTGCTCGTGTGCTATAACGGAAATCAGAAAGTTTTAGTTGCGGTGTTCTTTCTCATTTAAGAAAGGTATAGGTAGCGTTATCACTAAGTACCGCGTGTATTTCACGCACCGATGCTGTGGCCAGCCCCGAAATAGCCGCAGCTTGGGAAATTATACAGTGCAGTTACCTACTCGCGTGAAGTCAGGTGATCACAATTCGCATCGCATACAAATTAATACATTGTTACAATAATATGCTTGACTTGATGCGTAAAAACGGCGCCAAAAATACACACTCGAGTTGTTATATTGTTCCAGTGTTTTTTTTTTGTAATTTATCTTTGAGTTTATCAAGGGGTCAATTTTTGATGCATTTCATTCAAATACAACCCATACGACGATTAGGATTACGAAATGAGTCACAGAGCTAACTCTCAAAACAAAAGAGATATACAGAACACGCTCTATATGAGTGTTAACCGGTATTATACAGTATGTTATGCTAAGTCCGAAACCGGCGTTAGACCTTACACTTCATCAACCTTCGGCTGGAGCGGTGATGTCATACTAATCGCGCGGTGCAACCGTAAAGTTGGAATCACCATTGAATTCATTTTAAAGATTAGATACGAGTTTATTCACTTACAGCTATCACGGTGTTAATGAGTGAGTAGTACGAAATAACTAACAATGTTTTTCCTTTAAAATCTTTTGTTTTATTATTATTTAAAACAATACGCGACTCTACATGCCATAAAATCAATTTAATTATATTTTCAATGCTTACAGGAAATGTATTTTATGAATTAGTTTGTATATATTTTCAAACTAAATAATGAGGAAGTAATAAACCATTACTTAATAATGGTTTGGTTTTAAAATTCAAGACTCCAATAGCTACACCCCTTTTGTTTGATGTTATAAATGTAGAGATCTACAATGTGCGGCAAATACAAAAAAGAATTAATAACTAAAACTCACCTTTATAAATTTGAACAGGTAAAACTACGAAGAATACATGTAATGTGTATTGTATTATACAAAAAAACTAATTATAGAATGCAAGGACGACAACCTGTACGGTTTTTTCTCACGAGTGATCCTTATAAGGAATCTAATATTAGTGTTGTATTAGATGAAGTATCACATCACTGTTTTAGTTATGTAAGGAACTATGTCACTATAGTACGGTGTGGTGAAGTATAAAGGCGATTGGAAATACGCGACGGGCAGAGTACCCCGGTACTCCCGTCGCCCTACTGACTGCGTTCGATCTCACGCGTCGTCCGTGAGTCACCGCACTCACACCAATGTATTACTTTTCTCTATGATGTGTACGTACCGCGCCGCCATCTTGCGGTATCCGTGCACACTTACTTGTAGCGGGAAACGTGTGAAGGTGGAGCTGGTATATGAAACGGCTGAGTTTCAGCAGATGGTGGTAGAGTATTTGTCTCGTTTTAGGTTGCTCTACATTATGCCTTTCTAAAGTTTCTAATAATTGAGTCATGAATATGACCTCTCCTAAGCTGTTCACTAACTACTCATTAGGTACTATTTACATAATTCCATATTTTGTTCTACATGACTGACTACTGTATAACAGAAGCGCTGGAAACGTTATCCAATATAACATATACCTAGATAGCCTGCTACACTGAATAGCAGAGTCATCAGACTACTCCAATATCATAGAGAATGAGCACAGAAACCCTCAAACTCAAAGTGATCTTGCCCTTAAGCCTTTGAGGAAATTATCATCAAAAATATTGGGATCGACACATCTAAATGAGATGATAGAGCTATCAAAAACCAGTCTACATAGCCTTTACTAACAATCTACTTATCTACTGATATGACAAACTTACCAATGAAGTTTGCAGGCATTCAGACCTATTTTGTCTTGTTATTTAAAGCAACAAACATTCTCACGTGTAACTGGAGCCTGAGAACAAAATTAAATCATAAACATTAAAGTTGTCATCAAAACATGAAGTTCACATAAATACATACAAGATTTTACTTACCCTTTTGATTTCAGACGTTTTCATCACTACACCTCGAAAAGGCCACATACAAATCCGCAGTACGGAATCCCTGCCTAACTGTTGTACTAAAAACTGTTACATGTTTAACTGAAAGTCTCTTGGGAACTTTTCTGTCGCGGTATCTACTGTTACGGGTTACAGTTGTTTAGACTATTAATACATTAAATAATGTTACTTGATGTTTAGAATCTAAATCTATCTAAACTTTAGAACATATTATTCTTAAAAAGAAAAACTGCTGTAGAGAAAAATTGAATTTCTTCTAATTCCTTTGTATAAAACAGTAACTTTTTATATAAGTATCACTGCACTAAAATATTATGTACTATAGTAATATTTAAAGTTTTAGTTGAGTATACATAACATAAAAAGTTCCTAGGCCATCACTCACCACAAAGCATGTATCACTGTCCTTTCTCTAAACATTAACTCCTCTTAAACATAAAATAATAAATCAGCAACCATGATAAAATTAATTGTAACATACTTTATTAGGACAAAATTACAGTGTCAGACCTTAGAAAAAAACTCACAAAACGCGATTACTTCTCTTTCTTCTCTGTCGAGAGTGAGTTGTAGAGTTTGGTGATTTCGTTGATTACCACGTTTTGGACGACGGCTCCGTTGGTGTCGATGTAGTTGGCGAAGGATTTGTTGATGGACGCTTCACGGGTCTTGCCAGCCGTGTCGCGCATCACTAGTACGAGGTTGTATTTGTCGTCGTGTCTGAAGTGGAAAAAAGTATTCATGAGTGAAATTAACCAATGCATGATAAAATGTGTGAAGGCAAAATGGCAATGCCAGATTTTGTATGGAAAGTGGCGTCTTTTTTTTTTCGCGCGGCCATCGACCAAACTTTGTTTTTTGATTACAAAATATTGTAATAAACCAAACTTACTATGGCATGTATACCTCTAAACTCAGTCTGAACTGAGTTTCGAGCATTAGAAGTTTGATGATTTTCATACTAGATTTGCTTTTTGTGTGCAAGTTTTGTAAGAAATTGCAACAAAATATTGCTCTATTTTTTTATTGCGCTGATTCTGCTCCATACTGATGTCTGGAGCCTTTAATGGATGATATTGTTTGTTTACACATACAATCTTACTATTTTGTTGCAATTTCTTACAAAACTTTGCGCGCAAAAAGCAAATCTAGTATGAAAATCATCAAACTTCTAATGCTCGTAACTCAGTTCAGACTGAGTTTACAGGTATACATGTTATAGTAAGTTTGGTTTATTACACTATTTTGTAATCAAAAAACAAAGTTTGGTCGATGGCCGCGCGAAAAAAAAAGACGCCAATTTCCGGCATTGTCTTTTGTAGCTCCAACAGGAGTGTTGTTTTGCATATTTTAAAGCAATGAGCATCAACACTTTCCACCCTACATGGTTGCAGTCATACGATATTAGTCCTCTTTACAAATATGACTATTAAGGCTTCTAGTGGTATGTTTTTACTGCCAAAGGGAGACAATCTTATTATCAATTTGAGTAACCAATCTAAATAAAGTCGGAATTGAAATAATATTAAGTATCTAACTTTTACTTTTAATGATTAGAATAAAATTAAATAATGCTATACCATTATGTAAGTATTACAGTTAAGTAAAGAGGCGACTATTAGTGCTAATTACTTACTTTTTGACATAGGAGCTGGCTTCCCACACTCTGTTATTGCTCCCAACTTTTTCTTTGGCCACAACAAAAATTCCTTTTTCTTTGAATGTGGTGTACAAAGTCAGAATACCCATGAGAATGAAGTATGAGGACACACATATTATAAGTACCAGTCTGAAAAGAATATTAACATATTTTAACAATAAGTAAAAAAAAATATACGACATCATTATAAAATAATTTTTCCTAGTGATTTTCAAAGAGAAGTAAACTGTAATGGTTGTGAGAACAATTATAGATGAGCAATTAATATCAAGATAGCGTACATGATTACAAAAAATGAAATATAAAAGGTAATTAATACACACTAAAACAAAGTATTGTTTTTTCTATGCCGTTCCTAATTTTCAAGAAATACCTGAACAATAAAAGCTTACAATAGTTGCTATAGTTGATCTACATCATTTATTAGGAAAACCTTTTAAATTTTAACATATTTACCTTGACTGTGGGAAAGGATACAAGTAGTCCCATAAGAGAGCATACAGCGCCACGCCGACAGCCAGTGCACACAAGAAGAGCCTTCCATCAATCAGAGCAAAGCTCTCTTTACACTTTAGGTCCCCAGTAAATACCTAAAAACAATAAAAATGTAACTCTGAGAATGTTTGCTTGCATGTTTTCTTAGGCTGTGTTCAGAAATATCACTGCAATCACTGCTCAGTACTTTCACTGGTGGGTTAATACATAAGTTTTTGCCAATTTATTTACTCTGAATAACTTATCAATAAGGATAAAACTTTGCATTACATACCTCTCTTATAGCATCGTCAATGGCATTTTTAGCAGCTGCACCATCCCATTTGTTGATTTTAACTACCTAAAAAAGAAATCATAAGAAATTAGATGACAAAATGCAACACTGGATGAGTAGAAGTATGATGAGGGGATGATATCCAATTGGTAATAAATAAATTGATTCGGCGAACGGAATTATAAAGGTAATGTTAATTAAGGGCTGCGATTTGAAATATCACTATGTTATTTGAACACGATAGTCATACAAACAGAAAAAGCATGAAATTGTAGCAATAACGTGACGTGTCCCAACAAAATTTGTTTTACGTGAAAATACAACTTAAAATAAACAGAAAAGAGTGGCGATATTTACCTCTGGTGTTTCACTCATTGTGCTATTCTATAAATAGTCTGTTATAAGTGTATTAACTCAATTATTTCAATGTTTCCACAAAATTTCTGCTTGCTTAGATTTTTGACAGCACCGCCATATCATTGACAGAACACAGAACTATGAATGACTATGAACGACGTCATCAAAAAAACACAAAATCAATAAATACTGCAAGGATGGCGCTAGTTTCATTCAAATGTGTCAATAATCAAAAGAACTTTTGTAGTTCCGTTAATCGTCACATTCATAAAAATGTAGTTGGTATCTGAACGCGTAGTGCTGTAAATAAAGTGGAATAATTTAATAATCAACCCAAAAACTGTTATTACATCGAAAGCTTCATTTAGGCTTAAAAATTCTTAAAACACACTTTATGTATAAAGAAGTTATGTTTAATGCTATTTTCATCTTATAATAATCAAAATTTTAAGTTACTGTATTTATTGCGAATGGCTATTGAAATTTATTAATCGATTATCGAGCATTCAATTAAAAATGGACGTTTTTGCTTCCAAGGCCAATAGTTACATTTTCATGTAATTAAAAAAAACAAAATTTTAATAAAAAAAAATGAACAGGCTTGTTTGCTGGTGAAAAATGAAAATAATTATTGATAAATATTTCATTTAGCTGTGAGTGTTTTTCAGGTTTCCGTTATTTTTATGTTTCATTGATTATACAGAAATATTTATTAACTAAAAAGTTATGCTTCGCTGTCTGACACTGACATCACAACGCATTTATTTGTTAGCCATTTAACCGGTGGTAACGCTATCCAAAATCATTTTGTATGTTGTAATTTGCCAATTTATGAACGTAAGTAATATTTGATATTGTTATTACATAAATTTTGCTCAGAAAAGTTACGAATATTTTAATTTCCATTTCAACCATGTGGCATTGACAGCAAAAAGAAACAATAACGATCGAAAGAGGTCACTGTAGTTCTAGCTTGCTGTGTTTATGGTAAATAATTGTTTAATTCCTGTAGGTTGGTTCCGGTTGCCGTTCCGTAGTGTGCTGCTATGGCGAAGAGGAAGAAGCCAGCAGCTAAGCCCGCTGCGACGAGGCGCACGAGTCGTCGCGGGAAGCAGACCGCCCCCGACCCCGCCACCGAAGGCGAGGCCTCCGCCCCCGCCGATCCCGCGGTCGCTGAACCTCCTTCGGAGGAAACCCCATCGACATCACAGTCTAATACAACAGAAAACGATACCCAAGCCCAGTCTGAGCAACAAAAACCAGCTTTGCCTGTCACCAAACCCTGTCAAGTACCAATAGTAGCTTTACACAAGAAATTCGGCAAGTACCGATGCTTATTTGACAATGATGACAACTTTATTAGAAAATATGAAGTAGGTAGTGATAGTGAAACTAACAGTAGTGTAGAAATAAGAGTGGTGGATCCCTGTGCAAGTTCAGAGTCTGATTCAAATGCAGCTACGGATAACCAGTCAGATACCCACACTGGAGCTTGCAACAGTCCAGTAAATAGTACAATAAGTGTGTTGCAAAGTCAAAATAACTCCAGAGATGTGTCACCTGTGCCTATGCTGAGTGAAACTCCTTCAGTCAGTGAAATACCATTGATTGACAAAGAAGAAGTGGTAGAAGTTAAAGAAAACATGGAGTCTATAGCCTCCCCAGTCTTAGAAGTTCCTAAACCAGAAGTGGAAGTTGAGTGTGTGCCTGAACCTGTTCAGGATTCACCTGTGGTTGTAGAAAATATTGTAGAAAATATACCACTAGAAACAAGTAATGCTAATAAACATGATCATGACAGTAGTAAGCCCCAAGAGATAACTTTGGAAGAGGAACACATGAACCAAATACAGTTTGAGGGTGATGATGATGACGATGAAGTCATTACTATAGTCCAAATTGTTGAAGATGACAACCCTGAACTGTACTACAATATCAAAATAGATAGTCCTAAAAATGCAGAGAGCGAAGATAGTGAGAGGAAACAGCAAGATGTAGAAATTCAAAGGCATTTCCAAAACCTTAACCTCACTAATGCTTCTGAAGGTAATACTTCAATGGATTGCAGTGATTTGAATGAATCACTTTCAACAAGTTGTACCACCCCTGACCTCCAGTTTTGTAAAGATAGTTTGGAGGTCCTGACCAGACCTGATCCCAGTTTGACTCCCAGCTCCACACTGTCAGATGACAGTAATTCCTCACGAGTCACTGAACAGAATCAAAACTTCTCAGACTCAGCTGAATCTTCACCAACAGGGGTCCGGAGATCTAGTCGAATTAAGACTATTAGTAACTTAAAGCAGAAAACCAAAGGATATGGGTTAGTAAAGACTCCTTTGAAGAAGGCCTTGATCACTCAGACTAAGTTAAAGCTAGAGGAATTAGGATCTGACAGTCAAGAGAAGTCTTTAGATCAGATGCCGAGTAATGCACCTAACTCGCCATCATTTCCAGTGCCTTCTGACATGCCTGTAAAAGTTAAGTCTAGGTGGAGGAGATCCAGTGAGCTGGAGATGGGGGCTGGTTCTCCTGTCAACTCTCCCCTGGCCAGCCCAAGCCTCCCTCAACGCATGCCGCCTCTGGCAGAGGTGCAGAACTTTGAACCTGACCCAGCACCTCTTAGCAAGGAAGCTTATGAAAAAATTATTGAAGACAGAATGAAACAATACTTACATTTGGAAGAGAATGAGTATTTATGTGAGAGAATGATTAGTAAAGAGACTAAAAAAATGACTTGTGACTGTTTTATGACCAAAGAGGAGTTGGAAAGAGGTGAGCTAGCGTGTGGGGAAGACTGTTTAAATAGATTACTCATGATTGAATGGTGAGCATACTTTATTTACATATTTTTGTCACAAATTTGGTAAAAAAATACATAACTACAGGTCTTTACATTTTATTTTACAGTAATTCACGGTGTCCAGTTGGAGACAGGTGTACTAATAGAAGATTCCAGAAGAGAGAGAATGCTCAGCTTAAGGTCTTCTATGCTGACAAGAAAGGATGTGGTGTGGAAGCTGCAGTTGACATTGTTTCGTAAGTTAATCTAAAGTTATGAAGTGTTCAATAAATTATGCCCTGTAGACTAATATCTTAGTGCTAGCATAGAAATGATCAAATCATTTTGCTATTGCGAATTTTTTGTGATATTTCTCTATGTATTATGAGAGAAACATTGGTAAAATGAATATTCTTATGTTGCTCTACTAATTGTTGTGATATTATATCATAATTTAACTTAACTACCCATGGTACTGTACATCATTTTGATAATTTTTTCATGGTAGTATAACCGACATTAAGTCGACGAAAGTCATCATTATTATTATGCGCCGCACATTACGCCTTATCATTGTCTTAAGTTAGATTGTCTATTATTTAACTTGTAATGCCATAGAAAAATATTTTTGCCATAGAACAATTTTTAAATGCTATTTATTGCCTGATTGTGCAGCTGCCTGAAGCTCTGAATAAGCACATTACGATTGTGTTCATTCATCTCTATATGCGTGACAAATTAATTTTGTGTTCTATCATTGTTTCTAAATAACAATGTACAGTTGTAGTACCCATTAAGACTCTGTTTCCTGTCTACAATTGTGTTATATCATAGAGTTAGATAGAAAAATACATAAAACAAAATAAGCTAAAAACTAAATTTTAGAAAATGAGTAACAAAATGGCGCCCGCTCTGTTTGAGGCGGGATTATGATAATGTATGATAATATTTTGATGTCCTGCTTTTCCACAGAAACAAACTTCACAAAGTTTCATACATATTTGTAATGTTGTATGCATAATGTAACTTAATAGTAATATAAACTTTTCAGCGGTGAATTCCTTATGGAGTATGTTGGTGAAGTGCTGGATTATGAGCAGTTCTACAAACGAGCGCAAGAGTACTCAGACGAGAACAACTTGCACCACTACTTCATGTCCCTCAAAGGGGACACGGTCATTGATGCCACTATGAAAGGGAACATATCTCGGTTCATCAACCATTCCTGTGACCCGAATGCTGAGACACAGAAGTGGACCGTGAACGGAGAGCTGAGGATAGGTTTCTTCAGCAAGAGAGACATTCCTGTAGGGGAGGAGATCACCTTTGACTACCAATTCCAGAGATTTGGGTAAGTGTGAAGTGTTTTTTTTTCCTAATAATGTTTACACATTACATTGAAATAATGTTACAGCTGTTATTATTTATTTTCGGTAAGATTTTGTTATTCTTCGGCTTATATGATGTAAGCACACGTTGCTTGCTACTAGTGCATTGCACTGCGTGTGCCTTTAAATGTTACACTGGGCAAAAATATATTACATGTTTTTGGTAAAAGTTGCCACCACTTTTAATGAGAGAGACAACGCCAGGCAATGCAAACATTTGACGCATCTTTTTGAGTGCCTTATGATTTTTATATTGCATAAATTTTTCACACATTCTTTTCTTTGATACCAGCAAAACATTTCAGAAATTTCAGCATTATTTCTTGGTGCTTTCATAGGGCCATGAATGAAACAAGTCAAACTTTTTGCCTTATTTTATACTACTATCTACTGATACATAACTTGTTCTTTATCTATTGGGACACTGTTGATGACAAAAAATACAAAACGAGAATGAATTTTATTGTGTTAACATTCCAAATTGGGGATTCCAGTGCAGTCGGTGTGGTAACGGTTGTTGTTGTGCAGAAAGGTGGCCCAGCGGTGCTATTGTGGCGCCAGCAACTGTCGCGGCTGGATCGGCGCCGAGCCCGACTCCGACGATGAGTATGACGAGGTGAGATGCGACTTTATTTTGATGGAAATAGGGTTGAATTTGGCACGACTCTACTGCGAAATATTGGTAGAAAAACAAATGAAAACACCTTTCCTTATAAATGTTTCGACGTCATAGTTTCGCAGTAAAGGCGTGCTACCAGAGTTAAAAGAAAATTCATTTGTTAGATAGCTCTAACAATAATTTAAAAAAAAAAGAGCAAAGCATGAAGATAAAGATTGAAATTGAAAATGACGAAAACTCGTTATTATTGCTGTGTTTTATCAAGAGTTTCAATTGCTATTCGCAGACTTGCGGAAAAATACCGAAAGTACAAAAATGCTTCTCGCTTCGTTTGATTGCATTAACACGTTCCCAGTCCATTGAGGCACGCGTGCTAAGGGCTTATGATTACCTTCAACTGCATGTAACATGACACTGAGTCTGCCTCATGTTAAGTAAACAGTACTTTTTTCTCGAAAAACGGTCCGTTATTGCCGATTTGTTATCAAGGTAGATTTCTAATACCTTCACCTTAGTCTTGGCTTCGGCTTTAAGGCACAAACTGGATAACTAACCATCTTTTTAAATCTAAATAAGGTTGATTACAAGAGAATGTCATATTTCATTAAGTTAGCCTTTTATAATCCTATATTGTTTGCAACAAAGTTTTAAATAAATCAATAGAGATAATTCCTCTCAAAAATGATATATCAAAAAGGGACAATATTATTTGATCCTCTAAAAACTAATTGATCTTTTTAGTATGTGCACTTTTAAAAATAAATTATGTATTTTATTATATTTTATCTTTATATTAATTATTGGGTCTATATTNTAATATTTTTTATACATGAGAATAGCATACCATTAGCTTTAACTTAGCTTTTGCCCACGGCTTTGTCTGCGTAAAATTTTGTCTGTCACAGAAGAAAATATAAGAGCGCCTTCCTGTTTCAAAAACTGGCATAAAAACTATCCCGTCGTCCTTTTCCGGGACTTAAAACTATCTCTTTACCAAATATCAAAATCGGTTCAATGGTTTAGACGTGAATTCGTAACAGACAGATAAGTAAATGCGAAAAACTTTATTTAGTAGGGATAATTCATAAAGATTTGTTAAAAGCAAGTAAAGCAGATTTTGGAATAGTCAGAAATAGTATTGGTACCAACAACTTATATTTTTTTCGTTAACAAAATGTTAATTATTATTTGACATACGTTTAGGTATTTATTTTGGCAATAAGTATGGCATTCAGTCAGGTACTCCATTTTCAGTTCATCTTAAAAGTTATAAAAATTTAAATACTCAATGTTTGCCAGGGGGGACAACAGTCCTCAAATCATTGATTGAAAATCCAGTCCTGTTGTCTCCCCTAGCCAGGGGGGACAACAGGATTTCGAAATCCTGTTGGCTCCCCCAGGGGGGCCAAGCAGGGGGGACAACAGGACTGCACCAAAGTTTCATACATATTTGTAATGTTGTATGCATAATGAAACAGAGAAGCATGGAGATCATTGGAGGAGGCCTATGTCCAAGGACAAACTGGAGATGAGTGCAGCTAAATTGTAAAATGAAATGTTAATGTTGTAAAATACCTTGTAATCCAGTAATAAAGGCTTATATTATTATTATTATGCACTAGCTGACCCGGCGAACTTCGTACCGCCTTAGCGTAGAGATTTTCTTAATATTTTTTTCCGTAAGAACCATCCTTGGACTTCCACAAACATTTAAAAAAAGAATTATCGAAATCGGTTCAGCCGTTCACACGTGATGCCGTGACAACGCGAAACGGGTTTCATTTTTATATATATAGATAATGTAACTTAATGTTAACATAAACTTTTCAGTGGTGAATTCCTTATGGAGTACGTTGGTGAGGTGCTGGATTATGAGCAGTTCTACAAGCGAGCTCAAGAGTACTCGGACGAGAACAACTTGCACCACTACTTCATGTCCCTCAAAGGGGACACGGTCATCGATGCCACTATGAAAGGGAACATATCCCGGTTCATCAACCATTCCTGTGACCCGAACGCAGAGACACAGAAGTGGACCGTGAACGGAGAGCTGAGGATAGGTTTCTTCAGCAAGAGAGACATTCCTGTAGGGGAGGAGATCACCTTTGACTACCAATTCCAGAGATTTGGGTAAGTGTGAAGCGCTTTTTTGCCTTAATTGAATGTAGGTAATTAAAATATTGTTACAGCTGTTGTTTGTAAATTATTACTGATACTGAAATATTTTGTAACTTTATGTCTACATAATATTGTTTTATACAGTGTGAGTCACGTTAAAGTGTACATATGAAAATAGATGAAACTAGACCTATTTTTATCGACAAAAAAGAGGTCAAAAAATTTTTGAGATTTTTTTTTAATTTTTTATAGAATTTTTTTTTCTTCAAATTACTTATTGTAAAGAAAACGTAATAACTTTTAAACTAAGCAGTATATCCTGATAAAATAAAAACAGTAATAATGCTAAATAACAGGCGATACTAAATAAATACATAGAATAAACAAAAAATTCCAACAAATAATAAAAAATGATACTTTTTGAAAAAAATCTGGTTAAAAATTCGTGATTTTTTGGTTATTTTATAAATTTTTCCAAAAAATGCCCCTATAACCGGTGGTTTTTATTACTTTGTATTATTTTCTATCGTATTATCTTTGTAAAACCAAAAATCGCACGAAGAAGACCTCGAAGCGCTCAGCCGCACCGGCGTGAAGAATCAGAGCCACACGCTGCGCCTCTCGCGGACCGTCGTACGCGCCAAGACACGGCGCGCTCAGGCGGCCCTGCTGCGGCTGCTGCGTGACGCCGACCTGCCCTGCCGCCGCCTGTTCCTCGACTACCGGGGCCTTAGGCTGCTGGCGCCCTGGGCATCCGACGCGCCGCTGGACTTCCGGTAGACTAGCAATTTAAAAAACATGAGAATCGCTCGTATTTTGTCTTCCAGCTCCGACGTCCGAGCTCATCGTCATCTTTAACGTCAGTGCCTGGGGTATGGAAGCGCCACAGGAGCGGTGAAGTTGACATATTAAGACATCACAAAGCATACAAGTCTGAAGCACATCTGAACTCTGACATCTCAAAAACTCCCTCCAATGCGGCTCCCCTCAAGCAATGACTCACAGTTAAGCGCTAGACCTACAGTAGGTGACGTAGGCGGCCTGCCCTGCCGCCGCCTGTTCCTCGACTACCGGGGCCTTAGGCTGCTGGCGCCCTGGGCTACCGACGCGCCGCTGGACTTCCGGTAGACTAGCAATTTAAAAAACATGAGAATCGCTCGTATTTTGTCTTCCAGCTCCGACGTGTGAGCACGCACAAGCCGAGTTCAGCGTCATCTTTAATGTCAGTGCCTGGGGTATGGAAGCGCCACAGGAGCGGTGAAGTTGACATATTAAGACATCACAAAGCATACAAGTCTGAAGCACATCTGAACTCTCGATGATGTATGACATCTCAAAAACTCGCTCCAATGCGGCTCCCCTCAAGCAATGACTCACAGTTAAGCGCTAGATCTACAGTAGGTGACGTAGGGGACCTGCCCTGCCGCCGCCTGTTCCTCGACTACCGGGGCCTTAGGCTGCTGGCGCCCTGGGCATCCGACGCGCCGCTGGACTTCCGGTANTTTTTTTATTATTTGTTGGCCTTTTTTGTGTGTTTTATGTATTTTTTTAGTATTGCCTGTTATTTAGCATTGTTACTGTTTTCATTGTATCAAGATATACCGCTTAGTTTAAAAGTTATTATGTTTTCTTTACAATAAGTAATTGAAAGAAAAAAAATTCTATAAAAAATTTAAAAAAAATCTCAAAAATTTTTTGACCTCTTTTTTGTCGATGAAAATAGGTCTAGTTTCATTTATTTTGATATGTACACTTTAACGTGACTCACACTGTATTTCTTCGGCTCAATGACGCAATTTACTTATCACAAGTGCATTGAACTGCGTGTGCATTTAAGTTACGTCTGATCAAAATTAGATTTCCCTGTACAAATGCTATTTTCGATAAGAGTTACCCTATAGGAGAAACAAATCGACACTTTTCGAGTGTCTATGATTTTTTCGTACATCAATAATATGGATTTCTAAAATGACAGTATTTATTTCCTGCTGCCTTCATAAAGTCGTAAAAGAAGGCGAACTGTTTGCTTCATTTAATTTTATTTAGACTAATAAACTACTGATACAAAACTTAAACTATTGGGCACGATAGCCGAACGGTGAAGGGGTCGGACTGGCCTACTCGAGATCCGGGGAACGCGGGTTCGGTCCCCGCCGCCGCTCGACTATTTTGGTGAGCTCACTCGTGATACAAGCATATTTAGCTTAGTACGAGGGGCATCACAAATTACTAATAACCTTTAAAAAAAAAACTGTCGATGACAAAAAATACAAAACAAGAATGAATTTTATTGTGTTAACATTCCAAATTGGGGATTCCAGTGCAGTCGGTGTGGTAACGGTTGTTGTTGTGCAGAAAGGTGGCCCAGCGGTGCTATTGTGGCGCCAGCAACTGTCGCGGCTGGATCGGCGCCGAGCCCGACTCCGACGATGAGTATGACGAGGTGAGATGCGACTTTATTATGATAATGTTATGGTTGAATTTGGCACGACTCTACTGCGAAACTTAGGTAGAAAAACAAATGAAAACACCTTTCCTTATAAATGTTTCGACGTCAAAGTTTCGCAGCAAAGGCGTGCTACCAGAGTTAAAAGACTTCTTATGCCTATCCTTGTTAGATAGCTCTAACAATAATTTGAAGAAAAAAGAGCAAAGCATGAAGATAATGATTGAAATTGAAAATGACGAAAACTCGTTATTATTGCTGTGTTTTATCAAGAGTTTCAATTGCTATTCGCAGACTTGCGGAAAATACCGAAAGTACAAAAATGCTTCTCGCTTCGTTTCATTGCATTAACACGTTCCCAGTCCCTTGAGGCACGCGTGTCTAGGGCTTATGATTACCTTCAACTGCATGTAACATGATACTGAGTCTGCCTCATGTTAAGTAAACAGTACTTTTTTCTCGAAAAAAACGGTCCGTTATTGCCGATTTGTTATCAAGGTAGATTTCTAATGCCTTCACCTTAGCCTTGGCTTCGGCTTTAAGGCACAAACTGGATAACTAACCATCTTTTTGAAATCTAAATAAGGTTGATTACAAGAGATTCAAGAGAATGTCATAATATTTCATTAAATTAGCCTTTTATAATCCTGTATTGTTTGCAACAAAGTTTTAAATAAATCAATAGAGATAATTCCTCTCAAAAATAATATATCAAAAAGCCTTATAAATTATCTGGGATTGGCAACGTGTTAAAATTGCATGAAATAAAAAAAAACCAAACCACTACCACCTTCTCATCACCCTCTTAATCAATGTTGACCAGCTAAATGTGATCCAGGAGGAAGAGGATGTATCTACCTCCAAGTCGGGCGCCGCTTCGGCTGCGGAGGGAGCCGCGGCCGAGGCGGCGCCGCCGCGGGCCCGGCGCCGCGCCCGCAAGCCTAGGACTTACGCGCCCAATGCACCGGACTTGGTTCAAGACGCCGACGTGAGTGGACCTATGATTGTTTTAGAGCGCTTTCACATTTAGGCGATTTAGGCTTGATTTCCTCTTAGGCTGACGTCGATGACCGATGTCGGCGGCGCGTACCGAATATACACTAGTTCTATGTAATTATCTGCCGCTGACGACAGCGTTGCAGTGCGGTGCTTCATAGAACATTGTGTTTATTCGTACGCTCGACCGATGTACGCGACCGACGTCAGCGTAGGAGGAAATCAAGCCTTAGCAGCGCGACAAACACGCGACAGACGCGCTGCCGAATATTTCATACTATGTGACAGCGGGTGCATGCATTCACATTATAAAAACGCCGCTGCCGCGCTGCTGTCGCGCTCGCGCTTCTAACGCCCTAATGTGAAAGCGCTCTTAGTGATTTTGTTACCTATGGGCCATACTTATCGCGATAATTTGAAGATTTCATAATTTGGTGGTTTTTTGTATAGTCTCACTCAGGATTTGACTTCAGGCAAATCAATGCCGCCCGAATATTATCGCGATGTGTGTGGCCTAAGGGTTAGTTTAAACGAGAACGAAATAACTTTCAGTAAACGAATACCTTTGCAACTTAGAGCTGATTTTTCAATCGTCAGATATCTTTTAACTGAAGAATAAACTTGTCATTTTGACATATTTCTCATACTGAAACTGTCAATGTGTTAAAAGTTATCCGATGATTGAAAAATCAGCCCTTACACAACTTGCGTTTATATTTTGTGCATGTGATAATGCCATTGATTCTGTTGCACAGACTGAAGAAATAGAGAGGCTAACCGAAGTTTTAACTTGATTTCAAGTTGGATATCGGAATTACCAATTCACCTCATTCCTAGCAGTACACTTAATTTACGCCGTTCTTAGGTCCAGAACAGACGGTGAAACGCAACTGCAACGAAACTGCAACTGCTAGTTACTTTTGAGTTGCATCTAAGTTTCTGCCATAGCGTCCGTTGAGCGACCACGTGTCTTAACCGTCACATGAAACTGACTTTCATCTCCAATTTGTAGATCGAAGAAGACCTCGAAGCGCTCAGCCGCACCGGCGTGAAGAATCAAAGCCACACGCTGCGCCTCTCGCGGACCGTCGTACGCGCCAAGACGAGGCGCGCTCAGGCGGCCCTGCTGCGGCTGCTGCGTGACGCCGACCTGCCCTGCCGCCGCCTGTTCCTCGACTACCGGGGCCTTAGGCTGCTGGCGCCCTGGGCTACCGACGCGCCGCTGGACTTCCGGTAGACTAGCAATTTAAAAAAAATGAGAATCGCTCGTATTTTGTCTTTCAGCTCCATCGTGTGAGCACGCACAAGCCGAGTTTAGCGTCATCTTTAATGTCAGTGCNAAAGATTTGGTAATTCGGTGGTTTTTTGTATAGTCTCAAGATTTGACTTGAGACAAATCAATCTCGCCCGAATATATCGCGAGGTCTAAGAGTTAGTTTAAACGAGAACGAAATACCTTTGCAACTTACATGATACGTTTATGTTTTGTGCATGTGATAATACCATTGATTCTGTTGCACCGGTCATGGTCACAGACTGAAGAAATAGGCTAACCGAAGTTTTAATTTGACTTCAAGTTGCATGTCGAAATTACAAATTCGCCTCAATCCTAGCCGTACACTTAATTTACGCCGTTCTTAGGTCCAGAACAGACGGTGAAACGCAACTGCAACGAAACTGCAACTGCTAGTTACTTTTGAGTTGCATCTAAGTTTCTGCCATAGCGTTCGTTGAGAGACCACGTGTCTTAACCGTCACATGAAACTGACTTTCAATCTCCAATTTGTAGATCGAAGAAGACCTCGAAGCGCTCAGCCGCACCGGCGTGAAGAATCAGAGCCACACGCTGCGCCTCTCGCGGACCGTCGTACGCGCCAAGACACGGCGCGCTCAGGCGGCCCTGCTGCGGCTGCTGCGTGACGCCGACCTGCCCTGCCGCCGCCTGTTCCTCGACTACCGGGGCCTTAGGCTGCTGGCGCCCTGGGCATCCGACGCGCCGCTGGACTTCCGGTAGACTAGCAATTTAAAAAACATGAGAATCGCTCGTATTTTGTCTTCCAGCTCCGACGTCCGAGCTCATCGTCATCTTTAACGTCAGTGCCTGGGGTATGGAAGCGCCACAGGAGCGGTGAAGTTGACATATTAAGACATCACAAAGCATACAAGTCTGAAGCACATCTGAACTCTGACATCTCAAAAACTCCCTCCAATGCGGCTCCCCTCAAGCAATGACTCACAGTTAAGCGCTAGACCTACAGTAGGTGACGTAGGCGGCCTGCCCTGCCGCCGCCTGTTCCACGACTACCGGGGCCTTAGGCTGCTGGCGCCCTGGGCTACCGACGCGCCGCTGGACTTCCGGTAGACTAGCAATTTAAAAAACATGAGAATCGCTCGTATTTTGTCTTCCAGCTCCGACGTGTGAGCACGCACAAGCCGACCGAGTTCAGCGTCATCTTTAATGTCAGTGCCTGGGGTATGGAAGCGCCACAGGAGCGGTGAAGTTGACATATTAAGACATCACAAAGCATACAAGTCTGAAGCACATCTGAACTCTGACATCTCAAAAACTCCCTCCAATGCGGCTCCCCTCAAGCAATGACTCACAGTTAAGCGCTAGACCTACAGTAGGTGACGTAGGCGGCCTGCCCTGCCGCCGCCTGTTCCTCGACTACCGGGGCCTTAGGCTGCTGGCGCCCTGGGCTACCGACGCGCCGCTGGACTTCCGGTAGACTAGCAATTTAAAAAACATGAGAATCGCTCGTATTTTGTCTTCCAGCTCCGACGTGTGAGCACGCACAAGCCGAGTTCAGCGTCATCTTTAATGTCAGTGCCTGGGGTATGGAAGCGCCACAGGAGCGGTGAAGTTGACATATTAAGACATCACAAAGCATACAAGTCTGAAGCACATCTGAACTCTCGATGATGTATGACATCTCAAAAACTCGCTCCAATGCGGCTCCCCTCAAGCAATGACTCACAGTTAAGCGCTAGATCTACAGTAGGTGACGTAGGGGACCTGCCCTGCCGCCGCCTGTTCCTCGACTACCGGGGCCTTAGGCTGCTGGCGCCCTGGGCATCCGACGCGCCGCTGGACTTCCGGTACTACCCTCGCCGTCCCTAGCGCGGCCACTGCTGACGTAGGCGACCTGCCCTGCCGCCGCCTGTTCCTCGACTACCGGGGCCTTAGGCTGCTGCTAGACCAATTTAAAAAAAAAAGAGAATCGCTCGTATTTTGTCTTTCAGCTCCATTGTGTAAGCAGGCACAAGCCGACCGTCACTGTGTTAAATACAGGGTGGAAACGATAAGTGATCTCACTCGATTATTTCTAAACTATACAAGATATCCAAAAACTTGTTACTGATCCTGAAAGTGCTTCAGGAGCTCTATCCAACGGTACCAATAATAGGTTACCAAATAAACTGGATTATCCGAAAATTCAATGTTTCCAGCTTCCATACATTTAGTACTGCCACGGTCATGGCACTCATGTCTTGATAATATTATAGCAAGTAAAGCCTAAAACCAATGTTTTTCATGAATAATTTTAAATAAGAATGCAATTTGGAGTTCAATTTAAGTGTTTACTATTGAATAAAAAAAATTAACACTTCCAATATTGTGTCGCTGGCATACATTTAGTATGGAGCCTGAAAACATTGAACTTTCGGATAGATCCAGTTAATTCTGTAACCTATTACTTATACCGTTTGAAAGAGCTCGTGAAGCACTTTCAGGATCCATAACCAGTTTTTTGATATCTTGTATAGTTTAGAAATAATCGAGTGAGATCACTTATCGTTTCCACCCTGTTTAGCTACTCTCTTTGTTACATATACCTACTATAAGTACTGGCGCATAATTCAGTGCCTAGGGTATTGGAGCGACACGAGAGGGGTGAAATTGACATTATGACGTAACAGAGCATACAAATCTGAAGTCGTATGACGTATGACATCTCAAACCTCAAGAACTGACGCACAGTTATGCGTTAGACTTTTAATACCACGCAGTTGTTTAGCCAGAATTTTTGATCCTCGAAACTAGATTGTCACTCAAACAAGTAGAAGAATTTTTTTTAAACATACTTGAATCCGTAAATCAAGACTCTAAACAATGTCTTAATTTATGTATGTAATTCCGTCTGCCCGTCTCTCACACCTCGTTTCCCCACAGACTGGAGATGCTGCAGACGGTGGACCGGCTCCCTATAACGAACAAGACGATGGTGCAAGAAAGCCGCTTCTTCACCATCGTGGAGCGCTGGCTCGGCGCCGCCGATGCGCCGCAAGACGTCGTGCTCATCGACGAGGCCACCGGTAAAGTATAGCTTATGTCGTTGTGATTGGTTCTATTTTCCAATAAAGCCGCCTCGTCACCACCGTGAATGCCGCAAAACGTGCTCATCGACGAGGCCACCGGTAAAATAACGCTTATGTCGTTGTCATTGGTTCTATTTTCCAAAAGCCGCTTCTTCACCATCGTGGAGCGCTGGCTCGGCGCCGCAAGACGTCGTGCTCATCGACGAGGCCACCGGTAAAATATACCTTATGTCGTTGTGATTGGTTCTATTTTCCAAAAGCCGCTTCTTTACCATCGTGAAGCGCCGCAAGACGTGCTTATCGACGAGGCAACCGGTGAGGCAGCTTATACATAATAAGCTAGTACATAATATGTAGATACTATTTTTGCAACGAACCGCTTCTTCACTATCGTGGAGCGCTGTCTCGCGCGCTCAAGATGTCGTACTCATCGACGAGGCCACCGGTAAAATATACCTTATGTCGTTGTGATTGGTTTCATTTTCCAATAAAGCCACTTCTTCACCATCGTGGAGCGCTGGCTCGGCGCCGCCGACGCGCCGCAAGACGTCGTGCTCATCGACGAGGCCACCGGTAAAGTATAGCTTATGTCGTTGTGATTGGTTCTATTTTCCAAAAGCCGCTTTTTCACCATCGTGGAGCGCTGGCTCGGCGTCGCAAGACGTCGTGCTCATCGACGAGGCCACCGGTAAAATAAAGCTAATGTCGTTGTGATTGGTTCTATTTTCCAAAAGCCGCTTCTTCACCGTCGTGGAGCGCTGGCAGGGCGCCGCCGACGCGCCGCAAGACGTGCTCATCGACGAGGCCACCGCTAAAATATAGCTTATGTAATGAGGGTTTTCGCGAATGAAAAATCCGCCAGATGGCAATACGTAGACGCGAGGTCCAAATGCTGCGTGATTGGTTATTTTTGACATGACATTGACAGATATGTCAAAATCCACCAATCACGCAGCAGTCGGACCCCACATCCACGTCCCGCCATCTAGCGGATCTTTCATTCGCGAAAACCCTCATTGTGATTGGTTCTATTTTCCAAAAGCCGCTTCTTCACCATTGTGAACACCGCAAGATGTCGTGCTCATCGACGAGGCAACCGGTGAGGCAGCTTATGTCGTAATAGATACTATTTTTGCAACGAACCGCTTCTTCACTATCGTGGAGCGCTGGCTCGGCGCCGCAAGACGTCGTGCTCATCGACGAGGCTACCGGTAAAATATAGCTTATGTAATTGTGATTGGTGCTATTTTTTAAAAGCCGCTTCTTAACCATCGTCTAGCGCCGCAAGACGTCGTGCTTATCGACGAGGCCTCCGGTAAGGCAGCTTTATCATCATTTCAGCCACATGACGTCCACTGCTGAATAAAGGCCTCCCCCAAGAATTTCCACAACGGCCGATCTTGCGCTGCCCGCATCCTGTGATCTTCACTAGATTATCTACGACCACTAAGGGTCGCGTCCAGATGAATGTAATTCTTAAACACAATGGTAAATTTTTTACTAGTTTCTAGTGAAGAATTAATAACCTGCCCTATTTTATTCATATTTTTGTGATGGCTAGAAATATCCCATTCTCATTACTTTCTGAACACCCTCATACAATGTGTTTTAGTGACATACCATTTAACATTGACTTCATCTATTCTACAGGTCTTCCAGCAGAGCTTCCTAACAGGACTGGACAAGCAAATGCCACACCAGATAAGACTAAAGAAAACGCCGCCATCTTAGAGAAAATAAAGGACTTGTCCAATCAGCTGTTGGAGAGATGGTCGAGTTTAAAGGTTTGTGGCATAATTTATTCTAATATTGCGCTTTGATCGATGCCTGATTTTATGGAAAATTTGACACTACTTATAGAGTCAAGCTTGTGTAAGGCCCGTCTCCACCAAGGCGGAGCGGAGCAGAGACATTTTTTTAAACGACAAATCAGATGTCATTCAAGTTGAATGAAATTGACAGACAGGAATCTGATTGGTTAATCAAAAAGATACATACAGTCGAACATATAACCTCCTCCTTTTTTTAAGTCGTTTAAAAATCTTGATTACTTTCGCGGTTATTTACACAGGCTTGACTTAGCTCATCCGTTGTAAGTTGCCAATTTCGATTGCACACATTTCTTTATTTTCTTTAATTTACAGGAGGTGTTCAAAATCCCCAAAAAGGAGCGTATACAGCAAATGAAAGAACACGAAAGGCAGGCCAACGTGGAGCGGCGAGCGGCCGACTCTAGCGGCTCCCGCGACCGCGACCGCGACCGCCGCGACGAGCGGGACAAGGAAAGAGAGAGAGAGAGGGAGCGCGAAAGAGACAGGGATAGAGACAGGGGCGAGCGGGACCGGGAGCGGGAAAGAGACAGGGATAGAGAGAGGGGCGAGCGGGACCGGGATCGAGACAGGGACAGATACAGAGATCGCGATAGAGATGACAGGGACAGGAGGAAACGAAGGAGCAGTCCGGACGGCAGAAGGAGTATACGGTGAGTCAATGTATTTTATGTTAAAGCCCGGTCTCTGAGCACGTAGAATTTTGTCCAATGACCCCAAGCTACCCATCCTTATCGCTCGCGCGTAATTATGTTGCTGTCGCGCTCGCGCACTCACTGCGAGCGCCCGTCGCACAGTCGCGAGACTGTGCTCAGAGACCGGGATTTATGAGAGATAACATGTTGTTAACGCCATCTATCGGCTATATGAGCGCACATAATACGTCTGAAGTTGTATACGAGCAAGGAGCCTGTGGCGGCCCGCGTCAACTTCACTCGATTACCAGCAAGAAAACACGAACGAACAACGGGTGTAAATTCATCTTAAAAGTAATCGAAATATACAAATTATTTCTTTAGTCAGCGTTCTTCATTCTATTAAACGTCGAAACACGTCATGTCTTTTGTTTAATGTTTACTGACGCTCCCGGCTTCACCACCAGCCGGGCTAGGATGCGTGCCGTGATAAAATCTTATCGATCATTTTAGACGACAAATGTACGGGCTTGTTACGTAAAATTGATAAAATGGCTCGATAAAAGTTTATCGCGGCGCGCATCCTAGACCTACTGGGTCCGTAGGCCTAAGATGCGCGCCGTGATAACTTTTATCGACGTCAAAATGTATGGAGAAAATCGATAAAATGGCGTGATAACCGCTTATTGCGGCGCGCATCTTAGGCCTACAGGATACCTGTATTTTTTACAATAACTTCAATGTTAAGGAAAAAAAAAATTTGTTTACTTGGATACCCTATTAAGGTGTCCCAACTAAAACTGAGCAGGCGCCCTATTAACATGCATTCGTCTCTTTCTTTTAAATGTGTTGTATTGTATTGTATAATGTGTGTTAATAAAAGTTATTTTATTATTATTATTATTACTTGTGTCTTGTTGTCTTTTCTTACGTTTATTCTAGGTCTTTAGGCTAAAAAAAAAGTTTTTTCTTCTTGCAGAGCTTTTAATTTTGATACAACGTTTACACCATTAAACGTAAAACTTAGGTAAATTACCAACTTTTGTTCTAAACCAGGCTAAACGACCGAGTATTAGCCGCAGTCCCGCCCATGAGCAAAGAAGAGCGGCGGCGCGCGTTCGCAGAAGCGGCGGCGGCGGCCGACGAGTCGCGGCGCCAGCGCGAGCCGCCGCACTGGCAGCACTACTGGCCGCAGGACAACTATCCACAGGTACACGACTTTATCCCTTCGTTTCAGCCAAATAACGTCCACTGCTGGACAAAGGCCTCCCCCAAGGTTTTCCACAATGAACGGTCCTGCGCTGCTCGCATCCAGGCTCTTCCCGCGACCTTTACCAGATCGTCGGTCCACCTAGTAGGAGGCCTGCCCACGCTACGTCTTCCAGCCCGTGGTCGCCACTCGAGAACTTTCCTGCCCCAACGGCCATCGTCTCTACGAGCTATGTGCCCCACCCACTGCCACTTGATTTTAGCAATTCTGCGAGCTATGTCGGTTACTTTGGTTCTCCTGCGGATCTCCTATTCGATCACGCAGGGAAACTCCGAGCATAGCCCGCTCCATCGCCCTTTGCGTGACCTTGAGCCTTCTTATGAGGCCCATAAGTAAGCGACCCTTTATCCCTTATTTTCATAACTATAAGGATGCTAGATTTAGAACGTTTGATTCTGAGAGCCTACCAAGCACCTGTTTATCGTCACGGGTCGTTCACAACGACAGAAATTGGATTGCATTGCCCGAGCTAGCAATTCTGGCACATTATGCGCAGTTTGAGAATTGATGTGAGATTCAGCCCGACGCGAAGAAACAGATTCGTCGTGTCAAGCTCCCAGAATGGGGAGAATTGACTACAATCCGTCCTTTGTAGTAAATTATCCCTCATCTTCTAATATTAGAAAATGATTTTTGGAAGTGAAGTATAAGGCAGGGGTAATTTGAATCAATATTAACTACGGCTCCACTAGCGAGTACCTGTGAAGAAAAGTAATACATTGCGTGCGTAAGGTATGACCCGAATGTGAAATATGTAACAGACATAAATGCACGCAAATAAACTGGTACTAAATTTGTAAGATGACCACCATGCCGATTACTGATTTATTGCGATTGTTTATGTCCCATCCATATGAGCAAAAGTTCCGATAAACGCAGAAGCAATTCATTTAATATTTTTTCACAATTTTTTCTAAATAATAAACTAATAAATAATTAGAAATTCTTGTTTAGGTTAATTGAGAAAGATTAGTGATTGATATTTTAGAAGGATGAAAACATACAAAAGTAATTGATTTTTACAACTCAATATTTTTATTTGTAGAAAGTTAGAATCATAAAACGAAACGTTTTATCTGTCTAAATCACCATCATAAGTTGAATGAACTATAAAACGTTTAACTAAACATTTCTTTGCTGCGTGTCTATCGGGGCCTTAGGCTGCGTTTCCACCAGATATTTTATATGCGAGGATGCGTAGCGAGGGATGTGTTTGTAAAGAACCAATAGAATTGCTTCATTTACCGAGGCGAAGTAGCCAGTCTTAAACTTTGTTCGTGTTGCAGCAAACTTTCAGGCACAACTTAGGATGACTTATAGTGTTGCCCCATAAGGGCTAACTTTTATTTTTTATTATTTAAACGCCTCTGTGGTCTAGTGGTAAGACCACCTGCTTCAGACGCAGAGGTCCCGGGTTCGATTCTCAGTGGGGGCAGATTTTTCTGTTCGGTTTGGTTGGTGGTAGGGCTTGTTCTAAGTCCGCCTGGCTAGCTACCACCATCTTACCTAAGTCTGTCGCCATAACAACAATGTTAACAGCATTGTTGTGTTCCGGCAGTTAGAGGTAAGATAGCCAGTTCCTCCGTGGTTGAGGATTCCGGGTGAAGCTCGCTTCCACCTTCGGCCTGATCATCACTTACCATCAGGTGAGATACAGGTCAAGAGCTTCCTCGTTGTGGATAAAAAATAATAATTTTGACGTTCATAAGTGCCACTTGTGGTCTAAACTGAATAAATACTTTTGATTTTGATTTTTTGATTTTGATTTTGTTCGTGTTTCAGCAAATGTTCGGCGCGGGCATGATGGGCGGCATGCTGGGCGGGCTGCTGGAGGGCGCGGAGTTCCCGCCCTTCTGCCCGCCCTTCCCGCAGCCGCAGCCCTTCTGCATGCCGCAGCACAAGTAACGAGCTTCTTGTATAGTTGTTGCAATTCACGAAGGCGAGTGAGCTTTACATGTGTGGTGGTTCGCTACTATTCGTTTTTCCCAAGTTTTCTTAGACATTACACTATCGTTATGTGCTTATGTGCATGTACACATACACACACAAGTATAGCTCACTCGCCTTCGTGAGTTGCGAGAACTTTGAACGGCAATTTAACTCTTTTTATTCAAATAATGTACTAAACACAATTTGAACTTTATTGCCTTATGTTAAGATCCAAAAATAATGTTTTTAACTGATCCAGTTAAGGGTCAATCTTCTTATTCGTTTCGCTTTTGTCAGAGTAGTGATCACGTTGAGGCGTCCACATCGATTATAAGGGCGGAAACAGCTCTTAGCACGACCTCCCGCCATCTCTCCCTGTTGTTAGACTGCCTGGTGTAGTCATATCAGATACGCGCAACTTTATTGCCTTGTGATTAAAACAATAAAAAATTGAAGTTGCTTGACCAATTCAATGTTCAAATATTTCTAAGTTAATATATACCTCAGAAGCTGGGCTAATACGTTGTCTAAACTTGATATTATTATCGCAACACTATTAACGACTTTATGTGCTTATGAAAGTTTCTTTTTCTTTTTGTATGATGTCTAATACGAATAACTTGTTTTTGGCAGTATCATGGGCATGGGCGGCTTCGGAATGGGCGGGTTCGTGTTCGGGCAGCAGATGCCGCCCTACGGACAGCCTCCGCCCGGCCTCGAACATGCTCATCCACAGGTGTGAAATATATTTATATTTCATTTATTAAACTGTCTATAAAACATTTTTGTTTGTTCCGGCGTTTCTTCTCAGCACTTGCCGTATTATGTTTGTCTCGAAGCGCTGGTAGGGCCCAAAAGATAAGGAGACATGTTCATAAGTGCCACTTGTGGTCTAAATTGAATAAATATTTTTGATTTTGATTTGAGTACAACAAGATCCAAGGATTGCTAAAACCATATTTTAGCCCATAAAGTTTAATGTTCAAATGATTATTGGGTATGGAACACAAATTACTATAGTTAAGTTACATTTATGCCCCGTATTTACTAGAAGACAAAAATCTGGCAACACCATGTAGCGTGGCTTTTTTCGTACGAATAAACGTGACGTGATATGCTGCGTTTTCGTCCTGATCCGCCCGATATTACAAACGGCACGTTTATTCTTTTGTTTGACAATAAAATACAAAGTAAATAATTCGGCTGTATTACACGTCATTTGGCATACTGGAAGCGTAGGACGGGTCGTTATGGAAATACTTGGGGGAGGCCTTTTTATAGAAATGAACGTCATTCAACAAACGAGACACACGTCATATCATCATCATCATCTCAGCCATAGGACGTCCACTGCTGAACATAGGCCTCCAGGCCTCCCCCAATGCTTTCCATGTCGCCCGGTTGGTAGCGGCCTGCGTCCAGCGCCTTCCTGATGTCGTCAGTCCACCTTGTGGGGGGACGTCGTATAATATTTACATAATCGAAGCATCTTGATAAAAGATCGGCCGTTTGGTGTAGTGGTTCAGAACGGACTACAATGCCGAGAGGTCCCGGGTTCGATTCCCGGTCGGGCAGAAATTGAAATGATGAATTTTATATCCGTGGTCTAGTACCCATAGTACAAGCTTCGCTTAGTTTGGGGCTAGCGGCGCAGTGTAAAATGTCCAAGGATATTTATTATTTATTTATTTATTATTATTATAATCTTCGTCACCAATGTACCATTTACTCCAGGTCCAAATGCAAATGCCCGGCATGCCCGACCCGACCCAGGCGGTCGGTCTCGCGATGCCCCCCGCGGGCGTGGCTTCCGCTAGTGCGGCCGGCGCCGCCTCCGACCCGACCGGGGAGGTAGTGCTGCCTTCCATGTGGCGGTCGGCGGTCGACGCGCGCGGTCGGACGTATTATTACCACGTGAAGCTGCGGCAGCCGCAGTGGCTACCTCCCCCTCCTCCAGGTATGAGAGGTAGTTATATTGTAGTTTATGAGTGCGAAAACACATGAAATATCAAGCCGGGTTCAGACGGATGTAGTGCGTAATGGAATGTATCGTGTAATGTAATGGAAACGGCGTGGCCCCCGCTAGTGCGGTCGACGCGCGCGGTCGAACTTATTACTACCACGTGAAGCTGCGGCAGCCGCAGTGGCTACCTCCCCCTCCTCCAGGTATGAAAGGTATAAAGTTGCTTGTAGTTTTTGAGTGCGAAAACAAATGAAATATCAAGCCGGGTCCAGACGGGTGTAACGCGTAATGGAATGTATCTTGTAATGTAATGGAAACGGCGTGGCCCCCGCTAGTGCGGCCGGCGCCGCCTCCGACCCGACCGGGGAGGTAGTGCTGCCTTCCATGTGGCGGTCGGCGGTCGACGCGCGCGGACGTATTATTACCACGTGAAGCTGTGGCTACCTCCACCTGAATGTCTCCAACTTCCTCATTGACCCTAGAGCAATTCCAAGTATACCATCAATAAAAGCCTAATTAGAGTCATCAAACCTCTCAGTTATTCAATTGGAGCCATTAGAACTTCATAACTATGAGTTGTTTTCTATGTGTAAGCTGAGGACACGTGTCTCCAGCTGACACATCTGTATCTTCGTAAATATTTATGCTACGATAATGTATTATACCTCAAAAATTACAGTCGAATAAAAATAGTAGGCTTTCCACTTTTCAAGACTTTNCCTACAGTAGGTGACGTAGGCGACCTGCCCTGCCGCCGCCTGTTCCTCGACTACCGGGGCCTTAGGCTGCTGGCGCCCTGGGCATCCGACGCGCCGCTGGACTTCCGGTACTATCCTCGCCATCCCTAGCGCGGCCACTGCTGACGTAGGCGACCTGCCCTGCCGCCGCCTGTTCCTCGACTACCGGGGCCTTAGGCTGCTGCTAGACCAATTTAAAAAAAAAGAGAATCGCTCGTATTTTGTCTTTCAGCTCCATCGTGTGAGCATGCACCGTTACCGTCATTTTTGTTAAATATACCTACTATAAGTACTGGCGCATAATTCAGTGCCTAGGGTATTGGAGCGGCACAAGAGGGGTGAAATAGACATTATGACGTAACAGAGCATACAAATCTGAAGTCGTATGACGTATGACATCACAAACCTCAAGAACTGACGCACAGTTATGCGTTAGACTTTTAATACCACGCAGTTGTTTAGCCAGAATTTTTGATCCTCAAAACTAGATTGTCACTCAAACAAGTAGAAGTCTAATAGAAGTCTAAAGCCTGGTCCGTGAGAACGTAGAGTCCCGTCCAATGACCCCAAGCTGCCCATCCTTGTCGCTCGCACGTAATTATGTTGCTGTCGCGCTCGCACACTCACTGCGGGCGCGCGTCACACAGTCGCGACAGCAATATAATTACGCGCGAGCGATAAGGATGGGTAGCTTGGGGTCATTGGACGGGATTCTACGTGCTCACGGACCGGGCTTTAGTAGAAGAATATTTTAGATCTAATAGAATAATCTAGTAGTAAATCAAGACTCGTACAATGTATTTAATCCGTCCTCATTCTGCCCTTTTCTCACACCTTATTTCCCCACAGACTGGAGATGCTGCAGACGGTGGACCGGCTCCCGATAACGAACAAGACGATGGTGCAAGAAAGCCGCTTCTTCACCATCGTGGAGCGCTGGCTCGGCGCCGCCGACGCGCCGCAAGACGTCGTGCTCATCGACGAGGCCACCGGTGAGGCAGCCTATGTGGTTGTAATACTTGTAATAGATACTATTTTGCAACTAAGCGCTTCTTCACCATCGTGGAACCAGAGTAAATACAAATGAGTAGGTCATCTTCATAGAAACGGACCGTGCGCGGTTTGATATGAGCTCGCCAATATACGTATGCGGCGCGCACGCACACACTGACAAAATTCGGCGCAACCACGACTGGCTCCCCGCTAATCCCCGCTAAATTTTGTCAGTGTGTGCGTGCGCGCCGCATACGTGTTGGCGCGCTCACATACATCACTATTTATTTTTACTCATTTGTATTTACTCTGGTGAAACACTGCAAGACGTGTTCATCGACGAGGCAACCGATAAGCTGGCTGCTTATGTCGTTGTTCGTTTCGGCTAAATGTCGACCACTGCTGAACAAAGGCCTCCCCCAAGGATTTCCACAACGACCGGTACGCATCCCGGTACTTCCTGCGACCTTTACCAGATCATCGGTACACCTAGTGGTTGTTTTTTTTTGCTATGAAAATGTGTGTATTGTTGTGGAGATCCTAAAAATACTATTACATTTCTATTGAAAAATCGCTCCCATAGATATATTTCACCATCAGAGACGCAGGCGAATAGTGATATACCAGCGTTCATAATTCGGCGGCGAAACCTGCTGCACTAGTTAGTCGCTCAACGAAAAAATGAAAAGAATATAACAGCAATACAGAGACGAAGATTATCCATCTTGGCTATTGGATATCAATTAGTTTCATATTTCAATAATTAGCCTCTTTGGCATGTTTAACGTTGATTTCATCTGTTCTAAAGGTCTTCCAGCAGAGCTTCCTAACAGGACTGGACAAGCAAATGCCGCACCAGATAAGACTAAAGAAAACGCCGCCATCTTAGAGAAAATAAAGGACTTGTCCAATCAGCTGTTGGAGAGATGGTCGAGTTTAAAGGTTTGTGGTTTTTTATTATGTATTTTTTTAATGATCAGAGTCGCGTCGATCCAAGCGTTAGCCTTTTAAATTAGTATTAAATACTTTTTTATGATCAGCGTCGTGTAGAGCGAAGCGTTAAATTTCATTTATTCATTTAAATGAGGACGTCATTTGATTGAGATGTGCTGCTCTCCAATGATCTGCAATTTCTATTTCGGCTATTTCTACAATGCACAGGCTTACTTCACGTGCTGTAAGTTGAGTTGCCGATATTGATTGCGTAACACATCGTCGTCGTCGTCGTCGTTTCAGCCGAAAGACGTCCACTGCTGGACAAAGGCCTCCCCCAAGGATTTCCACAAAGACCGGTCCTGCGCCGCTTGCATCCAGGTACTTCCCGCGACCTTCACCAGATCGTCGGTCCACCTAGTGGGAGGCCTGCCCGAAATACCGCAGTGTCTCAAGTCAAAAGTATTTGACCAGTGTGTGTTGCCAGTGATGGTGTATGGCTCTGAGACGTGGTCGCTTACTATGGGCCTCATAAGAAGGCTCAAGGTCACCCAAAGAGCGATGGAGCGTGCTATGCTCGGAGTTTCCCTGCGTGATCGAATCAGAAATGAGGAGATCCGTAGGAGAACCAGAGTGACTGACATAGCCCGCAGAATCGCTAAAATCAAGTGGCAGTGGGCGGGGCACATAGCTCGAAGAGCTGATGGCCGCTGGGGCAGGAAAGTTCTTGAGTGGCGACCACGAGCTGGAAGACGTAGCGTGGGCAGGCACACACACACACACACACACACACACACACACACACACACACACACACATGTTGGTTTTCTTTTGTTATTGTAAGTTCATCTCATATTCAATTCATGTAGGTATTCAGTTAAAGCTAAATAAGTATTAAGTTATTTATTAGTAACCTAAATTGTTTATTTATAGCGTCTGTATTAGAGGAAGGCGCTAATGACTGCGACACAGTCTTTGACTACTGCAGTCATTAACGTTTCATTTTGTCTATGCACAATTGTAATTGGCTACAAATAAAGTTTTTATTATTTTATTATTTATTATTAATGTTTACTGACGCTCCCGGCTTTACCACCAGCCGGGCTAAGATGCGTGCCGTGATAAAATCTTATCGATCATTTTAGACGACAAACGTATGGGCTTGTCACGTAAAATGGCGCGATAAAAGTTTATTGCGGCGCGCATCCTAGACCTACAGCACTAGCGGAGTAATTGGATTACGCTGGATACCTGTATTTTTTACAATAACTTCACTGTTATGGAAAAAAACATTTTGTTTACTTGTGTCTTGTTGTCTTTTCTTACGTTTATTCTAGGTACTGCGATCTCCAACCCGCCTGCCAAGCGGGGGGATTATGGCAAAACCCTCTACTATGGAGGAGGCTCATAGTCCAGCAGTGTACTGTTTAGGGCTGTTGATGATGATTCTAGTCTTTAGGCTGAAAAAAAAAAATTTTTTTTTCTTCTTGCAGAGCTTTCAATTTTGATACAACGTTTACACCATTTACACGCTTAAACGTAAAACTTAGGTAAATAACCAACTTTTGTTCTAAACCAGGCTAAACGACCGAGTATTAGCCGCAGTCCCGCCCATGAGCAAAGAAGAACGGCGGCGCGCGTTCGCCGAAGCGGCGGCGGCGGCCGACGAGTCGCGGCGTCAGCGCGAGCCGCCGCACTGGCAGCACTACTGGCCGCAGGACAACTATCCACAGGTACACGATTTTATCCCTTATTTTCATAACTATAAGGATGCTAGATTTAGAACGTTTGATTCTGGGAGCCTAGCAAGCACCTGTCTATCGTCACGGGTTGTGAACGACAGAAATTGGATTGCATTGCCCGAGCTAGCGTAATTCTGGCATATTATGCGCAGTTTGGCAATTGATGTGAGATTCAGCATCGAAAGCAGCCCGACGCGAACAAAACGGATTCGTCATGTCAAGCTCCCAGAATGGGGAGAAATATTCCTCTTTTTCTAATATTAGAAAATAATTTTTGGAAGTGAAGTATAAGGCAGGGGTAATTTGAATCAATATTAACTACGGCTCCACTAGCGAGTACCTGTGAAGAAAAGTAATACATTGCGTGCGTAAGGTATGACCCGAATGTGAAATATGTGACAGACATAAATGCACGCAAATAAACTGGTACTAAATTTGGATTTGAATTCTTATTTTTAAGGAACACTACGTTTAACCAAACATTTCTTTGCTTCGTGTCTATCGGGGCCTTAGGCTGCGTTTCCACCAGAGATGTGCGAGGATGCGTAGCGAGGGATGTGTTTGTAAAGAACCAATAGAATAGGCTAGTTTCCTAAAAAAATTTTTTTAGTCCGTCAATTTTAATATAAAAAAATATTGGACACGTATATTTTTAATTGTCAATCAAACAAATAATTACAAAGTTATAGTGCGTTGAAGTTCCGCGCGACGTCACAAAGTGCTGCACTTTTACGCACTCACTGACGTCACGGGCCTTTTCTTTAGAACTTTGGCACGCTTTATCTCTTTACATTTTCATTAGTTTTAAAAGTGAAAAACACGTGTCGAGTAGTTTTTGATAAGCTAACTGACGGACTAATTAAAACTCTTGCTTTTTTACCCAGGAAACGTCCCTATTGCTTCATTTACCGAGGCGAAGTAGCCAGTCTTAACCTTTGTTCGTGTTGCAGCAAATGTTCGGGCACAACTCGTGATAAGACTTATAGTGTTGTTCGTGTTGCAGCAAATGTTCGGCGCGGGCATGATGGGCGGCATGCTGGGCGGGCTGCTGGAGGGCGCGGAGTTCCCGCCCTTCTGCCCGCCCTTCCCGCAGCCGCAGCCCTTCTGCATGCCGCAGCACAAGTAAGCCGCATATTGTCTTATTTTGTCTTCAAATTATGTATTGAACGTCAGTTTCATAATGCAAGCATTTACAATGGTAAAAATCAATATGTCATTTTACCGAAGTCAGCCCTATAGCTTCGGCGCAGTGCCGATCACTGACGTTTGTCAACAAAATGGTGCTTGACTCTTGAGACAGGCTAAATTACACCATATTGTTAATGACATTGAGCATACATTTTTTTAAATACCTTCGCAAAGTAAAACTTCTGTACGTAGTACTTATTATTATTCTGTGGTAGTACTTATTATTTTTCTGTGACTAAGGGCTGATTTTTCAATAGCCAGCTGAAGGATAAATTTGTCATTTTGACATATTTCCCATACTCAAACTGTCAATGTGCCAAACTTAGTCTTCAGTTAAAAGATATCTGACGATTAAAAAACCAGTCCATAATCTGTTAACTCTACATTTGTTCGAAATGTGACTTATAAGTCTAAATTTTGGCAGTATCATGGGTATGGGCGGCTTCGGAATGGGCGGGTTCGTGTTCGGGCAGCAGATGCCGCCCTACGGACAACCTCCGCCCGGCCTCGAACATGCTCATCCACAGGTTTGACATTTATACTTCACTAGCGACATGCCCCTGCTTCGCACAGAAGCACTTAAAAACCTTCCTCTTAAATCACTATTTAATAAAAAAAAACTGCATGAAAATCAGTTGCGTAGTTTTTTAAGATTAGGGATAGACAGCGGAAAGCGACTTTATTTTATACTAGCGGCCGCCCGCGACTTGTTACGCGTGGATCCCGTTTTACCCCCTTAGGGATCGAGTTTCTTAAAATCCTTTCTTAGCAGATGCCTACGTCATAACATTTATCTGCATGCCAAATTTCAGCCCGATCGGTCTAGTTATTTGGGCTGTGCGTTGATGATCACTATGTCAGTCAGTCTTTGGGTTTATTGATTTATTTAAAGGCACAACCACAAAATACAATTCAATAAAATTACAATGATAACATGAGTTATAATACAGGGTGTTGATTTCAATCCTCGCCATATTTAGGGAAATACTTCGGGGAGTCTTTTGTCCAGAAATGGCCGTCATTTGGCTGAAAAGAGACACACGTCATATTATATTTCCTTATTCATCGTCACCAATGTACCATTTACTCTAGGTCCAAATGCAAATGCCCGGCATGCCCGACCCGACCCAGGCGGTCGGTCTCGCGATGCCCGCGGGCGTGGCCCCCGCTAGTGTGGCCGGCGCCGCCTCCGACCCGACCGGGGAGGTAGTGCTGCCTTCCATGTGGCGGTCGGCGGTCGACGCGCGCGGTCGGACGTATTATTACCACGTGAAGCTGCGGCAGCCGCAGTGGCTACCTCCCCCTCCACCAGGTATGAAAGGTATAAAGTTGCTTGTAGTTTTTGGGTGCGAAAACAAATGAAAAAGGTAGTTATATTGTAGTTTATGAGTAAGAAAACACATGGAATATCAAGCCGGGTCCAGACGGGTGTAACGCGTAATGGAATGTATCGTGTAATGTAATGGAAACGGCGTGGCCCCCGCTAGTGCGGCCGGCGCCGCCTCCGACCCGACCGGGGAGGTAGTGCTGCCTTCCATGTGGCGGTCGGCGGTCGACGCGCGCGGTCGGACGTATTATTACCACGTGAAGCTGCGGCAGCCGCAGTGGCTACCTCCCCCTCCACCAGGTATGAGAGGTAGAGAGTATATTGTAGTTTATGAGCGCGAAAACATATGAAATATCAAGCCAGGTCCAGACGGGTGTTTCGCGTAATGGAATGTATCGTGTAATGTAATGGAAACGGCGTGGCCCCCGCTAGTGCGGCCGGCGCCGCCTCCGACCCGACCGGGGAGGTAGTGCTGCCTTCCATGTGGCGGTCGGCGGTCGACGCGCGCGGTCGGACGTATTACTACCACGTGAAGCTGCGGCAGCCGCAGTGGCTACCTCCCCCTCCTCCAGGTATGAGAGGTAAAGCCCGGTCTGCGAGCACGTAGAATTTTGTCCAATGACCCCAAGCTACCCATCCTTATTCCAGATTATAGTTATATTGTAGTTTATGGGTGCGAAAACAAATGAAATATCAAGCCGGGTTCAGACGGGTGTATTGCGTAATAGAATGTATCGTGTAATGTAATGGAAATAGTATGGGCAGCACTTTATATGTAATGCTCGTAGGTTCGCTCCCGTTCACACGTAGAATTCGTGTTGCATTACACGTAATCTTACATTACACCCGTCTGAAGTAACGGACTGGAAAACGAGAGAACACTTTTAACGAAAATAACAATATGAGCATAAATCAATTTAGGCCTACTGTCCACGTTACGTCGCGTCCGCCTCACGTTACGCTCCGTGGACACAGAGAGTTGTACGCAAGATGCAATCAATATTCAATTGACGATAGCGTGCACATGACGTGGACAGCAGGCCTTACGCTCAGAATTACGATTACGATGATTTTCAATTAGTAGTGATACAGCTCAAAGATTAGAAATTATGTATATTTAAATACATACATTTAAAATCACACTAGGTATGTCACAATTTATATCTGACTGTTTTATTCCACAGAAGACTCAGAAGAATCTGAAGAAGAGGAGGCAGAACAGTTATCTGCCATTGACACTGCGATAGTCCGCAGACAGATGAAAGGAAAGCTCGTGGAAGGTGTCAATGGCATCTACGAAGGTATAAACGTAACTCAAAATAATATTATTCTTAGTTACTAAGCTACGTGGGTCTGTTTGTAATGCTGTTGTTATTTTACAGTGATAAAAGAAGACCCACCGAACGGTCTGATTCCAGACCACGCCTTACTCAATATGAAGCCACGGAAGAGGCGGCCGGGGCTTGTATCCGAGAGACCTATAAGCGTAAGTTCTCATCCAGCCAAACACTATGACTCCTTTTTGTAACAAAAATGTGATTGGCGTCTGTATAAACCTACTACGAAACTTGTTTGTGTTATTTGCCGAGAGATGTCACTGCTCTTTGAGGGACGAAAAGCTGTACCGCGGTGTCCAGATTTTTTTCCCTGGCTTTATATACCTGGAGGATTTTGACATCTGTGAACCATTGACAACCTTTCAAGCAATAAATTGTCACTTAAATATTGACGTCTTATTTAAACCTAGATAAGAGTCCCTTAAGTGCGCCGAGAGTATCCGTGGTTTATTCAGCGTCTGTACTTCATCAATTTTTATACGTTCACAGCCAAGAACCGAAGAGGACAAACTGGCTGGCAGACTAGAAGTGAAGAGGTATAAGCAGACCAAGGAAAAGCTGCGTCGGCGCCGCGAGCGTCTCATGAACCGGGTGCGTCTGCTCGCCGCACGCTCGCGGGGCCGCGGGGCCGACAGCGACGCGCAGGTGCTCAAGGTGAATGCCGCTCTCCGGCGCTACACATCGTTCGTTCGTTCGTTTCAGCCAAATGACGTCCACTGCTGGACATAGGCCTCCCCCAAGGTTTTCCACAATGAACGGTCCTGCGCTGCCCGCATCCAGGCTCTTCCCGCGACCTTTACCAGATCGTCGGTCCACCTAGTAGGAGGCCTGCCCACGCTACGTCTTCCAGCCCGTGGTCGCCACTCGAGAACTTTCCTGCCCCAACGGCCATCGTCTCTACGAGCTATGTGCCCCGCCCACTGCCACTTGATTTTAGCAATTCTGCGAGCTATGTCGGTTACTTTGGTTCTCCTGCGGATCTCCTCATTTCTGATTCGATCACGCAGGGAAACTCCGAGCATAGCCCGAGCATAACTTCACACATAGGGCACACAGAATAATTATAAGTACTACGTACAGAAGTTTTACTCCGCGAAGGTATTTAAAAAAATGTATGCTCAATGTCATTAACTATATGGTGTAATTTAGCTTGTCTCAAGAGTCAAGCACCATTTTGTTGACAAACGTCAGTGATCGGTACTGCGCCGAAGCTATAGGGCTGACTTCGGTAAAATGATGTGACGTGAGGTGCCAAACTGCAGAAAATGGCGGAGGAAATACATGATTTAGCATGAATTATCATGATTAATATTAACTACGTATTTACCTCTCAGTGACGCGACAGTACACCATTTTATTTATTTTTTCCATCATACACAAGAATACGCGTGCGTGAGTCAACGTTCGCTCGTATGTGAGGCCTTGTCGAATAGTAATCCTGTAGGGGGCCATCGTGCGTGTTTTGTTTTCGATGTAAACTCGCGGAGATGAACAGGCCTGATAGGGCACACAGTCGAGCGAGCCGAGCTGCGTCATGCACCGGGGCCGACAGCGACGCGCAGGTGCTCAAGGTGAATGCCGCTCTCCGGCGCTACACATAGGGCACACAGTCGAGTACAACAAGATTACCTAGAACCTTCCGTCGAACTGAAGTCTAGGTTGTTTCACTGTCGAATGCGACTCCGTAATCCCGCTACTCAAGTGGCAATGGGCAGGGCACATAGTACGCAGAACTAACGGCCGATGGGGCAGAAAGAACTGACGGACGTCGGTGGACCGACGACATCGTAAAGGTAGCAGGGAAGCGCTGGACGCAGGCCGCTACCAATCGATCAACATGGAAAGCATTGGGGGAGGCCTATGTTCAGCAGTGGACGTCCTATGGCTGAAATGATGATGATGATGATGATGAATCCCGCTACTCCCGGCAAGAAGGTACCCTTCGGAAAGGGGTTTTAATAAAGGTTCCTAAGGTCAACTAATCAATGAATATGTTAATTTTATCGTTTTTCCAACTAAATTTTAACCATCAGAAAAAAATACACGTTTCTATTTCANCATTCAGGTGCTACCTCCCCCTCCTCCAGGTATGAGAGGTAGTTATATTGTAGTTTATGAGTGCGAAAACACATGAAATATCAAGCCGGGTTCAGACTGGTGTATCGCGTAATGGAATGGAAACAGTATGGGCAACACTTTACATGTAATGCTCGTAGTGTCGCTCCCGTCCACACGTAGGATTTGGATTACATTACACCCTTTTGAACTCGGTTTTAGAGATACGAAGTTTTATTGAATTAATGGAATGGAAAACTAGAGATCGAACACTTTTAACCGACAGTAACAGTGTGCAATCAATCAATTTAGGGCCCTCGCCCACTGCGTCGTAGACGAGCGACAACATCGCTACTAACGCGCGTTAGTCACATTTGCAACGCACTATAAAAGTGATGCCAACGCGCTACTAACGTGCTACAGCAGTGCGACTGCATCGCTACAAAAAGTCGCCGTGGGCGAGGGCCTTTAGGCCTCCACGCAACGTCGCGTCCGCCGCACAATACGCTCCCTGGACACAGTTTTGATTTTTCTTCGCAAGATGCAAGCAATCGTCAATTGATAATAGCGTTCGCATGACGTGAGTATTACGTGGACAGGACAGTAGGCTTTACCCCGCGTGATAGGAATGTGTGCTCTATCTTTATTAGTAGTGATGCTCAAAGATTAGAAATTATTTTAAATACATTTAAAATCACATTGTAGGTATAACAATTTATATCTGACTGTTTTATTCCACAGAAGACTCGGAAGAATCTGAAGAAGAGGAGGCAGAACAGTTATCTGCCATTGACACTGCGATAGTCCGCAGGCAGATGAAAGGAAAGCTCGTGGAAGGAGTCAATGGCATTTACGAAGGTATGAATAAAACTAATAAAATATAACTAATTTGTAGTTATTGACTACAAATAAGTTGATTTGTAAATTAAATGCTATTGTTACTTTACAGTGATAAAAGAAGACCCACCGAACGGCCTGATTCCAGACCACGCCTTACTCAATATGAAGCCGCGGAAGAGGCGGCCGGGGCTTGTGTCAGAGAGACCTATAAGCGTAAGTTTATTTAGTCAAACATTGTGAGTGCTGGGCTGAGTGTGAGTTTAAATCAAACGCGCTCAATAGTGAGTGCGTAAAAAAATGACATTAATGTATGACGAATTGTTCAGCGCCCCTAGTAGAAAGTTTTAAGATCTAAAATTTTCATATATATTTTAAACGCGCTCACTAGAAACTCACACTAAGCCCTCTGAAGTAGTTTTAATAGATAAGGTTTTGAAACAAAAATCTTTGTGATTGGCATTTGTTCTAAAATTTTTTATACATTCACAGCCAAGAACCGAAGAGGACAAACTGGCTGGCAGACTAGAAGTGAAGAGGTATAAGCAGACCAAGGAAAAGCTGCGCCGGCGCCGCGAGCGTCTCATGAACCGGGTGCGTCTGCTCGCCGCACGCTCGCGGGGCCGCGGGGCCGACAGCGACGCGCAGGTGCTCAAGGTGAATGCCGCTCTCCGGCGCTACACATAGGGCACACAGAATAATTATAAGTACTACCAGGCCTGTTCATTAGGGTGTCCCGTCGTTGTATGGGAAAATTTTTTTTTTGAGCTACGGTTACGCAAGAGGTGTCAAAAGTTGCGTTTTGACATGTAGATTACGATTAGCATTAAATTTAATGAGATATCTGTCATCTTGAGGCCTCTACCTGTCCTTAAAAAAAATTTAAATTGCTATTTTAGGGGTTCCTAACATAAACTATTAACAATACAAAAATAGCGTTTTTATGAAATTTGAGGGTACACAATGAGTCACAGCAAGGTTTAAAATAGTTTAAAAACCAATAAATCCATAAATACTTTCAAAACAGAATTAGCTTTTTGACCAGAATTAGGCATTTACGCGCGCGATTTTAATGTATTCCTAATTAATCCATGGGTCAGCCAAGATATCGATTTAATTTGAGGATACTCAATTCCCTTCTCACAGCAGGTTAATAATTTTATTACGCTATTATAAATCAATGATTGGCATCTCTAAGTGGAAGCTAACAAAAATGGCAGTCAATTTTAGAAAATCAACCATAACTTGAAAACCATTTGTCCGATAGCATTACTTTTTTATTTAAATGATAGCTCTACGTGTGCGCTTGATATTTTGTGGTATAAGTTGTATCGATAAAATCAACCTTTAGTTAGTAATTAAAGGAAAATTGATTTTTTTTTTACATTGTTGTCATACTACTATTTAAATCATTTTTTTACAAAATGTCTTATACTCTACTTAATGTTTTACACAAGCCAAAAAAGTGTATTAAATTGTCTTTAATTTGATATATAACATGTATGCGTTTCATAACTAAAAATATATTTTTACTTCCCTTGAAGTTCACCATTGGTAAAAAACTGCGTAGACAACAAAAACTTCAGCTAGAAAGTGTATGTAACGTACATAAATGTTATTTATATTTAATAGTATGCTAAAACTATTTAACATGTCAATTAGTATTCTCTTTAAATATAATATTATTAAGATTTTTGGCTATGTAGTTTTTACCTGAAAAAAATCAAAAAGTATATTACTACCATTATATTGCTAAATTTTTGTTAAGTTTATGCTAAAAGTATGTAATATTATAACAAAAAAGTGCGGTGCCATACCTTACAGCAATAAAACCTCATCAGAAATAATACCAACAGCCTCGCCGATGGAGTAGAAAATTTGAGAAAAACAAGTCAAAATATGAATTCTGCTAGTTCGAACCAAACCTATTCCTCACTGGAAACAGTCTATCATTGCCTGCAAATCATATCTTAGGATTCAACTGCCACTGTTATTACAAAATAAAATGAAATAACTGTGAAAAAAATATAATAAATGACAAAAAGTGAAGGGCTGATTAAGTGATTTTTTGAGACATAAAAATGCCGGTAGAGCCCTTGAGACATTATTTCATATTTTTTTAAATATTTTTACGGTAATCTACATCTTACGACGCAACTTTTGAGGGGTCTTGTGTAGCGAAAATATAAAAAAAGATATTTCGGGACACCCTACTGTTCATCTCCGCGAGTTTACATCGAAAACAAAACACGCACGATGGCCCGCCTGCAGTATACTATTCGACAAGGCCTCACATACGAGCGAACATTGACTCACGCACGCGTATTCTTGTGCATGATGGAAGAAAACAAAGAAAATGGTGTACTAAATACTGTGCAGTATTTAACTGCCTAAATAATAATAAAAACACAGAATGTACTTTTTTAAGTTGCCTCAAGACACTGAGAGGTAAATAAGTAGTTAATATTATTCATGATAATTCATATTAATATTAGTATTTATTCATAGTAGTATTTATTATTATTCTGTGGTACTACGTACAGAAGTTTTACTCCGCGAAGGTATTTAAAAAAATGTATGCTCAATGTCATTAACTATATGGTGTAATTTAGCTTGTCTCAAGAGTCAAGCACCATTTTGTTGACAAACGTCAGTGATCGGTACTGCGCCGAAGCTATAGGGCCGACTTCGGTAAAATGATGTGACGTGAGGTTCCAAACTGCAGAAAATGGCGGAGGAAATACATGATTTAGCATGAATTATCATGAATAATATTAACTACTTATTTACCTCTCAGTGACGCGACAGTACACCATTTTGTTTATTTTTTCCATCATACACAAGAATACGCGTGCGTGAGTCAACGTTCGCTCGTATGTGAGGCCTTGTCGAATAGTAATCCTGTAGGGGGCCATCGTGCGTGTTTTGTTTTCGATGTAAACTCGCGGAGATGAACAGGCCTGATAGGGCACACAGTCGAGCGAGCCGAGCTGCGTCATGCACCGGGCGCGCTGCTGGCCGCGCGCTACTCATCCTTATCGCTCGCGCGTAATTATATTGCTGTCGCGCTCGCACACTCATTGCTGCCGCCCGTCGCACAGTCGCGACAGCAATATAATTACGCGCGAGCGATAAGGATAGGTAGCTTTTGGTCATTGGACAAAATTCTACGTGCTCGGCGACCAGACTTTAGGTTGTTTCACTGTCGAATGCGACTCCGTAATCCCACTACTGCCGGCAAAAAGGTACTCTTTAGAAAGGTTATAATAAAGGTTCCTAAGGTCAACTAATATCAGTTCCATTCAGCGCGGAATGCAGCTAGCATTCTGGGCACCATGTCGCGTTGTTTGGATAGTGATTTAGGGCATATTTTTTATTTTTAAATATTTAGTCTATGACCTGCTATACACGGACAGCTTGAAGCAGTTAGTGTCGGCAGCTTCAAGCTGCGACTGCATAGCAAACTACGGAAACAGTTGTAACGGAAGCGGTTCCGTGTATGTGTGTACGTATTGTACTGTAGTTTGCTATGCAGTCGCAGCTTGAAGCTGTCGGATACTAAAGCCTGGTCCGTGAGCACGTAAAATTTTGTCCAATGACCCCAAGCTACCCATCCTTATCGCTCGCGCGTAATTATATTGCTGTCGCGCTCGCACACTCACTGCGGTCGCGCGTCGCACAGTCGCGAGCGATAAAGATGGGTAGCTTGGGGTCATTGGACAAAATTCTACGTGCTCACGGACCAGGCTTTAGCTGCTTCAAGCTGTCCGTGTATGGTGGGCCTATGTAGTTCATTAATTGTGAATTTTATCATTTTTCCAACTAAACTTCAACCACCAGAACAAAATACACGTCCCTATTTCATCTCTTCGTATCTCCCCAGATGGTGGATCTCGTAGACTCGGACAGCGAGTCAGAAGCGGACTCGGAAGACGGCAACGAGAAGCCGTTCACGCTGCCGTCGTCGCCGCCCAGCGACTCGCCGCTCGCGCCGGTTGCCGCGCCCGCGACCGCGCCGATGCCCGCGCCGATCGTCGAGCCTGCGCCCGCGCCGATAGATCCTGATGAAGCCGCTAGGAGGATCAAGGTAAGTTAGACTAAACAACAAACATCTCGTAAAGCCTGGTCCGTGAGCACGTAGAATCCCGTCCAATGACCCCAAGATACCCATCCTTATCGCTCGCGCGTAATTATATTGCTGTCGCGACTGTGCGACACGCGCCCGCAGTGAGTGTGCGAGCGCGACAGCAACATAATTACGGGCGAGCGACAAGGATGGGCAGCTTGGGGTCATTGTACGGGATTCTACGTGCTCACGGACCAGGCTTTAGACTCGGACAGCGAGTCGGAAGCGGACTCGGAAGACGGCAACGAGAAGCCGTTCACGCTGCCGTCGTCGCCGCCCAACGACTCGCCGCTTGCGCCGGCGACCGCGCCCGCGACCGCGCCGATGCCCGCGCCGATCGTCGAGCCTGCGCCCGCGCCGATAGATCCTGATGAAGCAGCTAGGAGGATCAAGGTAAGTTCTTCTAACAGAAACGTTTATGCACCTTAATTTTATTAGGGATTGCAACCCGGTATGTTTCTCAACCCGGCCGGGCCCGGTTGCATTCGTCGCCAACCCAGGTTGTGTGTTACCTGTGGTGAAACCTTTACGCTCACATTCACAAACATTACTATGAGGTCTCACAGTGCGCCTGGACGCACAGGGTTTCACGAACCAATCACAGAGCTTTATTCAACGCTGTGCGTTCGATTTGCTGCTTAACAAGCAAGCATCGTTTGTGAATATGGGTGTCGAAGTATTTTATGAAAATTTCTATAACTTTGATAGATAGATAAACATTGGTAGATTTGGTATAAACAACACAAATTATTTCACCTACCGGGTCCGGTGACCGGACCCGGTTAGAATGGCCGGGCCCGGTGGGTGCCTAAAAGGGTACCGGGCCCGGCCGGACCTGGTTTGCAATCCCTAGTGAGCAGGATGTCGAGTTTGCCGTTCGCCCAGGGCGGACGCACCATAACAGAAATTTCTGAATCTTTGGAGACGTTTAGAGCCTGTCTACGCACAGGATGTTTCGCGCCATCGACGCTCGATTGTAGCGACACAAAAGTCCGAATCAATTTGTTGGAAAACAGCGCTATGTTGAGCGTTTTATAAACACGTGTGTACAGGGCCTTAGTTCTGAATTTACAGATTGTTTTTTTACGAGTTTCAATTCTCTTTTTTTTAGATGGCTATACAGCAGTTGTTCCTCTTGAATTAATAAAGGCTAAAATATACATTTCCAGTCGAGAAAAGTATTAGGCTTGATTTCGGACGTCGGTGACTGACGTCAGCGGCGCGTATGCATATACACGTCTTGTACATAGGTGACCCACGCTGAACTGTCCCACCAAAATCAATGACGGGGGGCGCTACCATCGCTCAACTAATGGTTTCCAACATGGCAAAAATCGGAACCAGCGATCCGGTATTGACGGTGGCGCCCCACTGTCAATGTCATGCATAGGACAGTTCAGTATTTTGTAACTATATATTATTTATTTATTTTATTAGGAAAATTTATTTTATTTATCAAGTGTTTGTGGTTTTGCAGGAGCAGTTCCGCAGCAGCATGGCGCGCGTGATGGTGCACCACCTGAACCCCTACCGCCACTCCGACGCGCCCGCCGGCCGCATCACCTGCACCGCCGACTTCAAGCACCTGGCCCGGAAGGTGCGTGCTTGTACCTCATGTAGATAACAAGCTAGGTGTTCCTTATTCTCGAGTGATGGAGTGTCTAGGACGGAGGAGACTATGGGCCTCATAAGAAGGCTCAAGGTCACCCAAAGAGCGATGGAGCGTGCTATGCTCGGAGTTTCCCTGCGTGATCGAATCAGAAATGAGGAGATCCGTAGGAGAACCAGAGTGACTGACATAGCCCGCAGAATCGCTAAAATCAAGTGGCAGTGGGCGGGGCACATAGCTCGAAGAGCTGATGGCCGCTGGGGCAGGAAAGTTCTTGAGTGGCGACCACGAGCTGGAAGACGTAGCGTGGGCAGGCCTCCCACTGGGTGGACCGACGATCTGGTGAAGGTCGCGGGAGGTACCTGGATGCANGAAAGTTCTTGAGTGGCGACCACGGGCTGGAAGACGTAGCGTGGGCAGGCCTCCCACTGGGTGGACCGACGATCTGGTGAAGGTCGCGGGAGGTACCTGGATGCATGCGGCGCAGGACCGGTCTTTGTGGAAATCCTTGGGGGAGGCCTTTTTTTTTTTTTTTTTATACACAACGAGGAAGCTCTTGTCCAGCAGTGGACGTCTTTCGGCTGAAACGAACGAACGAACGATGGAGTGTCCACACATGCCGCCGGCTTTCAAAATGCCTTGCCAGTGTGCCGTCCTGGCCGCCGGGTTGGCCGGCATTTGTGGGTGCGCCATGACGATCACAGACCGAAAGAAGGGGTGTTAGCAGATAACACTGTGAACCAACGATACCGGGCTAAGGTTGCGCGCCGTGATAAAATGTCGATGATTTTAGACGATAATTGTATGGGCTTATGTAAAATTAATAAAATGGCACGATAAAAGGTTACCGCGACACGCATTCTAGGCATACCGATCAAGTTTGCACCTACCCCAAACTTCATCAGTATCACAAAAACGGTCGTTATGGGAATTCATACCCAATGTGACAAAACACTACGTCACGTGGCCGATGCGTAACTTTTTTCTTGCCTTCTCAACGGAGACGTCAAGTGTCTATTTACGAGTACCTAAGTTTTTTATACAGTGGACTAAAATTATTGTAAACTAGCTTTTGCCCGCGGCTTCACCCGCGTGAAATTGTCACAGATCGAAATAAATTATAGCCTATATGTTATTCTGAGTTATAAACAAAATAGGTACTGTAAAATCCGTTCGGTAGTTTTTGCGTGTAAGGCGGTTATCACACTGCGCCGCGGAGCGCGTGATTTTCACATAAAAAATCACGCGCGCGGACGCGTTGTCAGTGTGAAGTGCCGCGCGTGTTTTCTATACAAACTGAGGTACTTGCATACAATGATTAAATCTGTCGCCCCGCGCTCCGCGGCGGAGCGCGGTGCAGTGTGATAACCGCCTAAGAGTAACAAACATCCAGACATTCAAACTTTCGCATTTATAATATTAAAGTAGGAAGTGTGAACCAACTACTAATTTGTTGTATGCCCCTCAGCTGACGCACTTCGTGATGCTGAAGGAGCTGAAGCACTGCCGCTCGGTGGAGGAGCTGGTGGTGACGGACTCGGTGCGCGGCAAGGCCAAGATGTTCGTGCGCAAGTACATGGCCAAGTTCGGGCCCGTCTACCGCCGCCCGCCCGAGGAAGCCGACTAACAGGTAGTGTAGCCAATTGCCACAAAAGTCGATTTTTTTTACAGTTTGCCAAGTGCCACAAAAGTTGTTTTTTTTTAAGTTTGCCAAGTGCCACATAAGTGTTTTTTTTTTAAGTTTGCCAAGTGTTACAAAAGTCGATTTTTTTAAGTTTGCCAAGTGTTACAAAACGCGATTTTTTTACAGTTTGCCAAGTGCCACAAAAGTGTTTTTTTTACAGTTTGCCAAGTGCCACATAAGTGATTTTATTTAAAGTTTGCCAAGTGCCACAAAAGTCGATTTTTTGTACAGTTTGCCAAGTGCCACAAGTCGATTTTTTTTACAGTTTACTAGGAACCCAACACTTCAGCTTGGCAAGTGTTATAAAAAGACAATTTTGGCAATTTATTAGACTTTTAAAAGTCACTTTTAGTGTACATCGGGCTAGGCCTTTCAAGACAAAAATGAATGAAACAAACCCTACACTTTTCAGCTTCGCTTCACTTTATGGCAAGTGCCATAAAAGGTTTTTGTTTGGCGTTTAAAAAGCACTTAGTGTAAATAGGCCTCAACCTTTCAAGGCAATTTAAGGCGAGGACTAGTTACTAGCCTTGTTGTGCCATCAGGCAAGTAAGTAAATAATGTAGTTGCCTCTACATTAATAAGGGTTTTCGCGAATGAAAAATCCGCCAGATGGCAATACGTAGACGCGAGGTCCAAATGCTGCATGATTGGTTATTTTTGACATGACATTGACAGATATGTCAAAATCCACCAATCACGCAGCAGTCAGATCACACATCCACGTCCCGCCATCTAGCGGATCTTTCATTCGCGAAAACCCTCATTAGTGAGTAATAGTCGTAAGTCGAATAAAAAAGTAAATCCCAGCACTCCATTTTTCCAGCTTGTAACCACAATAGAGCGGTTTCTTCTTTTCAACATTTATTTCTGGTTTTTGCCATATTTCTTTTGTAAAGAAAACTACATAGTCGTTCTCTTCAATGAAAATACATGAAATATTTGCAGGAAATGATGCGGTTTCGCCTGTCGCTTCTGCAGGGGAGACCGCATATTGAGCAGCGGACACACGCTCCCAAGAAGGACGCGACGGCGAAGAAACGGCGACCGAATCGTACTGAAGCGACCATCCAACTTGATTAATCACGTGCCGCAGTACAAACCTCTTTGGTTGCCAGTAACATACAAAGACCATACAGATTGTGAGCCCTAAGGCTCGGCGCAAATAGTGGTGAGTCGCGGACACTACTGTAGCGAGTGGCCGCCACCGGATACGTGTGCGGCGCGTCTATACAAAATATATTAAAAACTGTGTTAAGTCGCCGTCGCCGGCCACCGGTGGCCGTGGTCGGTGGCCCATTTGCGCCGACACTAACTTTGGTAGGGTGGCACTATACCGCGCCAAAAAGTTTAAAAAATCAAGTTATCGGGAAAAGTGGAAAGAGTATCAAGTATTGGAACTAGCACTTGGTTAGCGTCATAAATAAACAATTTGAAGATAGTGTATACTAAAAGACATTTTATTACTCTGACAACGTGAAATGTGTCCACGAGACTTGTTACTTTAGTTAGATAGATAATGTTAGTTTTAAAAAGAAATGTTTTAATTGATGACCACTTTAATTACGTTAAAAGTGTTTTAAATACGGTTACTTTGACAAAAGGCATTTTCTGTAATCTCATCTACGAAAGAGTTAATTTTATGGCAGACGTAATCCATTTTTGTTTCTATTCTGTTTACATTTACATATTATGTGTTTTGTATTTTATAAAATGCGCCGGTCGCTCCTTAGTAGTCTCCAGTTTTTTTTATATTAGTCTCCAGGCCATTTTTCTCTACGTCCCAATTAAAGCTTGCGCTTCTCCTGTGCTTATTTCAGGATAATACATATTATTTGTAATATAAGTGCGACTTAAACAGGTAGAGTACTCGCACTTTTGAACTCACGTCTGAAATATGTAACCTTTTTCAAAAAAATTAAATCAGTAACTCGTCATGGTGATAACTGTCGCTTAGTATACGTGTTCCGTTATATTTATAAGTATTGGAGTGTAATTTCGTTAAATTGTTTCTATTTCTGATTTGGCTTACATTTGAAATTATTATAATAATTTTCATATTCTCACAAACTGTTACGTAGTTTGGTAGGAAGCTAGTTGTTAAAATAATGTAAATCATCACATCCTTGTGACTCAAATCATCAACTTTCTAAATATTTTATAATCATGAACATTAGAATGTTAAATCAGTCAATTACGAAAATCATCACTTCCTTTCTTTCTATAAATTTTATGTATATTTTCTAGGAGTTTCAACTCAATTTTTCTTCCCTATAATGTACTTGAAAACTAGTTGCAAATTCAAAATCTTTTTATTTCTAACTTTTTACATAAAGATTGTTGCTTAGACAAATTAGAGCACCTTCCTTCCAAGTTAAAAAGAGATTGAAACTCTATATTTCATTGCACTTTACATTTGTCGGAACACTTGACGTGAAAGGCCATCTTCAGCCGGGATTACGTTTTAAGATGCGAATGAACATTAAGTTATTGTTTAAATGAATACTAAGTTATTGTAAATATAGATATAGTAAGTAACATTTAGTTTTGTACTCTAAAGTTAAGGCAAGTATTCGAAACGACACTCAAACATCGATTAAAAGATCGATTCACATGGATTCAAGCTTGTGATTAATTGAATTGTATTATTTAAAGAACTCAAGGTTTTGAATCTATTGTTAATTTTGTTCATGTAGATTTAGAGTTGAGTGTCGTTTTCGATAAAATTTCTTAGTCCCTAATTTTACGTCGTAAAGTATTGACTATTTTCGTGAACTTAGTTGTAAGGTATCGAATGGAATAAGTGTATATTTTTATTGAACGCAAGTTAAATAAATATTTATATCAAGATGATCTCTAGCTCGACTGGGGTTGTTGAGAAATCGCGTGTTTGTGTAAAAACTCGAATACTTATGTATTTTATTGCTAATGATTTCAAGTACACAGTATTATAATATAGTAACACTTATTTGAGTGGTGTATGTGTTTTTATGCTGTACAGACTCGAGCCAAAGTAACACTCAATAACTATTATTTCTAATTTTACGTTATTCACATTCAACATTGCAATATGCCGATGATAATATTATATTTTACTTGTATTACTAACATAGGTAAGTTTAATAAGTCCATTTTCTTTCTGCCTATAGCTTTGCGTTAGAAAAATATAGGCAATTCAAAATATCTATGGTTGATAACAAGAAGCAATAAATATACTGATAAACTGTACAAATCGTTTGATGTGTGAAAAGAGTTTGAACGGTACTGCTGAATCTAGGATTCATAGTTTATTGTGTACACGCTTATCGAAACCAAACGAGAAATGCACTGAAGCAATGAAATTACTAAGGTACATTTTACGAGACACGTTTCACCCACGAAACATAATGTGATTTAAGATGTGCGTGTAAATATTGTAAATATAGCAGAAGCAGAATCGCTGAGGTTCTGGTAAAGAGAGTGGATATTTTATTTAGATCAGTAGTGTTGCCTTGCGGTACGCTTGTTTGGAACCGACTCGTATTGATTCTGAGTTATTGTAAAAGATGGTGAAGCCGTTGGAACAAATAAAATGTTATTTCTTTTAGCACTTTGTTTTATTTTCATGTAAATATCGCATACACACCACTATTTCAATAAAAACAATACAGAATGTCCTAAAATTAGCACGTCATATTGACACCGCAGTTAGAGGAGGTCGTAGACTTATTTAAAATTGATTGTTTCAAAACTCGTTAAACTATAAAATTCGTAACGTATGTTTAGGACACCTGTATGAGCCTAATTAATTAGGGGGTAGGGCGTAGACTAAAATATCGCATAAAAATAACAAGAGAAGCATTTTTAAACATACTTTATTTTTTCTAGATTAGGTACTTTGGTATATTCTATGAATCTGTATTATAATAAAGCTAGTTATATTGTACGTTGTTCGATAACTGCGCATGCGATTATTGTTCAGCCACAACTAATAGTGTGTGTATTCTCTGCCTACAAGCGAAGATTAACAAGTCTGCTGCTGTCTCCAAAACTCCTCTCTATTTTCCAAAAACCTAATTGCTTCTTCTGCCTGCTTCGTTACGACATCGTTCTTTTTGTCGGCGATGGCCAGGTCGGGGTTTTTAAGCAAGTTTTCGAGGTAAAGTTTGTCTGACATCAGTTGGCCGAGGACAGGGCGCTGGGACTTGGAGGAAGAACGCCTCTTGGGTGGCGGTCGCTTCACTGGCTTGACGTCACCGATTGTGTTCTCTATTGCTTCCTGTAAAGTAAGTAAAGATTTTATTTATTAGAATTTATACTCGTGAATGTGGAGGTGAAAAAGGATATTAAATTATTAAATAATATAAAAAGTGTGATTTTTTTTTACAGATAGTGCCTGGTAGAGAGTACATGGTACATAACTCTAAACAGATTCGGTGACACATAGACACCACAGATTTTGTGGTGTGACATGGCATAGACAAGTATTAGTCAAAGTATTTTTTTATTCGCATCTGTAACGGCGCGCGCGCACTGGTGATTTTAGTCACCGTGATTGTATCTTTCTTTCTCTTTATAAAGGTGTAAAAGAAACAGATATACTATCACGGATAATACGATGACAACAAAATACCTGTGCTTTCTGGACGCCCAGTCTGAACTCGCTCAAGTCTGGTCTCGCTCGCAGTCCGCGGTGGTAGTGGACCAGGCTCATTTCGAACTCGCCGCAGTAGTACAGAGCCTCAGCCTTCTGCAGGAGCGCCTTGGCGTGCTTGGGATCAAGCTTCAGGGCGGTTTCAGCGTCGGTCAGCGCCGCCCGTGGCTCGCCCAACAGTAAATAGCATCTGCTTCGAGCGACGTAAGCAGCCTTCTCTTCGGGGGCTAGCTCAATCGCCTGCAAGTACAAATGGATGTGGTGAGTCAACCAATTATCAATGCTATGGTGTGGGGTGGGCCTAATTTTAACATGTGACGTAACGTGCGCAAGAGTTGCTAAATAGACAATTTTAGAGTAAGTGGTATGATGACTGACTTTCCCATGGTTCGAAAGGATTGTACTATGAATGAAAGACGTATAGTTTTGGTTTGGGTAATGTTTTACCTTGTCCACGAAAGATACAGCCGTCCTATACCGTTCCCGCATCATTTCAGCGCGGGCCAGCGCCAGGAGAGTGCCCGCGTCCGCTTCTATGGGAAGCTGCAGAGCGCTGCTCCTCTCCGCCTTGTCTTTTATATTCAGAGACTGTTTGATATCCTTGTAGCCCATGACCACGGCAGCCGCGCGGTCCTTGTCCGTATACAGCTCCTCCTCCCGGCGTCTCCTTTCCCGTTTCGGCTTACGTTCCTTTCTTTTACGAGGCTTGATCGACTCCTTTCTCTCCTTCCCGGGGTGTTTTTCCTCCTCCACTTCATTTTCGCCTTTTTCGCCAGACTGCGGCGCTCGCTTACTGATCGACGCCTTTGGAATTGGGGCTTCCTCCTCTTCATCGCCGACTCCGACTCGAACGAAACTTTGAAGGAACTCTGCATCCTTGGTCAGTCCAAGGATATTTCGGGCCTGAGCTATGGCATTTTCGTCGCTTGCCATGGTGCGGTGATCCGGTCAGTGTGTGTTATGTAAGGGAGGTGTATGAAGAGGCGTCAGTATTGACGCCCGGGCTGTAGTCGCCATGGCGACCCGGAATGTTTTCGCACCCACTTACCATTTGGTCTCGCACTAGTGATGGCTCAGATTTGAGAGGGGAAGTACGCATTTTGAAGATATGTATGAAAATGGCGGGGTTTTTAAACGCGCTAACATGAATTTAAGCAGGAGATGTTTTTTTAGTTAATTAATACTTAATATCTATTGGGGTATTATCTTTGGAACTGCGTTTTTTTAGAAATTACCATGGACCTACATAGGTCCATGGAAATTACGTTACGTTTCTACAACAAAATACAATATTTAATTAAAAGTTATATTTACCATGCTAATTCGTCTCTTTTAAGGAGAGGTTTCCTGGCTATACTGAACCCTGAATTCATGTTCCCACCGCTGCAATTTCTGTATAGCCAGGATCTACAGCTTAACTGCCACACACAGCTAGTAATAAATTACATTAGCTATCACAAAGCTACCGTACGTACCTTGTTGAGCGAGGTCAACGCGCGCTCGTAGTAGCCGTTCTTGAAATGGCTGATGGACTCGTCGCGGTGCTTCTTGGCCTCCACCGGGTTGCTCACCGGCTGCTCCGGCTCCTTATTGCGTCCCATGGTTTATGTCTAAAATCATAATCATATGTTTTTAGTTTATTTAATGCAGAAAGAGGTAGGTTTGACCGCAAAGGCACCCGATGTTAAGTGAGATCCTGTCTAGGATGGTACATAATATCTTCCATGTAAATGATTAGGTATTCACTCGCTTCGGATTATGTTCGGGAAAGACAGCAGCATTTTTTTTCTGCTACTTTCAAAAGTAGAAACATAAAACTAACATATACGGGTGTCTACGGTAAAAAAGTGCCATTAAACCAATCTTGCCTGTGGAAGGTTTCTAACGCAAGATCGTTGGGCTTAGTAACAACCACAACAAACTTCTTAGGTATCTTTGTTGTTGTCTGGAAAAGTTCACTATGCTTATGAAGAATTCAAAAGACCAAATGAGTAATTGCGCTAAAAGTATTTGAACAGTTACACTATGCTTGCAGAATTCAAAAGAACAAATGAGTTAGTAGTTAAATTAGGTTAAAACTATTTGATTTAAACTTTGAATGCTGCATGTAATACTCTTCAGCATTTTCAGCGCACTGCATTGCATTTTCATTTGCAATACCTACAAAAGGATGAAGCCAATAAACAACCGGTTCGCTATTTTCATACCAGGAACACCAACAAACTTTTGTTTGCAAATATTTGCCGCTAAAAGATTGCGGGCCGAGCCTGTTCCGCAAACGGTGCCTAATTCATAGCGGGCCCAGAAATGGGTTCGATAAATATTTACTATCGTAATTTCGTAACTGAGGCCGCATGATGTATGGCGGTGGCCTAAGGAGCGCCTCCATAAATCTATAACTGTATTCGGCTCCGTTTCGTAGTTTATCAGATAGGTACCATTGGTTGTAATAGGAATAAAAACAGTAGAACACTTCATAAATTGAACTTTAAAATTCTTGTTATTTATTCGTTTTGTTTTTATTTACCGTATAGCGATAGCATTTATTCATCATCATCATATATCAGCCATAGAACCTCCACTGCTGAACATAGGCTTCCCCCAATGCTATCCATAATGATTCATATCCATATGACCTTTATGAGATGTCGTCAGAATGACGACAGGGTAGGGGGTGCTAAGAATTCCCGGAGGCAGAACGGCTACTACCACCAACGACGAGGATGAGTGATGACCACCCACAATGTGGACCGACAACCTCATTAAGGTAGCTTTTCATCATCATCATCATCATTTCAGCCATAGGACGTCCACTGCTGAACATAGGCCTCCCCTAATGCTTTCCACGTTGATCGATTGGTAGCGGCCTGCATCCAGCGCTTCCCTGCTACCTTTACGATGTCGAGACGTCCACCTACAAGGTGGACCGACGACATCGTAAAGGTTTCCGGTACGCGGCCTCCATTCCAGAACCTTGCTGCCCCATCGGCCGTCAGTTCCGCGTACTATATGCCCTGCCCATTGCCACTTCAGCTTGCTAATCCGTCGGGCTATGTCAGCGACTTTAGTTCGTTCACTTATTCACATTAAATAGAGTTTCTGTTGTAATATTTAGTCATACTGTATTATGCTAGTTTAGAGATGTATTGCTACAAATATAGAAATAGAAACGGGATACCTACTTCTTACCTAAACAAGCATAATATTTTATGCGATACTGTCTAGCGCCTATACTTGAAATGGAGTAGTGAGGACACTGTACACATCTGTATACTGCATTAACGATGCTTCGGATTGGTACGGTTTTCGTGAGAAAACGCAATTTCTCCAGCTTATCTCTAGATCTGCCGTATGGGTTCGGAAGGGTGCATCAATTTACTTTTTAATGTCCTTATCCAAGGTTTTGATGGCAATTATGCTTTGGATCTTATCCGTTAAGTAAGTATTCGTAATAATTTTCATAGGCCTGCCTGATTTTAGATACCTAGTACTTGTGCAACTCTACCGATTACCGACCGAGTGAGTACCTTCTCTGAATTTCTGAAAATGACAAGAAATCTTCAAGTGTAACGAGCTTTTGCAAATAAGATGGTGACTTTACTGTTTCGTTAATAAGCTATGGATAATGGACGATAGTAAGGATTGTTCAAATGGATTGAAAACATAAAGCTGAAGTCAATAAACTTTCCCGTGGCAAGGGCGCTGTCATAACTTCGGGTTCATTAGCTCATTATGAGCGTTATATTCGTGCAGAGACAGAGTTCATCATAATGCAGGCACGCTGCATCAATATGCAAATGGGGCAACTAATAATTCCGCTTTTTGTGGACAAGGGGACAAAGGTATTATGTAATGTAAACCATACCATAGAGTTAAAGATACACATATCCTTATAGATAAAATGAACTCTATACTACTTATGGTTCAGATTAAGAAAATCAGATTAGTAAAATCGACGTTTACTATTTAGTAATCTTTTATCATTATTAGAGCTTTGAAAACAGGTAGGCCTGTACATTTAAAAGGAACCATCCTTTAGTAATTTGAATAAGAAGAATAAGAATAAGATTGATGAATAAGAAGCATTAACTTGTTGTTTTCAGTTATGTAAATAGTTTGAAATAATATTTTTGACTACATGAATCATCGTACTCGTATCTACTTGCTACAAATTATGCCACCCAGAATTAGCTGCACTGCAGTCAAATGGAAATGTTATCGAGTGTACCTACAGACAGACAGACCCAATTTATGTAGACGTAAAAAATATAACGATGATTGAATATATCCGATACGATGTAGATGATACCGGTGATATAGGGTGGATCGCGAGGCGCATCACGCGATCTATGTCGTGACTCCGCGACGAATATAATGAAATTAGCGATTATTTTGCGGTATTTTCTTTGTTTGACTTGGACTGATTATTGAGTAAATAAGAGATCGGGTTGGCACGCTATGTTTTTGTTTTGGGAGTGCAAGTTTGGATCTAGCATGAAAATGTGTCCGTAACTTGTAATTACCTATCAATTAGTACCTACATAATATCTACTCGTACCTACCTATTATCTTGTTTTCTTTGGATATTTGAAGTTCAGTTTAAAAGGTGACATTATGTGCTTTAGAATTTACCTACCACTTACTAATGATCTCTACATTTTCTCTGTTAAAGTCTCTCGGAGTGACTGAAATGTAATAACATTTTGTAAGTATTTAATTTCAGTTAAAGTAACTATAATTAAATCTTGCTGGAATAACAAGAACAATGTTAAACTATTATAATGTATAAAGTAAGGTAGTGTTTACTGGACCAGATACTTTTATATAGCTCATTTTCTTTATATTCTGGGTCTGTATCCAGTATTGGCAAATAAGAATGCAATAAGTTCGCCTTGTAAGATCCGAAACTTGTTCATGTTATGAAAACCTACATGTCATGGCAGTAAATGAAAATAAGTGTTTATTTACGTTTGCAAAACTTATTTGAAGGTGCTGCACTGTAAGTGCTACGTTTTAACTTTCCAGTAGCTTTAGCAGTCGTAAATTTCTGTATTTATGCGTGCTACTTACTTATGAAGTTTTGTTTTATATGCACGGTAGATACGAACCACGTGACTTCAACCAAGTTTAAATTAATTTGCAAATTGATTAGCAATTTAACTATCAATTTTATTTTTCCTTATTATTATAAATACTACTGGACATAAGTACTTAAGTTGATTCACTAAGTATATTTCGATCTACTCTTCATTAAAAGCCGACTTGTTCTTTATATGTGTGTAAAACGATGTTACAGGCTCGTTTTCAGTTAAAATATCATCGAGTTGATTCAGAGCTTCATTCAATTACCAAATGTAGCTACATGACTTTCAAGATTTAGCTTAATTTAGTTCAGTTCCATGCGGAAACGTAAAGCATATTGTGCTTGTCGTGACTTGTGAACGAGTTAAGTAATTGGTTGTCCTCACAAAGTGAATTTCAAACTTCAATCCATGGTACGCCTTAAAATGCATTTTTTATGATATTTTTAATGGAAATCACAAAACATTAATTTATGGTATTTCATATTCATAACGGTAAAAAAGTTGTAAATTGAACAGGCATTACTGTAAAAACCGTCAAATTAGATTACAAAAGCGAAGAATGAAACTGGTTTACCTAAGCAAAAGTTTTACGGTAGGATAAGATAAGTACTCTCTGCTGAAAAAATATAGCAATTTGGATTCTAATTAATTATTAAGATTGTTAATTGAACGCTAAGTAGGTAAATTTGAAAATCGCAACTTACGTTATCTTCTTAAAAAATGGTTCCCTTAAATCTACAATCCGTCTTCTTTATTGCACATTTCTCACACGTTAACAAAGTAATAACACCAGCTTTTCAGTTACTGCAATGAACCACATTTACTTTTATCATTCGGTTTTACACAATCGTAATTACGCTGAAATTCAGTAAGCGGCCATCCGGCGGGATGTGCGCCGAGTTACCGACTGTAACGGTAACTGTTGATCGAGGCTTGCCTTACCTAATGAAATCCTGTTTATACTGGACGATCTTTCATTGGGAAATGTTGTTTTCAAAAACGGCAAAGATGTTTTTGGTGAATATTGTTTGTACACTCAACGCATTTGAGTAACTAAATTAAGTAAGTACTTAGATTGAATATGACGCTAACTTATTTTCCAAATGTTTATAGGCGTAGTAGGTAGTAGCCTTGACTAATAACGGTCAAAAGGTATGGTATCGATATTCAGCTGTTTCAAAACAAAATTCATGGTAGAGTCGTATGTTGTAAGGCACCTTGCATTCTAGTTTGTTACCGACTCTTATACTTAGCTCAAAGGTTTATTGAATAACAATTTTCCATGGAATTTAAAGCTCATTCCTTGTAACTTTTGAATGAATATTTGTTTATACGTAGTATTAAAATCTTTTGTCAAGAGACTGGCTGACTGTTCGAATGTTTAATTTGTAATTAAACTTTAAACAATACCATTTTATAAAGAAAAAACAAATATTAATTCGTAATTTTGTCAAACTTTTCCAAATCAAGGGTTTTATTTACTTTGGGTACATTACGCCGTGGAATCCGCTCGGTGACGTTTTTTTCAGCGAGGAAAATGAAAATCGTCACGCGAGCGCAATGAACGGAGTTGTTAGTTAGGAATAGCATTTATTTCCCAGGCATTCCGCCGTGGGACACCAAAATTAAATAAAGCTTAATCACGGTAGCTAGTGAAGCTCTCGACTAAAAGACAAGGGAAAATTACGATAATTTTTAAGCGTTTAGATATTTGAAAACATTTTTAAATTCTTAAGTACATACTCGTAATGTAGTTTCGCAACAATTTCAAATGAATATTTGAAAACCATTATTAAATTCTTAATTGTACATACCTAATGTAGAGTTTTGCAACAATTTCAAATTAAATTCCTAATAGAAAATTAAATTTCAGACGCTGCAGCGGTGGCGGTATGAAAACTAAAAGATTCCCTCAAGCGTAAGTATGTGTCTTTTAGCAATTGGCATTACGGATATTATTACTCGTAACTGGTTTAGCACTGAAAGTTTAACGTAATGGTGAGCTATTAGATTCTATTTAATAGAGTTTATAGAGAGGCATTTTCGTTTAATGTTTTTAAAGAAGCTTATTTATTTAACTGAAGTTTGAAGCTCAACAGCATTATTGTGTTCCGGCAGTTACAGGTAAGATAGCCAGTTCCTCCGGGTGAAGCTCGCTTCCACCTTCGGCCTGATCGTCACTTACCATCAGGTGAGATACAGGCCAAGAGCTTCCTCGTTGTGGATAAAAAAAAGTTACTCGTAGGTACAAAAACAATGTAAACTACTGTACCTATTGTACAGTATTTTTTGTTGACAATTTCAGGAGTAGACAAATTTTCCAATGCCGCACTGGCTGTTTCAGCGATGCACGCGACGCGGTAATAACAATAATTATTGCATTAGAAGGAAATGGGGACATCTAATGATTCACGGCATATCGACCGCGGTTGACAAACTTGCCGCCAAATTACTGACTCACAGAACGTCGCCTTGCAAGATTTACGAGTAATGTAGAGCAAAACATGGTGAATTTATTTACGTACCTGCATATATTATCTGCTTTCTGCCATGTTTTTTTTAATCCAAAGGCTATTATTAAAACATTTGATTGTTGTGTGTAGTGTATTGCATCTAGTTTATGGGTTTATCCTTTGGAATAAAAAAAGACAACGTTGATCTATAGAATATTATATTTCTTTGGTATTCATTCACATAGATACATTTAGATAAATTTATATTTTCACAAATAGTAAAATATATTAATATTGTAATTTATAACAACTAACTACATTTATATTTGATTACTAACATAAGTATTGCCAATAATAAATTACTTTGAGCGCTATAATTAATTTCTCTGCACACCCAAAAAAACATCGACCTACTTACATCAATTTTCGTACTTCCCCCTGCTAAGCCCCTGAAAACGTAGGTACTTAAGGCTCATTTACGGATGACTGTATTACATTTTGTAAAATATTAGGTAGGTTATAAAAAAAGTAAAGTAAAATATTATTTTACTCAATAAAAAATGTCCAATGAGTTGACGAAGAATCAGTTGCAACGCATTTTGACCGAGAAAACAATTTGACACTCCAAAAAGTTGATATTTATTCGTTTCAGTCAGAAGAGAGCACGATGGTGGGTAACGGAGTCTTGGCGAGGTTGCGCACCGGAGCCAGGGATGGTCGGCTCACGGGCCTCTGCGCGTTCTATGGAAAACAGATTCTATTAGATACTTCTGCTTGGGGGTGGCCTTTGTCCAGTGGACTTCATTTGGCTGTAACTGAACTGAATTGAAGGGGTGAGTGGACAAATGTGTTATCTGAAAAAACTGAAGAATCGACTTTTTTGCATGAACATAGGTACACAATGAGCTCAAAACACGCAATTTTGTTACGTGTCAAACCTTAACAAAAGTGTTATCTGATGCATTCATACATTTTAGCAGTATGAGCAGATTAACATTTTCAAACACTTATAACTCATTTTGTTAGTTAAGACTTTTGTCCACTCACCCCTTCAATTACTACCTACTTGATTCACTAGAGTACATTATAACCTAGCGGAATCTATGCACAATTGTCACTGCCTGCACTAGGTATGGACTTGAGCTGATTCTATCAAATCGACGAATACTCAATCTAAAACAGTAGCAAGACTGCACCTGAAATACTACGCTACAAAATTCGTAAGGCCGAAAATTTTACCCAAAAGCATGGAGCTTAAATAATGGTTACCTAGGTAAGATGTAACCAGGTTGCGTGGGCAGAATCGTACTGGACTACATTACAAAATTCGGGGCGACCTATGAAACTAAATACTTGGTAAAGAAATATCACAGTACCTTATTCTCCGAAACAGCAGACAGTCTTCTTTTGGACAGCGCACTAGCGGAGCGATGTCGCTTGTCCATGGCCGAGCTGCTATCATTGCTAGACACGCTAGAGAGCCTTCTATTCTTGGCCACAGACACAGAATCGGATGCGAGACTTGCGGACTTCTTGGCCTGGATATGCGCCATGCGTTGCTTGGCCTGACGGGCTGCGTTCTCCCGGATGATCTGGTCAGCTCGTAGACGCAACACTTGAGCGGCCTCTTTGTGGTGTTTCAGTGCGGCCTCAAGATCGTTCCGAGATAATGCGAAAAGGTTCGAGTAGCCGCGAGACCTGGGATGTAATAAAATATACTTATAGGATGTTAAACAAACAACACGTTGGGCGCCAATTTTTCCGAACTACAAATACACTATTGACAAGATTCATATCAGTAACAATTACTATAGATAAAGGTACTATACCTTACTGTAGCAGTTCTCCTTCGCAAACCCTCTATTCCCAATAAACTGATTTCGCCGAAAACTGAGCCTTCTCGTAGAGTCGCTAGCACTTCGTTTTCGTCCTGAGACATTACCTGTGGAAAAATATTGTAGGTGTAGGTAAAAGCAAACGTATGACAAAATTTAGATCACTAAAGCCTGAAACGAAAAAAGTATTTTTTTCCACTTTTCAACGTATGGACTTGTAACAACAGAGGCAAAGTCAAAGCTTTTATTCAGTACTAGCTTTCCGCCCGCGGCTTCGCCCGCGTGGAATTTTGTCTGTCACAGAAAAACTTTATCGCGCGCGTCCCTGTTTCAAAAACCGGGATAAAAACTATCCTATGTTCTTTCCCGGGACTCAAACTATCTCTATGCCAAATTTCATCAAAATCGGTTGCGAGGTTTAAGCGGGAAAGCGTAACAGACAGACAGACAGACAGACAGACAGACAGACAGACAGAGTTACTTTCGCATTTATAATATTAGTTGGGATTTTGGCTCTTTCCAGGGCGCTTATACACGTCCCAAATATAGTTTGCCACCACTTCATATGGGCATATAGACTGGTGGCCTGGTGCTGAGAAGAAGTGGCGGAAGAAACTCAGTCGGTTTTGTCAGCTTCTTTTTTAATGAGATACAGGAAATACATTATTTTCTTTGGCTTTAAACGTATATCCTGAAGACAAATGTAGAGCTCTGCCAATGTAACTTAACTTACATAGCACGTGCCCGCCTTGATGATGTACATCTGGTGACCGACGTCACCACGCCGCACCACCACGTCACCTGGGAGAAAGGACACCGGCCGCAATTGAAGCACTAAGTCGCGAAGTAGCGAATCGGAACAATCGCGGAAGAGTTGTACCTGAGGGAATAGCCATTAGTTTTTAATGTTTTTATTGATATTTTTCTGACATCTTCAGCCTCAAGTTTACCTTGCTAAGTGTTGACATATGAACGGCTAAAGCGACGTCTCTCTTCATGTTGTACGGCAAAGAATTCAAGATCTTAGATTCATCTGAAAAAGGCAAGTTTTTATATTATTAAATAGTTGGCGCCCAACATGGTAGAGCACACAACATGTTGGGCGCCAAAGTTCTTTGCTTCTATTTCTCATAATTGTAAGCCAAAAATTAATAGTGCTTTCTATGAATTTTGAATGGGTAAGCAATTCATAGGGTATTTTAATTAATTTTGTTAGGTTTAGAATGAAATTGTTTTGTTTTCACAGAGGCAAAGTTCAAAAGATCAAAATATTTCAATTATGTTGATAAGATATAGTATTGGTTGGGTTTTATGGTGGTTTTATTGGGGTGGAGGGGGTTCCGTACCGAAGCAGCGCTGCTGGCTCCAGGTGTAGCTGAACCAGCAGGCCACGCGGCGCTGCAGCGAGGCCGGCATGCTCAGGCGCCGCAGGTAGCGCGAGCAGCCGTCCACCGTCTTGCGGTACTCCGCCTGCGAAGAAGCACCGAGCGATCAGTGTGCCGAAACTCTTTACTAGCTTTGGTCACACACACGCTGCGCGGACGGATAAAAACTAAGCGGTAGGTTAATACTGCTTTGTTCCTTTAACAAAATTTTCAACATGAAAGAAGAACGGTCATCTGTGACCCAGGCCCGACAGAAACGAGACATACCTCAGTTTTTTTGTCATGTCTTAATTAGGTAAATTATATATTTTTTATATTCGAAATCTATGTATAACACCAAAATATTACCCTTTGTTTTTGTTCAGGCGTTATACAAAAACTAATACAAAATGCCTATTTATCACCAAAATTGGTAAATGTATGTACCTAAATGTCTATTACAGCTGCTATGAAATGTATCTAGGTGACCTGGAGATACAGCCGGATTATACAGGGTGGAACCTACATCGTTTTTTTTTGTTAATTTGAAATTTTGGCAATAGCGCAATTTGGTGTCTACCTTGAGTAACGGCTTTTCTTCACTTTAAGTTTTTAATGGAATAAAAGTATGCATTGCTGACTGGCTTAACTTATGTATTTAAGAATTTGATAAAAAACATAAGGTAAGGGACATGGGAAGTAGGAGTAAACATTCTTACTCGAGTTCTACTAGTCTACCATTCTACCTCACTCAGCACACAGTTGTAACTATAGTGANCAAAATGACGATTTGTAAGAACTACTTATTAGTCTAAACAAATAAAGAAATTTTGACTTTGACTTTGACTTAGAGGCACAGTTCAAAATTTCGAAATATTTCAATTATGTGTATTAAATTACAGAAGAATATCCATAGATATGGTTGGATTTTATGGTGCTTCTAATGGGGGGTTCCGTACGGAAGCAGCGCTGCTGGTTCCAGGTGTAGCTGAACCAGCAGGCCACGTGGCGCTGCAGCGAGGCCGGCATGCTCAGGCGCCGCAAGTAGCGCTAAAGCCCGGTCTGTGAGCACGTAGAATTTTGTCCAATGACCCCAAGCTACCCATCCTTTTTGCTCGCGCGTAATTATATTGCTGTCGCGACTGTGCGCTCGCAGTGAGTGTGCGAGCGCGAAAGCAACATAATTACGCGCGAGCGTTAAGGATGGGTAGCTTGGGGTCATTGGACAAAATTCTACGTGCTTACAGACCAGACTATAGCAGCCGTCCACCGTCTTTGTTGGACTCTATGGTGCTTCTAATGGGGGGAGGGTTCCGTACCGAAGCAGCGCTGCTGGCTCCAGGTGTAGCTGAACCAGCAGGCCACGCGGCGCTGCAGCGAGGCCGGCATGCTCAGGCGCCGCAGGTAGCGCGAGCAGCCGTCTACCGTCTTGCGGTACTCCGCCTGCGAACGTACACCAAGTGCTCATTTAAGGACGAAGCACACTTATCAACTCGGAAACGGCTCGTAACCATATCATTTCGAGGCGGTCAGTATTCTTTGTATAAAATTCCGTACTGCAACGCACACTTATCCGCAATGTAACGTAAACGCCTCGTCTTAGGACAGGAAGGCGATAAGGTGTTGAGCCCTTTCCGGGTTGAGAAGTGTGCTATGACCCTTAATTTGGTTCAATATTCGTTTGAAATAACGAAGTTGACTTTACGTTGCTTTTGGCTGAAAATTATGAAAACGTAGTTGAAGGACACTATTCACTACTGTGACCTTAATTAGTTATTAATTTCTCTATTTTATATTCAAGTTGGGAATGTAACTATCTGGACTTTAACTGTCTGGAAACAGTAATAGTCCATACAGTGAGTGAATCAGATTGCACATTGGTTCATAATAAGCTATAGTGAACAGTCGTAACTATACATACATTATAGTGACTCTATTGGGCTACTCACTCGTGCTCTAGTAGCCGTGGCAATGATGTCCCGTATTTGTCCAATGAGCAGTGCGAACACAAATACTCCCATAAGCCAGGCCGCCGTCATAAACAAGTACTCCTCAGTGTTCTCTGGCTTAGGGTTCTTGCCGATGGATGTAGCGGTCTTGGTGGCGAAGTAGAAGCAGCGGATGTAAGCATTGCCCTCGTTGTTGTACACCCACTCGTTGGAGCCGAGACCTTTGAACAAACAAATATTGGGGGTGACATCATTAACCAAATACATAGCACAACGTTATTTTAGCCATGATTTCTTGGGATCAATACATAGTCAATTGACTTGGCCAACAAGTTGTAGACTTATTGCTAAAACCATCCAATTAAAGTGGTTAGCAATTAATACCTTGTGGATCACGAGCCAATTTAAAGTAAAACATGGGTTAAAAAAAATGGTAGGAGTAAGAAGAAATGAAAACAAAATAACTTGACCTACCTATCCAGTCACTCATGGCATAGTAAGCACACGCGTTCAGATGAATCAAGTAGAAGATGTAGAATAAAGTTTTCCCGATTCGTACCTGAAATAAACAAAAAAAATTTTCAATTATCAATAATTTAATAAAGTAGGTACCTAATATAAATCCCGAAAACTTACCACGTAAGGAGAAGACAGCACACGATCCATTGCCTGGTGGAACTCCCAAAACGTTTGTAGCTTCAGAAGCCTTGGAAATCGTAGGATAACCATGTGCGTGCCAAAGTAGAAGTACAACAGGTCTAAAGGCGTTAGTGATATGACGTCGAACTGTAAAAAGACATGAATTTTAGTCAAATGAATGTAAACGAAAATTTCTAGATATTTCCATTTTTCAGAGGCTACGGTACCCACGGTCTTCTATTAAACGCTATAGGCGGCGTACGACGTCAGCGTCAAACGTTCCTATCGACGCCACACGTCGACGTCAAAAAAGACCAAAATAGACAATAGTCATCATGTGACATGGCGTTATGGGTGACCATATTACCTACTACCCAATTAGAGTTTTAGAGCTACTTTTATTCACAAAAACTTTCGAACATACCTTGTACTGCAATTTCTTCCTATAGTTCTTTCTGGTTTCAGCCAGTTCATCAACCCAGAAGCCTTCATGTAAGAACATAAGCCGGGGCTTCACGAGCCCTACGTCCAACAAATAGACCAAGTCGCAGAAGTAATCGACGGCCATCCATATGGGCGTGTTCTCCGGAGTCTGGTAGGGAAATGTCGCGCGGAGGGCGATGCACCACGCATTGTAGCTGTAGCAGAAAGTTACCAGCAGCAGCCAGGTGATGTAGCCTCGGCCTAAAAGATTTTTTGTTAATATAGCAAAAGCATACAATTTATAACTACAAAAAATGCAGGAAAAAGCAGGCATTTGACTGCAATTGCACCTGATACTAAGTGAGATGCAGTATCACTATCGCTTGAATAGAATATTATAACATTTTCAAATATAGGTAAAAGCAACATACGAGATCAGTTGGTTAATGAAAAGTGGCTAAAACTANCAGCACGGCACGCATTGTCCGGAGGTTCCTCAGCCTGTGACCCTGACCACCGGTAGCTTGGGCCCTGCTCCGCTACCAGCGGATTAACTATTTTTAAGTTTTTTTATAATATATTTTTAGTTTTTTTATAATTTACATTGTAAAAAAAAAAAAATAAGAAGGAAAATGAATTAAAGAGATAATAATAAATTTTTATTTCAGAAAAAATATTTTCCATAGTGGGATGTACTTAATACTTTTTGTTAATATTTTAATATTTTGTTAATACCTAGTATGCTTTTGCATACAATTTATAACTACAAAAAATGCAGGAAAAAGCAGGCATTTGACTGCAATTGCACCTGATACTAAGTGAGATAGAGTATCACTATCGCTTGAATAGAATATTATAACATTTACAAATATAGGTAAAAGCAACAACGAGATCAGTTGGTTAATGAAAAGTGGCTAAAACTACTCAGTCACCTTTCAACCTACTCGTATTGCTAATGGTTGTTAAATACTTGTTATTGTATGTCATTATTACCCGTTAGCCTGAAATTAAACTCTCATCTATTTGGTTAATTAACAACATATGGAATGTTTCGAATTGCAATTGTTTCCATTCAGTAAATGATCCCTTAAATTGGCACCCAACGGGGATCCAATAGATCTAATTAAAGCAGTCAATAACTGTCGCCAGTAATTTGCTTTTGGTCGATAGAAAGAAAATTATTGTAGAAATAGATTCAAATCAACGTCTCTGTTGGTAAAGCGTTTTAAAGTGGCGCCCAACGTGGTGTGTGAAATTTAATCAGAAACTTAATTGGGTCTCTACATACACACCTTGAGGGTCAATTGGCACAAAGGGGTCGCACAGGGGTAGTCGTCGAAAGAATCCACGACACTTTTTGTCTCTGGTAGGTGACGATGGCACTGGGCTCTGTGGCGTCTCTACCACGGGCTGAGGAGATTCTTTGGCTGGTGATCTACGAATAATGTTTACTTATAACGTAATATTTNTTTAATATTTTTTAAGAGTAGGTTATTCAAAATAAATTACACAATTCATCAAAAAATATAGTCAAAGTAAATTTTTCGTAAAACCAATAAATTACAACTAGGAATAGCAGGAGCCTGTGAATTAGATCGTCTAAAAATAAGTTGTGCTAGTTAGGTAATGCTGTTTTCGAAAGGCTTCAGTGATCTCGTTTTCATTTGCTAGGCAGACGATTTTGAAGCTAAATGAATAGATATGGTTTCCCTTAGATTATAACAAAAAGGGAAGATACAGCATCGTGATACTTTCGAGATGCTTGCTTATGCCATATTTTCCCTTTTTGTTTTAATCTAAGAGTAGTGAAGGGATCACAGTTAGATTATGAAAAGATATAATTAAGTTAATAAAACTATATGAACTCCTGTAAGATCTTACTTTCTTGTCGAATTGCTTCTAGATTTCGGTGCCTTCAGGTCTTCAAGTTCTGTTGGCGCTTCTGTGATGTCATTCATAGAACTGTACTCTGGTTCGGTTTTTGATGAAACCAAGTGGATTCTTTGAAATTGAAGAAATGTCCTAAAATAGTAATTAGTTTAAAATTACTTATTCATAAAAGTGAAAAGAAACAAACAAAGATTTTCAAGGACAAACCCTTTCATTTGATTCTGCTTCGACTCATCTTTGATCTGTGATTTGTTTTCAGTGTTTGAATCACTTTGTGTCAATCTGAAACAAATCAAATAAGAAAACACACTGTTAAAAGCATTGTGCAAGTAATTTGATCTATTTAATGTAAGTGTAAGAAATTAATCTGTCACTTTACTACAACAATTGGAATTTTAGTTGTAGGTAGTAGTAGAATAAGTTTGCAATGGATAAGTAAGTATTTACAAAGATCTAAGTAGATAGGTACTAATCTTACTTATTATGTGCTGGAGTTGCTTCAGGTGTGCACCAGGATCCATATGGTGCCTTTGTTATGGGACCTTTGGTTTCAAGTTTTGGTCCAGATGCGGAGGGATGAACCGTGTGCTAAAAAGATTAAATGAGCAAGTGAGTGTTTCGTATTCGATTAAACATATTATACGAGTGTTTATGTAGGTAATTTATGTACCTGTTTGCTACACAGATACACTGAAAAGTTAACTTCATTTACTAAGGCTGAGTTGCACCACCTAACTTTGACCGTAACTATGACGATAACCGGTGTATTTTGTATGGAGGATGGTGCAACCCAGCCTTAGGGTGGGTTGCATCATCTTACTTTAACTTTGACAAACGTCAAAAATCTGTCAAATTCAATACAAAAACCACCGGTTATCGTCATAGTTACGGTCAAAGTTAGGTGGTGCAACTCAGCCTTAGGCTAGGCAGTCTTTTTAACTTTAACATACGTCAAAAATCTGTCAAACTCCACCAAAAAACACCGTTTAATGTTACATTCAAAGGTGATGCAACTCAGCCAGCTTTATTCAGTCAGTGCCTGAGGTATGAAAGTGGCACGGGAGGGGTGATTTTGAAATTATTNACATTATTATGAAGTGAGAGAGCAACAAATCTGAAGTCTCGCTGACATTTGACGTAACAAAAACACTCTCCCGTGCCGCTCTCATACTGACTGAGTTATAAATGCGCTAGACCTTAGTAAATATTATTGCCCTTTTAATTTCTAGGCGCGGGGAACTTATATGGGTGAATATCCCTTTATGTATTGGCATTTATGGCATCTATGTTATGAAAACATGAGGAGTGGCCATCGTACATGTCTTTATGATTCAATAAAATGGGGCATAAACTTTCATCATCGTCGTCAAAATCTTGTCTAGAGAATTGGTACGACATTATAGGTCAATGAATGAACTCATAATATTTTATGAAATCAAACAGGTATATTGCATAACCGTTGGTAATGTTGGTAGGTATTGAATTAGTTGACTAGTAAATAAGTAACATCCTACTTAATATTATAAATGTAAAAGTTTGGATGTCTGGATGTTTGTTACTCTTTCACGCAAAAACTACTGAACGGATTTTGATGAAACTTTACAGTATTATCGTTTATAACCCAGAATAACATATAGGCTATAATTTATGATGATCTGTGGCAAACGAAATTTCACGCGGGTGAAGCCGCGGGCAAAAGCTAGTTACTGTAATATTTTAGTAAGTGCTAGATGAAGGTCCAAAAATATTTTTTTTCGTTATTTAGTCAACGATTTTGTGTACAAAGAAATCAAAAGTAATTTATCAGCTGATTAAATCACGGCATTAAACGAAGCGACAATCGTAAAAGGAAAGCACTTAAGGTGTTTTGGTATTCGGATCACACAGGAGGCTAACAGCTAATGGCGGTGACCTTGCAGCCATCGATGGCTGTCGCCGCGGGTGTACTATACCTACCTCTGATTATTGGTATACGTATCTTTTTAAATCGGGTAACCTTTTGTGTCCACATTCGGGAATACAGATCCATAGGACCCGGGTTCTAGTAGAGGAAAGTTTGATCAAAACTTCAAGTCTTTCAACAATGAACTCATGCCTTTAGCCGAATTTTAGAAATAGTCTTTTCTCTATAAAACAAAAAACCCATTTTTAAAAATAAAGTCTTGTACAGTGACATTTAATTACATTAGTATTCAAGCCTTCATTTATGTCAATAATTACCTACATTCTAATCTGGTTACTTACCTACTTAGGTACCTTCAAAATCAAAGTTACGGTGACATATATGTTTAGGACTTTAGGTCAATGAGTAAATTATTAAAGTAATCGATTTACTTTACCAAATACCCGTTTGAATTCTTTTTATAGCGTTTACATTACAAGTGAAATTGCTTGTCCACACCGTACTAATTGAATGGACTCCCGATCATGCGATATCATGAAAACATCATGGAAACATTTTTGATTACCTAAAGTGAGTATAGGATGTAATTAAAGACAGGGTGCGGCAAATTAGCTATCTATCAACGTCAACGGTGTAACGCGAGTTATGAAACAAACACCCCGTATAAACAGATTAGTTTTGCAAGATATCAATTTTCTTTGGTCGTTGTTTTCAATTTGCTTCAAAATACAGACTGCTAAAGGGACTATTTACCCTTTAACTAACACGAGAGTATTTAAGTTACAGTAATTAGTAAATGTGATCCATCTTAGATTTCATCATCGTTTCAGGTAAAATACAGAATCAGGTTCAAGTTTCAAAAATCTATTTTACAGGATTTACGCAATTAATTAAGTAGATACCTACATGAATTTTAATGAAACACCTACCATCAGATCAGATCTTATTTATTTAAATACTAACCTAGTAGTAAATAAATATTCTAACTAGGTACCTAAGTAGATATTGGTACCTACTTACTACCCTTTTGGTTCGCGGTAAGGTCTTCAAAAGCTATGTCGTTATTTTAATCATGCTATTAGTAGGTATACACAGTATCTTACATCTTAAACCGATTTACAGAAAACCTATTAAAAAACACAGTTTCAGAAAAATTATTACACAAAGAACACAGTCTGAAGCCTGAAGATTATCCTCTTTGTAAATTATATAATTAATCGAGACGAGCCGACTTAGTTTGCCCAATAGCTTAATTGCACATTAAGGACCTTTCTTAAGAGACACGGAATGACTATGCAGCACGCGAAACCTAAGTTAAGTAACTTCTTAACTAAATAAATAAAATAAATAAATAAATAAATATCCTTGGACATTTTACACTGCGCTTCTAGTCCCAAACTAAGCAAAGCTTGTACTATGGGTACTAGACAACGGATATAAACATACTTAAATACTTTTTTTTTTTTTTGTAGATACATACATATTATACATAGAAAACACCCAGTCCAATACAAACAAATATGTTCATGCACACAAATGTTTGTACTGTGCGGGAATCGAACCCGCTACCTCCGGAATAGTTGTCCGTTTCGAATCACTACACCAAACGGCCGACGAACTAAGTAAAATAACTTTACCTACTCTACTTATTATTGCTCATAATACTAATTAAAAATACTCAACGTACCTACTTAACTCCTACTCTGGAAAATATGATATGCTGTAGGTGAAGGTAAACTCTACCAACTTTATTATTTTACATTTTTATTGTTTTAAGTAAGAAAATATTAAAGAATCGCATCGAAAGTAACTATGCCTACTTATTAATATCTATGCTGTAGGTAAAGATAAACTCTACAACGTTATTAATTTACATTTTCATTCTTTTTAGTAAGACATATATGAAAATCGTATCGAAAGTAGTAGAACTTTCGATATTATAACTTCTTTTCATCGCATTCAACTTTTTGAGCAATTAGTTTAGTAAATTGAAAATTTTAAGTAAATGAAACCTGAAAAACGTAATTTTCAAATAAAAAATACGCAATTAAAAACACTTACCACGTCTACAGTAATTTCCACCTGCATTTCAGAAAAATAAAAACACCTACACTATCAACACAAAACACTATCAGGTTTATAAAAAAGTTAAACAAATCACTATCGCAATAAAAAACAACGTTCGCACTAATTTGGCGGGAAAAATGACAACGCGTCGAGGAAAAATTTACAGGAATTTCCCGATGGCCAGTTCGCATGGCCACCGCGGGCGGCGGTTTTTTATCCACTGCTCATTGTTTTGGCGCGGGGTGGTCATGGCGTGGCCAGCCGACAGCCGAGAAGCAATTCATTTTACTGTGACATGGTTTTAATAGGTTCTAATTAAAAGGAGTTTTATTGCGCTTTTGTATAGCTTTTTTTAAAACCTTTTTCGTGTGATTGGTACGGAAAGAGTTCTACATGTTAAGTATTCAACCTTACCAACATTGAAGACCTTGGATTTGGGACCTTTTTTTTAATTAACTATTTTGATATATTATTGTTTAATACTATAATACGTGTAAATAATTTGATAATAGATACTTTAAAATACAGTTAAATCATTATTTGATAGAGCGCGTATTATAGTGTTCTGTATTTTGGCCATACCAAAATTACGATTAGAGCTAGGTAATGAGGGCTATCGTTTTAGCGCTCACCAGTTGGCGCCACTGTAGAGTAAGGTCCTGTCAATCGCCAGGGGTGCCAACTGTTAAGTATAAAAACGATAGCCCTCATTGTTTAGTGCACTTTTTAGTACACATGGTTTATGGATTACTTAGGTACTGATTTAAATAATGTATTTGTAGTAATTATTTATTGGTAAATCAATAGAGTCATAGAAGTTAGAGTCCTCTTATCAATGTTGTTGGAAGAAGAAAATTAAACGAAACCACTAAGAACCAAAAATGGATAGGCGAATAAGTGTTTGATCTAGCGCCTTACCTGAATAGAGATTGCTCCTTTATGTGGTTCCTATTGATTGCCTATTTGATAGATCTATTAACGGAACAAAATTAATAATGGGTAAGTTCGTACAATAGGTGTTAAACTGTTCACTTACAATCAGTGGTCAATGCAATGTGAATAATAAATATTTTAAAAAATTCAACTTGACAACATCGAAAGTACCTAATTATTTTGGAATAGGTATCTTTTCCAAAGTAAATCAAATTCAATACGATTGAAATATCTCGAATGTGGCTGGCTGGTGTGCATTTTTTTTAAATAATTGGGAAAGTTTTCCGGAAATTCCGTTACAAATTCGGAAAACATTTAGTAACGTCCTATTTTCTTCAGCAAGAAACTCTGTATGTACGGATACAATGGAAAAAACATTTTCCAAATTACCTAGAAGTCAGACATAATAATAGAGAAGTAACATGATAAGTAAAGAAACATGCATATGTGCATTGCATGTACTAGGTTGTACTATTAAAGAACCCCTTGAAATATCAAGGGGCAAGTAATTATAAAATCGTTTCATCATACGCCGTACTTTAATATCTGTATAAACCGAGTTGGTACGAGTATCCAGTACCTGTACCAAACAATAAAACCGTAACAAACAATCGATCGTACTTAATGCAAATTAAGAACCATTAGATTACTCACCCTCCGCAATATTCTGAGGCTGCTCCACACCATGTTTTCAGCTTAAAGTAAATGAGACACAGAAAATCTATTGCTTCTTCCAACTTTCATCGTTGCAAAGCTTTCTACGCAAACAAAATGTAAATTATCGAGCGATTAGCAAACGAGAAATCACTGGCCGGTGATAACTCGCCTCGCTTGTCAATATCTGAAAAGTATAACGCGACTCAATTCGGATGGTGCTTCATTTTGCGTCAACTTTCCCACATTGTCACCTCTGAAACATAGTCGCATGATAAAATATTGGGCGCGAAGTAAATATTTGTTGTGATGGTATTGAAGCTGCCTGAAAGCGGAAACAGCGCTTTTTTCAGGTACAAAATATATCGCAAGTATTGAATTGAGTTGCAAGTTCAAAGAAAATCATTTATATACGGTAAGTTATCATAGTAAGATAATTAATAATAGAGATGAAATGAAAACAACTTATAGCCCATAATTATACTGGAGACTTAAACTTAAGTAGTTTTCAAAATTACTTTTAAGAAAAGTTATGTAGAGTTTGGCGTTACGCTACATTACGTTACGTTATCTAACTCTAACATTATCGTTAGTTAACATGCTATTTTTAAACATTCTATCTAGGATATTATTTGTGAAGTTAAGTCTTATTTAAAGGGCTGGAATTGAAATAGCTTATGATGGAAGCGCTGAAAGATGAGCTGCAGTAACACACATTTAAATTGATCGTATTCTGCGCGCGCATCTTTTCGTTTACGTCTGCGTCGACCGAGCGAAAGAGAGCAACAATCCCGAATGAATCAACAAAAGAGATAGCATGTTGTCCGAACCCGAACACTGATCGGTCTGCTTTGCTCTAGGACACGATAAAAAAGAAGTCGATCTCGATTCAATGTCGAGACGATTTTATAACGATAGGTAAATAAAAGGGCAAACGTTTGTTGAGCGTAAAAGGAGTTGCAAACTAAATAAATAAATAATTTAAATGTAGAGTCTACGTCAGAATCATACTTAGTTTGTAAATCTAGTGATTTAAACCTATCTAGGTCTTATCAAAATGGACGCAGGTATGTACCTTTAAAATCGTTCGTCAACATAGCACAAACGATGATCGTCATTAAGTTTTGTTTATCTTGTACCGGTAAACTTCAGTAAACTTACAGTAAGTTGATAACTTCTATACCCACCTATACCTAGTTAACTATAACTACCTTGTTAATAAAGTCAATAATTGTACAGTAGGTAGGTTGAAAGCAAAAAGTTTATTACTATTTTTTATTTTTAAGAATTTTCGAATAAAATAAACACTTACTCAATCATCATTTGTGTCGATAAAGTTTTGACGATGTAGAGTTTGCCTTAACTTAGTCTTTTTTTTTTCATTTAACTTTTATCTAATTTCCTTCCAGACTTGAAAGTAAGGAAGCAAGTATCTTTCGCTCAGCTAAAGGCGCTACTAGAGTTCCTTGGGGAGCACCAAGAGCTGGCCAGGGGGCTGACCAGGGGCCGCCGCGGCAAGCTGCACACCTTCAAACTGTGGAACCAGTGCGCCAAGAAGCTGAATTTGGTCAAAGACGGCGCTGTGAAGGATGGAAAGGCTTGGTCTAAGGTAAACACTTCAAATTATTTATTAAAAGATACACATGTTGAAAACTAATTTATTTATACAAGTGTCCAATGCGCATGTAATTTTCAAGTAAGACTAAAGAAGAATACTAATGATTCACTTACGTAAGAATATACCGAGTAGGTATCTTTAATTTTCTTGAATAGGTACAAATATAACTTCCATAAGTCTCTCCTAAAGCAAGACAATCGATTAAAATTTAATACTTCCGTACCTAATATTATAAAGAGGAAAATTTGATTGTTGTTTGTTTTTAGGGAATAAGTAGGTACCGAAATTTCCCTTAAGGATCTAATTATCTTTCACCCTTAGAATGTAAATAATTTTCTGCGTAACATAGGCTATAAAATAAATATTAATCACATTTGTATAAACATTTCGTAACACACAGTACTGGTGCGATTGGAAGTACAGAGTGAGGAGGCGGGCTCTAGAGCTGAAAGCCGCGAAGACCAGCAACAGGCCGCCGCCTGATGGGGTCACCCCTCTGTCCGGCATGGAGGAGAATATCCTTAGCATCATCGGCGAGGGCGCCGTGGACAATATCGTGATCAAGAGCGACCCGCTAGGCGATGAGGCACGTGTATTCGCTTTTCAGAGGCTGGAGGTGATGGGCGTACGTAGGAGGTGCAGGAGAGGGCAGAGCTGGGAATCGCTTTGAAGGAGCTAATGCCCGTTTTCACCATCAATTCCTAATTTTTAAGTGACCCCTATGAATACAAAATATATAGAGGTCACTTAAAAATTAGGGATTGATGGTGAAAACGGGCGTCAAACAATCTGACATAAAAAATCTGACTTGCCCCCCATAGGCCAGAAGCTGGGTATGGCTCATGCTGGAGGCCAAGCAAAAGTGACAATCTTCACAGTTTTAATTTCGAAAGGACATCATCCACGTTTCATATAGGTATTTTTGGTCCAAAATCAAAAGTGCCGGCCAACAAAAAAAAGTGCTGTATTCTGACAGAATACGTCTGCCTTAGCATTTGTTACTATGGCACCAAAGCTGTAGCACCACTATGCGTCGAGTATTTGAGATCTAAAATTCATCGACGATTCATATACATTTTTTGTTCAAAATCAAAAGTGTCGGCCAATAAAAAAAGTGCTGTCTTCTGACAGAATACGTCCGCCTTAGCATTTGTTACTATGGCACCAAAGCTGTAGCACCACTGTGCGTCGTAGTATTTGAGATCAAAGTCAGTCGTTTCATATATTTTTAGAACTCAAATACTACGATGCACAGTGGTGCTACAGCTTTGGTGCCATAGTAATAAATGCTAAGGCGGACATATTCTATCAGACTACAGCACTTTTATTTTTTGGCCGGCACTTTTGATTTTGGACCAAAATGGATGATGTCCTTTCTTCATGAAGTGATGGTAACTGTATTCGTACAGTAATGCCGATTACGGAATTAAAACTGTCACGTTTGTGACTTTATCTAGGGGGTTAATGTTTGAAGAAGGAATGGTGAAATCTTACTGAATTGCTTGCACTTAAATTGTCTCTGAGCATGAAGACATTTTTTTAGGCTCTTTTGCCGGTCTAGGAGGATGCGTGCTGTCTTATCGATGATTTTAGATGACAAAACGTATGAGCTTATCACGTAAAATCGATAAAATAGCACGATGAGTATTAAGTCTGTAGGCCTAAGCTAACAGGCTTCCTGAGACTATTATTCAGAATTTCATAAAATTTTATTGCAAAATATCACCAATTAAAACGCAATATCTAAGTATTTATTTTATTTTTTCAGGATACAGTTGACGAAGAATTAGATAACAATGAAGAGACATTATTAGACCAATGTTACGGTATGCATGTTATAAATGAGAAACTTCTAAGTACCTAATATGCTTGCATTTTTTACAAATTAGGGTGACGNTCTAATGCTCGTAACTCAGTTCAGACTGAGTTTAGAGGTATACATGCCATAGTAAGTTTGGTTTATTACACTATTTTGTAATCAAAAAACAAAGTTTGGTCGATGGCCGCGCGAAAAAAAAAAGACGCCACTTTCCATACAAAATCTGGCACTGCCATTTGATTGTTGTTTGTTTTTACGGAATAAGTAGGTTCCGAAATTTCCCCTAACAATCTAAATTACCGGACCGATTTCAAAAATTCTTTCATCCTTAGTATCTAAATAATTTTCTGCGTAACAGGCTATAAAATAAATATTAAGTAATCACATTTGTATAAACATTTCGTTACACACAGTACTGGTGCGATTGGAAGTACAGAGTGAGGAGGCGGGCTCTAGAGCTGAAAGCCGCGAAGACCAGCAACAGGCCGCCGCCTGATGGGGTCACCCCTCTGTCCGGCATGGAGGAGAATATCCTCAGCATCATCGGCGAGGGCGCCGTGGACAATATCGTGATCAAGAGCGACCCGCTGGGCGATGAGGCACGTGTATTCGCTTTTCAGAGGCTGGAGGCCAAGACAAAGTGACAGTCTTGACAGTTTTAAGACTTTCAAGTAATCATGAAGTGACGGTAACTTCATGCTCTTGCAGAAAATTTTGGGTTACGGAATTAAACTGTCACGTTTGTGACTTTATCTAGGGGGTTAATGTTTGAAGAAGGAATGGTCAAGAAATCTTGCTGAATTGCTTGCGCTTAAATTGTCTCTGAGCATGATAGACAATTTTTTTAGGCTCTTTTGCCGGGATAAGAGGATGCGCGCCGTCTTATCGATGTTTTTAGATGACATAACGTTTGAGAGCTTATCACGTAAAATCGATAAAATAGCACGATGCTAACAGGCTTACTGAGACTATTATTCAGAATTTCATAAAATTTTATTGCAAAATATCACCAATTAAAACGCAATATCTAAGTATTTATTTTATTTTTTCAGGATACAGTTGACGAAGAATTAGATAACAATGAAGAGACATTATTAGACCAATGTTACGGTATGCATGTTATAAATGAGAAACTTCTAAGTAATAGGGGAGAGTTCGGTATATTGTACCGCCGGGTAAATTGTACCACCCTCATATTTCGTAAAGTATTTATTGAATGTCTGTAATGGCAACACTCAGCGATACACAACTAAAATCAATTAATATCGGCCATGTGGTTTTTGCCGTGACAACAAACACGTGTGTTTTATTTTGAAAAGTATTTTTTCATTGTTTTCAAGTAACTTTTGACAATACATGTTTAGTTTGTAATTTTGTTAAATTTAATCACAGGGTGTTTCTAATATATTATTTAGAAGCGTAAATTAGTGTGGATTACAATTATTTGAAACATTTTTCGGTATTTATAAGCTATATTTTTTACCGATTTTTTAAAAGCACTATCACCTAGTCGGCTAAATTGTACCACATCAAGTTGTATGGAACTTTACCAAAGGATTTTGAATTTTTTTTTAGTAAATCACATTTTGAATTTATAATAGCGTAGTTATGTTTGACTAACAATAAATGAAAGCAAAAGACTGGCAAAGTAGATTAGGTACAGGTGTGCGTTACGATAATTGGAATTACAAAACTTGTACTCAAAATCGTGATAACGTGTAAAACAATATCGATTGTCTATGTTATTAACTACTGTTCCTTTTCGTTTCCTAATTTGTTAAGAATGTATCGTATAATATGTTGCCATAGTTTTTTTATAGGCTTGAAATTTATTGAAATCCAATTTAGTAACCCTGTGGTACAAATTATCGAACCGGTTGGCTAAATTGGACCGAAGCTCTGAACTCTTACTTTGTTGATTTGTGCTAAATATACAATAATCATGTTAATTAATACTTATGAAATAGTAAGTTGAATAATGTATCTTTTATTATATACCATGGACATCAGCAAAAACAAAAGAAAACTATGTGTAAAATGGGATTGAAAAAAACTGGTCCAAATTAGCGAACTCTCCCTTATGCTTGCATTTTTTACAAATTACTATTCTACACTATTATGAAATTCTATACATTTCAGAAGCAGACACGGTGCCAGTAAAAAAACCAAGGACTAGAAAGCGGAGGCACTCTACACGGGAATTTTCCGAGCTGGAAGACCTGGGTGGGACCAGCAGCCCCCGCGACAAGCCAGGCGTTGCTGCTGCAGAATCCGATTCAGGTTTGGTTGTTAAACTTTTTTTTTTATGTGTCAGGAGGCAAACGATCAGACGGATCACCTGATGGTAAGTGACTACCGTCGCCCATAGACACCCGCAGACCCAGGGGCGTTACAGGTGCGTTGCCGGTTTATATTCAATCACAATTCACAACTGATTTCGTACGCGTGAAAATAGTTTGAATAATATTACGTTTCTGCAACTTTTTTTACTGAATAACGAAAATGATAGGGCTCGTTTTCTTTAAAATAAGTTCTGCAGTTTATAAAAAATGACCTTATAAATATTTAAAAAAGAAATATACTTAGGAATATATGTATTCTGGACGCGGCGCATAACCGGTCTTTGTGGGAAAACCTTCGGGGAGGCCTTAGTCCAGCAGTGGACGTCTTTCGGCTGAAACGAATAATAACGTACTCTATATTTTACACCAAATATCAACTAATAAATTGACGTAAAATTCATATGTGTGCATAGAAATAAGCGAGCTGTATTTGTTCCAGACGATGACGACGCCGCGGTGTTCTTGCGACTGGAAAAGGAAAAAATCGAGAACGCGAGAAAATTGCACGAGACCGTTCTCACGCTCACCTCGGAGATAACGAGGCTCACAGACATCATGGGCCACATCAGGGACGTCATTGTTAACAACAGAATTAATATTTAAAATATTTTTAAAGACAATAGTTGTTTTATTTGTAGGACTAGATTTAATTTTTAGTAGCGCTTCCACCCGCATGCCCATTGCTCTGTAATACTCGTATTTACACGACGCAGATGACGCAGACGTGCATGCAGAAGGAAAATCTTTGTAAAGATTTTTTTCCAGTGTGAAACTAAGCAATACTTATAGGTATAGATGGTAGGTACCTACTCGTATCTTGGGGGATAAAATGGAATTACCCATGGAAAATTATCCATGCAAAGTTTCTTCAAACATTTTAACATCTTTTCTGCTATAAGTACTTTCATAACATTTTATTTTTATTTTTGTGTTTCATTTCAAAATTATATGTATTAAGGAAATAATGCGAGAAGCTCAAGACCGAACGAGATGGAGGACTGTTGTGGACGCCCTCTGCCCCATCTAGGGGACATAGGACCATAAGTCAAGTAAGTCAAGGAAATAATAACCACATAGGAAGTGTACAGAACAATTTACAAAAACTAAAAAATGGCCAAGTGCGAGTTGGACTCGGCACCAACGGGAACAAGTTTGTTCCTGAAGTTAAGGTTTTCCATGTGATGTGGTAGTTACATTACATTAGTGTTCCTGTTTTTAAGGTACCATTTTTTACTTGTTCCACTGACTTACATAACTAGAAGGCGTGTAACTTAATGTGTGTAGAGCACTTAAAACAGGTTTCTTGTCATAATTTAAGACTTAAACAATTTTTTTTCGAGTAATCAAACATTTGAACAGCCGATTGCCTATAGGTTTCCCAAATCATGTAATGTGCGTTAAATATTTAGTGACGTCACATAAAATGTTTCCGGATTAATAAGCAAACAATCTATCTCTTTTTTCATTTATGTCATTATAGGTAAGTAAGAAAGAGATAAACATCTGTTTGTCATTAAATGTCGATTTGATAGTATATCCAATTGATATATTTTATAAGTATATTGTATTTTTGTAATAAGCAATTTATGTAAGTATAATATGTTACGGTAAATGTGATAAATGGAAAATTATTAATAATTTTCTATCACTATTAATAATTTGAATTAATTTCTCACCGTATTACTTATTTTGTTAAGCGCACGCGTCACGCACATTATAGGTAATAAATACATACAAATATTAACAAAAAAATTCAAATAGGCTGAAACCAATTCATTCACAAATGCAATAATTTTCCAAATCAATCAATCAATCATAAGTACCTACTATACCACACACTGATACTTTAAAAGGCTCTCGGCTCATGGCGTATAATATTAAAATCACCAATAAGTAAATGTGCATAATTTCTTATTTTTACCTTGACTTTCGGTAATTATTAATAGTGATGGATGGATAATTGTTAATAATTTTCTATTTATCACTACTACCGTAACGTATAGATCAATAGGACCATTCGATTTACAAATTAGTACCTCCATGTGTGGATCAAGTCCACACTCTACAAGCTTTATGCTGGTTTAGTGGCACGCTTACCATCATTCAAGTAACAGTGTTATATTACTTATTATTTGCTATAAAAGTAAAGGACTTGATTAAAAGAAATGAAAAATTACGTAATATTCTATTGTATATTTTTTATTCTTTTCGGAAGGTGAGTTTATTTATGTATCTATTGAACTGGAGAAGGAAAAAAGGATTTAATTCGGTTCCTGTAATTTTTTTACGTCCGTTATCTCATTTATACCTAACCTCTCATCTGGCACGTGTTCGCACGCGCATAAATTAATATTTAATACTTTTAATGAATACTGTCATAGATAATGATTTTTTTATGCTAATCATAGGTACACGTTATTGTGGTACGCACAAATTGGCACATGTACAGATATGAGCTTAACCACATGTAAAGCTCACTCTTCAAGCAAATGCGACAACTAAGTATATTTTATAACAAATTCTTACTCCTTGCAATACCGAAACTTGTAGTGACGCAGCAGACACAAAGGATAATGCGCCTTCTGGCCCTAAGCCCAATGAAGATAATGGAACAGCTTTGATATTGACACCGTACATTGAAGAAGATCGCATTGATGATGGGCGTAAGGCGGCCGAAGTGGACCCTGGGCTATTTCTCGGATTCAAGAGCTACTCGGGATTTCTCACGGTCAACAAGACGCACAATTCGAACATGTATTTTTGGTACTTCCCCGTACCAGACAAGCCCGTGAACGAGACGCCATGGATGGTGTGGCTGCAGGGAGGGCCGGGTGCGTCAAGCTTGATAGGCCTTTTTGATGAAATCGGACCATTCACAGTCAATGAAGAAGGAAATCTGGACCGTGAGTATTTCAAGTAAAACAGAGAAACCGTAAGTATTTTTTAGCTAAATACTAACCTTGACGACGTGATTGATATACTGTGAAACTTTTATTTGGTACAGTTTAAAAATAATGTTATGTTTCCCGAATATCAGGATGGTGCTCGGGAAACAAGCCTCAATCACGAGGACATACGAGTAGATAGCCATGATGATCTTATGATGGCTGTTATAAATTCAAATCATTAGTTTTTGGTTTAGCGTCGACTAATAAGACATTGCTTAATGTAATACAGTACAGAGACATTAATAATAAAGCGAATATTCGTTAAAGGTAACCCTCATACGTGGCTTCGGAACCACTCGTTGGTGTTCATCGACAACCCGGTCGGGTCCGGCTACAGCTTCACGGAACACGAGGATGGCTTGGTCAAGGACGCGGAAACGGTAATGATTAACTTTGTTAGTTTTCTTCCACCACGTCTTCTCATCACCACACCAGAGACACCGAAGGAATGATTTTCCGAAGTGAGGGTAACGTATATTTTGGTGTTTGGTGAAGAAGGTGTGTGTGGGCACGATGGTAGGTAGGCTCTCAGAGTAGGTAACTTTTTAAGTTCGACAATTTTAATAAATGACAAATGACACCGATACACGGAGTTTCCCTACGTGATTGAATCAGAAATGAGGAGATCCGCAGGAGAACCAAAGTAATCGACATAGCTCGCAGAATTGCTAAAATTAAGTGGCAGTGGGTGTGGGCGGGGCACATAGCTCGCTAGACGATGGCTGTTGGGGCAGAAAATTTCTCGAGTGGCGACCACGGGCTGGAAGACGTAGCGTGGGCAGGCCTCCTACTAGGTGGACCGACGATCTGGTAAAGGTCGCGGGAAGAACCTGGATGCGGGCAGCACAGGACCGTTCATTGTGGAAAACCTTGGGGGAGGTTTTTGTCCAGCAGTGGACGTCATTTGGCTGAAACGAACGACACCGATACAGATTCGATCAATCTAATAATGCGGCTGCTTACATAATATGAAAATTAAAATTCCTCTTGAATTACTTTTATTATATGTATTGCTGAAAATAGGATCTAAGCGTACAGACGCGCAGACGGCAGGAGCGACTTTGTTTTATACTAAGTATGTAAAGATACATTTCATGTTTTTAGTATTCAAAGCACCTGTACAGCACGTTGCGGCAGTTCCTGGAACTGTTCCCGGAGCAGCGAGCAGCGCCGCTCGTCATCGCGGGCGAGTCGTACGCCGGCAAGTACGTGCCGGCGCTGGCGATGGAGGTCCACAAGCACAAGAACCTCCCTGGAGGAGACATCAACCTCAGGGTCAGTTGACTTCACGGCCGACTCTGTTTGATATGTCTCCACAACGTTTGAGATTCATTGTGTGCAGTAGGTTGGACATTAACCAGCATTGCATCTTTTTTGTGGTGTCAAATGTTCAAGTTCTATAAACTTTCCTCCATAAAATAAGAAATGCAGTAAGGTGATGTCACTTTTTGCTTATCTATAAATTAGGAGTCCTAAAAATCTCATCTATTTTTGGTACCTACTAAATTACATTAACGTTTTCTATGCGATCACGAAAAAATAGCGTTACATTCCAGGGCCTGATGGTCGGCAACGGGTACGTGGACACTCGAATGCTTGCGGAGAGCGCCAGGCCCTTCTACGAGTTCGGACTCGTGGACATGGAGCAAGTACAATTTTTGCAGCCGACGATCGACTCTCTCCGCCGGGACATAGAGGCAGGCAGAGTCACCAAGCAAGGAAGATCGGTATACCTATTACGCCATTTTATGCCAACCATACACGTTTTTTGTTGAGCCACGCACACTTTGAACGTGTACAGATATCTGCTTAAGTACTTACTAGGTACATACAATGTAAGGCTCACTCGCCTTCGTGAAATTATTCTTACAGTTACTTATATCTGTAAAACATTTACCTTTTTAGATAATGATAAGAATCCAGCGAATTATCAAAAGTCACAAAATACTCATAATACACAGAAAAAAAGCCTCAACTTTCAAAGCATGTACTTAAATTGTAATTGATTGACACAATTTCTGTACGAAATTCTGAGCACTATGTAGGTACTTCATGTTTTTCTTAATTACAGAAATGGTTACAAATTAGAAGAAAACTAACAGAAATGTCTGGTGTGCCTGTTGTATACAACTTTCTTGAAGACCACGCTTTTGTTGCTGGATTATTTGCCAAGTTTTTACTGAAGTCAGAAGTGAAGAGGGCGCTTCACGTGGGGGATATTAAATTCACAGCTGCGAATATAACAGTAACCGCGGCTCTAATAGGAGAGTTCATGGTTAATCCCAGACCATGGTACGAGACGCTACTTAATCACTACGATATTATAGTGTTGTGGTAAGTAGAAATTATTTTCAGTTCTATTCTGGACCATTGTCGTGTACCCTCTCGATACACAAGTAATATTTAAAAAAAATTTAAAAAATAATATTTTGTTCATCATAATTAGTCGGCCTATATGAACATTTGTCCACACTTTGAACATAAAATCTTACCTGTCCTATAGTGGTCAACTGGATCTGGCGCTGTCTTGTACGGTTGCGTCAGAGCAGTACCGCAGCTGGCAATGGGACCATAAGGACGAGTTTCTTAACGCAACCCGTTGTCCACTGCGTTTCGAAGGGAGAGTAGCTGGGTATGTCTTTAGAAGATATTCTGACTGTATGAAGGAAATTAGGAGCTTTAATTCTATAACCTTTTGATATGTGCTGTGCAGGTATCACAAAACCGGCGGCCGCTTTACCGAGGTGGTGGTGCGCGGCGCGGGACACATGACGCCGAAGGATGCGCCCGCGCCGATGCAGTGGCTCGCGGCGCAGTGGACGCACGCCCGGCCCCTGCCGCTCTCCGTGTGCCGGCCTCCCAGAATATAAATCGTCCACTTGCGATGACAAGTGTACCATCACTAAATTATAAGTTAGAGATGTCACACTGTAGTTGCAAGAGGTCGAAATGCTTGCGGTAGTTCGATCCAAAACCTCTCGTGATAAATTCATTGGCGTTGCGAATTCGACTGTACAAGCCATTATTGTTTGCATATTTACTATTAAACATAATTATGTTACCTAACTTTTTATTGCGGTTGCAAATTGTTCATACATTGCTTGTTAGCTCTGAAGCGGCGATTCAAAACTTTCCGGTCGATATTGTGTAAAGGTTTTTGCTATAGCCATATACGTGCGGAAAGTTATAAAATATACATAATATCTACTTACAGTAATTTGTAATATATGCCTACTTCATAATAATTTTAAACGACGGACTACATTCTTTCTCCCTGTTTTCTTGTTTTGTGTACAATACAATAAAGTGTGTTCTATTTTCTCTTCATTTATTTATCACCCTGCAATGTTTAAAGTTTATCAGCCAAGTCTTATATTATTATCTTATTTTCATAAGCAAATACTTAAGTGCGAGGGCCAAAAGACATAGTGTTGGCAGTCCTCCCACTAAGTGGACAGACGATCTGGTGAAAGTCGCGGAAAATACCTGAATGCCATCAATGCGGGACCAGTCGTTGTGGCCATCCTTGAGGAAGGCCTAAAGAAGCTTTAGCAAATTATACGGCAGTATTTATATGTTCATACACATACAAAAAATTACTGAGCGGGAATCGATCCCGCGACCATCAGGTCGACCATCGCATACTCGTAGTACTTAGTACTTTTCGAACCACTACCTACACCAAACAGCCGACTTCCGAGATAAAGATGATAAAAGCAGTATAAATTGCACCAAAGCTCTGCACACAAGTAAAACGCATTTCCGCGAAAATGTATGTGAATTTTCCGGGCTGTAAACGTTCGTTCGTTCGTTTCAGCCAAATGACGTCCACTGCTGGACAAAGGCCTCCTCCAAGGTTTTCCACAATGCACGGTCCTGCGCTACCCGCATCCAGGCTCTTCCCGCGACCTTTACTAGATCGTCGGTCCACCTTGTAGGAGGCCCGCCCACGCTACGTCTTCCAGCCCGTGGTCGCCACTCGAGAACTTTTCTGCCAAAAGCGGATCATGATGGAGCGGGCCATGCTTGGAGTTTCCCTGCGTGATCGAATCAGAAATGAGGAGATCCGCAGGAGAACCAAAGTGACCGATATAGCTCGCAGAATTGCTAAAATCAAGTGGCAGTGGGCGGTGCACATAGCTCGTAGGGCTGTAAACATTATTAATTAATTTACCAATCGACGTACGAAATAAGCGAGCTATATTTGTTCCAGACGATGACGACGCCGCGATGTTCTTGCGACTGGAAAAGGAAAAAATCGAGAACGCGAGAAAACTGCACGAGACCGTTCTCACGCTCACCTCAGAGATAACGAGGCTCACATACACCATGGGCCACATCAGGGACGTCATTGTTAACTACAGAATTAATACAGTGTGGCCCTGCATACAGTGCAACCCTGGAAGGGGATGAAAGTACGAGTTACATCCTACTAATATTATTAAATGCGAAAGTTTGTGTGGATGTCTGGATGTCTATTACTCTTTCACGCAAAAAGTACTGAACGGATTTTGTTGAAACTTTACAGTATTATTTTTTATAACCCAGATTAATGTAGGCTATTTATGACGATCTGTGACAAAATAAATTTCACGCGGGTGAAGCCGCGGGCAGAAGCTAGTCATAAATAAATTATCGAAAAAAACAGTCATAGTTATGTATTGTTTTATTACAAAACTTGTTACAATTTTTATTAATATACGAATATTAAAAGATTTATTACTTTCCGTGGACGCTATGTATGTACAAAAAATCGATTCCTAAAAAAGCATTGCTTCTATTTTTATAAAATTAAAACAATAATTAAGCCAAATAGTTGAAAGTTGACGATAAAATACTCGAATTGAGAACCTCCTCCTATTTTTGAAGTCGGTAAAAAATAACAAATATGGGAAATGTAGGTAAATAGTTTTTTGGGAAATAATAGACTGATTACTTAATATTGGCACAGAATAAGTAATAGTATATTGGGCTAAATTGATTGTTAATAAATTTCAACTTGCCGTTTAAATATGGGTCTCCTCATCTTATGTTATTAACGTCTAAACCTCTTTGTGATCATCCCATAGAATGCATTTATACAAATTGCAACACAATCAATCTCTCTTTGTGATATTGTGCACGTAATTTATAATTTATGGCCGAAATAAGTTATAATGACATAAATAAATATCGAAATGAAAATGAGCTCATTTTCAGAGGTACGAGTAGGTACATAATGAAAAAAGTTATAGGCAGAAACAGAAATAGGTATATTGCCCTTTCCTCGGTCCATCAAAGTCATAGTACCTACTTAGTTACTTAACTACAAATCTTCAGATAATATTTAAAGAAAAACATGAAATAAAAGAAAAAAAACATTAAATAAAAGAAAAAAAAAATTTTGCTCTTTGGGAGCCTTCACTTGTCTAGGGGTGATTGTTAAGAAAGTGAATCAAATATTCATTATGAGAGCCAACAAATTGCACGTGTCTTTCAATCGTAGTTCACACGAAGCGACGTCAGAGACTGGAGACGATTGCCTGGGATCACAGTTCAGCCGATAACTTGATTCATACTAAACTTGCACTATGTCGGCTCAGTGGCGCGCGCTCAATCATATAATTAACAGTGCTACATATTATTTACCAAATGAGTCAAGGTCTTCACATCGCTTGAGATGGCCAGTTACGTGACATGTTACTGTGTATTTTTGTGTCTTTTAGGAAGGTGAGTTCGTCTTCGTATCTTTTCTTAACACCCGACAACAATAAATTAAATTGTTTTAAACATCTAAAACCAGGATAAATTAAAAAAAATATTTTATTTCCCTAGAAAAAGACTAAAAAAGTTGGTTTTGCTACCATATCAAAAGGCCTTTTTGCGTTAAAGCTTCATATCACTACCTAAGTAATCTGGTTTAATTAAATTTAATTTTACAGAAATACATAAAAGAGACGGTATCATTAGGCAGTCTTATCGCTATATTTGTAACATATTTTTCAACTCGCTTTATTTTAATCAACTTTACTTATCTAATTGTGTTGCGTTTCAGTACCTTTGGGCGGATTGCTTTTACAAACTTGAACATATCAATTGAAATTACTAGAAGTGATCAGACTGGCCAGCCCAAATCTGTAATTTCGATAAATTCTACCGAAGGAGCCCGCCTAATACAAGATATTGAAAATGAAATAGATTTCGAAGTGAATTTAAATCCAAATCCTACTCCTCGTAATACCGAAACCTCTTCTGAAGCCGACGTAAAGGATAATGGGTCTTCTACCCCTAAACTCAATGAAGATAACGGAACAGCTTTGATATTGACACCGTACATTGAAGAAGGTCGCATTGATGATGGGCGTAAGGCGGCCGAAGTGGACCCTGGGGTGTTTCTCGGAGTCAAGAGCTACTCGGGATTTCTCACGGTCAACAAGACGTACGATTCGAACACATTTTTTTGGTACTTCCCTGTACCAGACAAGCCTGTGAACGAAACGCCATGGATCGTGTGGCTACAGGGAGGGCCGGGTGTGTCGAGCTTGACAGGCCTTTTTAGTGAAATCGGACCATTCACAATCAAAGATCAAAGATATCTGAAACGCAAGTATTTTATTAAACTTTCTAGAACAAGCTACTCATATATATTTCCTTGCAATGCTTTGCAAATTTCCATCNGGACAGTGCCAATCCATGTATGGAAGTTGGACCAAGTGCTGCCCAGAATGAAACTATAGTGCATTTTGTTCTTTAGGCCAATACTAATTTGTAAACCGGAGCGCACTGAAATTTATCCCTGGAGTTAAGAGAAAAAAAGAGTTTTGTTTGGAATTATTTACTTACAAAATATCATCGATGTATACATACTACGCATAAGATTTTGTGATTTTGGCATTAAATAACACTCGCTATGTTGAAAGTAACCATACTGCATCCGTACACCTTACTTTAGTACTACATCGACATTCTTTATAAGCGATTAAGCGCTGTTGCAGTAGTTTGGTTAGTTGAAAAAATTAATTATTACCAAAATGGAGCAAGAAGTTTTAGCTTACAATAAGTTCAATAATCGATTGTAATACACCAATAAATTGATTTTTCGCAAGGATAGAGAACTAAAACTTCTTGATTCATTTTGGAAATAATGATTTCTGTCAAGTAACCAAACTATTGCAACAGCGCTAGATCGCTTATAAAGAATGTCTAAGTCGCACTATAGTAAGGTGTACGGATGCAGTATGGTTAAGTTCAACATAGCGAGTGTTATTTAATGCCAAAATCACGAAATCTTATGCGTAGTACGTATACATCGATGATATTTTGTATGAAAATATTTCAAAACAAAACTCTTTTTTTCTCTTAACTCCAGGGATAGATTGCAGTGCGCTTCGGTTCACACATTAGTATTGGTCTGAGGAACAAAATGCACAATGGGTTGATTCTGGGCAGCACTTGGTCCAGACCCTGGCACTATCCTTTCCATCTTTGTGTTAGACAAAAAAATCCGTAATTAATAAAATATGATAGGAATTTACTGACATTTTTCTTGACGTCTGTTTATACACAGGTCTACATAACTCAAATACCTTAATACTTTTCTGTTCCTTTATTTTAGATTGAAAGTGAATATTTATCTGTTAAAGGTAACCCTCATACGTGGCTTCGGAACCACTCGTTGGTGTTCATCGACAACCCGGTCGGGACCGGCTACAGCTTCACGCAACACGAGGATGGCTTTGCCAAGGATATGGAAACTGTAAAAATTAACTTTGTATCCACAAACTCTTCAATTAAACCAGAACCAAAAAAACTTAATATAAAGCACAATTTACTTTACCACGTCAGTTACCAGCCGGTATGATTGTTGTCCCGAACCGCTGTATAGCTCCACCATTTAAAATATATCTTTAGGTCATCAAATCGTACAATTTGAGCACTTTTTGAGATTTTTTTGTGCCAGATAAACTCGTGAGATCTTACGTTTAATTAATTAAGATTAGTGTGAGATAGTTTAGCTCACAGACTTCACCTAGAAAGAATGGCTGGAGTGACGAAATTGCGAAGGACCTCCCGAGCTCCGTCTATAATTTGCGCGGAACATACCGGAGTGGAGTAACTTTTATTTTTGAAGGTCATCCTAGTTAGTTTAACTTCATTTTGCAGTACTCAAAGCACCTGTACAGCGCGTTGCGGCAGTTCCTGGAACTGTTCCCGGAGCAGCGAGCAGCGCCGCTCGTCATCGCGGGCGAGTCGTACGCCGGCAAGTACGTGCCGGCGCTGGCGATGGAGGTCCACCGGCACAAGAACTTCCCTGGAGGAGACATCAATCTCAGGGTGAGTTATTATTAATTAGGTCACAAGTTTGTGATGCAAGACCAACAGCTCTGCCCAAGTTAGTCTCTACTGGATTAGTCTAATAGGTTTTAACAAACATCATAAATACTATTACCTAAGTATCTACTTTTCATGGTGTCAGAATATTCGCGTTACTCTTATAATACTCGTAATACTTCAATAGGTACTACGTGATCTTACTTTTTATAAACTACATCAAAATCCATGCATTGGTATCTCCTCGTCTCTTGCGCTGCGGGATGTGCAGCCCTTCCGCCCTTGCGTAACGAGGCTCAGGCACCCACGCTTGCTTCCGCAACTTCGGCTTTTTGGATCGCCGTCGGCGCCTCGGCGACCAGCCTCAGCCGCTCCAGCTCACCCGGGCGTCTGATCCTCGTTACAGCGGACGAGAGCTGCCTTCCCTCCACGCCTCTGGCTTTTAAATTACACTCTAGGGGTAGGGCAGACAAGACTACGAGGAGTCGGTTATGCAGCGATTCGTTTCTGTCACGTTATTTTCCAATATTCCAGCATAGGATCGATAATAATCCTTTATTTCTCGCTCGGCGTAACCTTTCCGAACATACGAGTATCTTGGAAATGTGATATCATATGACAGAGCAATGTTGAAACGGATTCATGGATTAAAATCAATCAATATTTAACTTTCCAGGGTCTGATGCTTGGCAACGCGTACATGGAGCCCAGCATGCTCGCGGAGATCACCAGGCCCTACTACAACTTCGGGCTCTTGGACAAGGAGCAGATACAGGAGGCACAGCCGCTGATCGACGCTTTCCGCCAGGACATAGAGGCAGGCAGAAGTATTGCAGCGAAACAGGTCAATCATGTGATATTTTACACCACTCCATTGAAAGAAGAAAGAAAGAAAAAGTATTTATTCAGTATCAATACATTACACATAAATTATTATACAAATGTACATACACAATGATACTGAAAAGGTAGCCACTCATCATGATGTCGTAGCGGAGCATCTCAGTCGGTAGACTGATAATGCCACGAGTCACGACTCTGTTCTTCCGATCATTAGGCATTACTTAGCTATTGGTGGACTAGCAATACTACACGTGGTAGTTATTACTTAGAATATTTAAAGCCATCAGCAACTTAGTACCTTTCGGTGAAAGAGAATTTTTCCCTATTGTTATTCACATCATACATAACTATGCACTTCGATGTATCAAAATTGTATTGTTTACAGAAGTGGATGGCTATAGCCTCCATGTTAATAGAGATGTCAAGTCTGCCTCATGCATACAACTTTCTTCAAGACACGCCGCTTTTTGCTGGCGATTATTCGGAGTTTTTATTGAAGTCAGTGATAAAAAGGGCGCTTCACGTGGGAGATATTGATTTCTCATTGATAAATGTGACTGCGAACATGGCTCTAGCACCGGAATTCCTGTCGAATACCAGACCGATGCTCGAGACGCTTCTCAATCACTACGACGTTATGGCGTATTGGTAAGTTTCATTTTTGAAATAAATGTTTATGTTTAAAAATACATTTAAATTAACTAAAATTATATTCGGTTACATTATACTTATTACATACTGTCCATTATTAACATCAGGTGCGATTGTGGTCAAATAACTGCCTTGTTATGCATAATAAAAAATCACAAACTTTTTAAAGGCTCTAGCTAGACATTAACGGGTGGAAACATCTATCACGAAGGAGTCACATTCCCTCAGGGGGAAAAAGAAATTAAAGTACATACTTTTACCTACTTTGATACTTTTACCAATTGAATTTCTCTTTTCCCCTTCAATTAATGAAAATAACGTTTCCCTGTCCTACAGTGGTCAGCTGGATCAGATGCTGTCATGCGCAGTGGCAGGGGAGCACTACCGCAAATGGCGATGGGACCGCAGGGCCGAGTTCCTTAACGCAACCCGGCATCCACTGCGTTTCAAAGGGAAGCTGGCTGGGTATGTCCTTAGAATATTCTGTGGCAGGGGAGAACTACCGCAAATGGCGATGGGACCGCAGGGCCGAGTTCCACAACGCGACCCGGCACCCACTGCGTTTCAAGGGGAAACTGGCTGGGTATGTTTTTAGAATATTCTGACTAGTTATGGGGAACGAGGACTCTACTATGCCTAATATTTGAATTGCACTTGCTCCATGGCTCCATCATACAGGACGTGATATTTCTTCCGTCGTTAAAGTAGGTAGTACGTGAATAAAGCAGGTTCCCACTGCTGTAACTTCTTTGTATCCAGGCTCTAAAGCTTGATTGTCAAAAAAATCCAACCAGTAACGATCAAGACGTTATGAAATTATTATGAAAAAAAAAATGACTATTGGACCTTTAACGAATTTAATGAGAAGATCATAGGAGGCGTTCGAAATTAAGGATTGACAGAGGTAAAAAAACCTATATTGATGTAAACCACGGATAGTACCTAAGCAACCGGACTGTAGGACATACCACGGAGCTGGTAGTTAGGTATTTGCCCGAATGATTCTTTAGTTCACAAAAATTGCAGGTATTACAAAAGCGGCGGCCGCTTCACCGAGGTGGTGGTCCGCGGCGCGGGACACATGGCGGCGAAGGATGCGCCCGCGCCGATGCAGTGGCTCGCGGCGCAGTGGACGCACGCCCGGCCACTGCCACGCCGTAGCCGCGTGAGCGCTATAGCTTGGCAGGAGTACGTCGACAGTATTACGACCATGTTCTCGAACGAAACTCACGCCTTCTACCTATAGGCTGTTATAAATAATAATAATAACTTGATTAGCACACAATAAAACATAATTAAATTTTAGAAAATGTACATAATGTTAAAAGGGCGCCCGCTCAGTTTTTTTGACACCTTGTAACATGCCCCGACACTGATTTCCAGCAGGATTCCCTATCGCTATCGCGCATCCCCTCCGGCGAAGCCGATGTTAAAGAAGAATAAACAAAACATGCATCTCATCATGTTTTGTATCCCTCTCCAATCAAAAATCACTAAGACGTTTTCAGTAGAGCTATGTCGAGTAGAGCTAAGTTTGCTATATTAATTAGGTAATTTTATAGGTTCTCTACAAACACATCGCATAATATGGGCCCGCAATTTCGGCCATAGCAAAGTAGTGGTCTCTACATATTGCGGTTGCAATTTTCATACACTGCTGCTCGTCGCTCAAAGCGATCGCTCGCTTCAATTATGGGTCGATAGTGCTTGTTTACCTAGAGTTTTTTTTTCCGTATCACTATACGAGTATATGTAATACAAAACAAATAACTATAATAAAATATAATTTGTCAAACTACTCGTACCTTTATTTTTACCTTCCATTTCATGCATTTGAAAAACCATAATATACTAAGGTAAAGTAGATGTAGATTGTAGAGTCAGATTTTAACTTTCACGTTCCATTTCAACTAAAATAGAGAAACACGGGTCTCATATAAATAATGTCGCGATGATATCCGTGTTCCTATTTTTGTAGAGTGATTTTTGAGAGCTGAAATTGCTTGAGCTTTTAAATACGCATGCACTGGCTGCTGACGTAAGCACTGACTCATACATAGGTACCTATATTACTTCGTCCCACTTGTTTGTTCGGTGCCACGGTGTTTTCATTCATTCGGCAGCAAGTCACCAAACGACTCGCGTAGATAATTATCTCATCATCGAATAGTTTGATAAACAGCTGGTATTCAATGATTATTACCGCTATTCATTCATCATAATAAATTGGCTACCAATGTGCAGTTCGAGTTTTAGTCGCGTTAGTGTATTTATAGAACAACATTTGGTTTATCAGAAATCTCGCGTCTTGCTCGCGCACCGTGTGTTATTGTGCTGTCTCTCTCACGACTATACTCTCTCTGAGAGAGTCGACCATCCGTACCTCTAGTAGGAAAAACTTTCGAGTTCGTTTCGTTGCGTATTCAAAGTGTCATCGAAAAACTTTGTATGAAAAATTAAACAGCGCCCCCTACATTATAGCCGCCCTAGGGGGCGCTGTTTAATTTTTCATACAAAATTTTTCGATGACACTTTGAATACGCAACGAAACGAACTCGAAAGTTTTTCCTACTAGAGGTACAGTAGTCAGTGGTGTGTTTACATTGTTGTGCATAATGAGGCAGGCTGTTGCAGCAGTAATACTTTTTGGGTAAGTGAAATACACATTTTAATAGCATGAAAATACAATCAGTCATTAAGCATTAATTAATGGTTTCAGTGGTTTCGATACATAGATCAAACCATTAATTATTCTGATAGATTACAAGGTTACACTAGTATAATTAAAAACTACTAAAATTGTCTAGAATTATGAAAAATAGTGTAATCAAAAAAGTATAATGAAACCTACTAAAAATCTAGTAAAGAAATTTTTATGATAGAGCGCCAAACATTAATATTTTATTATTTATTTAATCCTTAAGCCATAAAAATGGTACACATAAAGCTCTCCCAACTAACACTTAAGTTTTAAGTGTAAATTGAGTCTTAAATACACGTGGTAATTTTCCTTTAGTAAGTATAAGTACATAGCTTGCAAAACTTGTAACAGGACAGTTTTATCACTGTTTTCCTTAAAATAATAGCCTAGTAGCCAGGGGAAATACCGAAGTAGGTACAGTTCGCGAGGCCTCGGCTTAGCTTTCCATTTGAGTGAGTTCACATGAAAGATAAAAAAAAAAGTATGAGAAATATTTTCGGACCTCCAATGATAGGAATTGAAAAGTTATGTAAGAAAATGCGCTACCGAAAGTTATTATGTAGGTACCACTTTTTGGCAATCGGTCTGAGGCGCAAGTCCGAATTTTTCCATTCGAACATTTTTTGCGATTTTTTAAGTTGTTTTACTGACTCTACTTTTGGTGATCACTCACACAAATGCAAAGCTCAGCTTATGCCTGGATTCTAATTAGTACTTACGCATATTAATACGACTCCTCCCCCTCTAAAAACTAAACTGTTGGCTTGAAAATCTGGAAAAATTCATAATAATAATGCTTTTTATGAACTTTCAATTAAAACTATAACGGAGAAGATAGGTCAGTTAGTTAGTTTGAGTAATAATCGTTTAACTCATGTATTATATTTCTTAACTAATAAAAGATCCTTAGAATAAAATATGAAAAGTGACTTTAGATGAAGTAATTGCTTGCTTCTGAAATATATTATGGTAATGACGGACAACTACGGAACCCTACATTGCGCGTGGCACGACACGCACTTGACCAATTTTTTTTACTAAAGCAAACCCCCCTATTTTGATCGTTCGATCATTTGTAAATTCGATATTCTGAATGTTCGATATTTTGATCATTCGATATTTTGATCGTTCGATGAAAAGTGTTCGATATTTTGATTTTCGATCATTTGTAATTCGATATGGTGTAGGTAACCCCCATGAGACGTCTCTTTGGAAATGAAAAGGATTACGCCGTATCCAAATGTTTGTTACTCTTTTGCTCACCCTGTACCTACTTATATCAAAAACATGAGACATTGATATTTTTGTTATTACTTGTTATCATTGGGTACGTTACTCGCCCAGTTGACCCGTTCGTATTGAGATCCACTGATTTATTAATTTATTACCTTACTTGTCATGATTTATCTAGGTACGTATCTTCTGGCCGTGTTTCTGGCGTAAAATAATTGAACCTAAATAAATAATAGCGTAATGTTAATTAGGATGGTGTATCTAAGTTTTGAGTGGTTTTTGGAATTAAAAGGAGACGATGGGACGTACGGGCCATAGGAATTAGCTTAACATTGTGAAATCTTATTTGAGTAATAATAAACACGATTGTGCAAGATTGTGCAACAAAAAATACAGTCAGATTAATTAACGTTCTTAGGTAGGACTACTAACTAGGACAACAACACTAAACAAGTATTAAATTCTGTTTCAGGTCTATGACAATTGCTTTAATTCTACCAAATACACCGCCCCTGATCCTCACCCCTTACATCCTGCAGAACCAAACTGACTTAGCGAGGAACTTGTCAGAAGTAAATCCAGAAATCTTTCTGAATGTGTCGAGTTACTCCGGTTTCCTTACGGTTGACAAAAAACACGACTCCAACCTGTTCTTCTGGTACTTTCCTGTACCTGACAAACCCCTGAATACCACTCCATGGATCATCTGGCTGCAGGGCGGGCCAGGAGTCACGAGCCTGGCCGGCCTCTTCGTAGAAATGGGTCCGTTTATGTACGAAAATGATGGATTGAAATGTAAGTTTGTATTTTCATGTTTAATGCTTTAAGTAAGTAGCAAAGTAAATAACGCCCGTATTCACAAACATTACTATAAGGTCTCACATTGCGCGTGGACGCACAGGATGACATACGAACAGAGCTCTATTCAATGCTGTGCGTTCGATTTGCTGCTTCACTTAAACAAGCATCGTTTGTGAATACGGGCGTATGTGTTCTTTGAGTATTGATTAGATTTCGTGAAAGTCGGTTAGTTACATGAAATTTAGCACATCAGTCGTACACCAATAGCATATTGGATTACACATTTTTATTGCAAAATAAGATGCTACAGGGTTTATTTAGTTTGATAAGCAGTCGTCTCTACCTAATGAGTTGACAACCACCCGGCCTGATGGTTTCCATACCAGATGGCAACAACAGCTGCGGTCGCAAGTTTGGGGCAAACGTTTTTAGAATGACTATGAGCGTTTTAGTCACAGACGTTTATCTATTGAAATGTTACGTATCTTATCTATTAGCTCTATCTCTCTTAGTTCCGGGATAATCTATACGAGTAAGGTTTACACAATTTATAAATGTTCATTATTATTATGAAAATGTTACAACATGTAACAACCGGCCAACATGGAAAGCATTGGGGGAGGGCTATGTTCAGCAGTGGACGTTCTATGGCTGAGATGATGATGATGATGATGATTAAAATGCCTTTTCTTTATCTGTTAATACTGATACTTTATCTTGTACTTTACACCTAGAATAGGCTCGTAGGAGAACATCCAACGCGCAAAGTCTATTTTTTCAGATAAGGACATAACGTCAATTACATTTAGTAGGTTTTCTTAAATAACTAAGTATGGCTACTACCTACTATAAATAATGAATCTACCTACTAAAAACTATACGCAGGTAAATATGTATAACGTTAGATCTCCATTCCAAAAATTGGCGACTTAATATTAAAATATTACATTATAGGTAGCCCCTCAACCCAGTTGTAACCCCTGAATATAACCCCAATATTTTACGGTACAGACGATGACACAGCTATACATATAAACACTGTGGCATCTTTTCTCAGCTGTAATAAGTGCTATTCTATAACAAAAACGTATTATAACTTGCTGTCGGCTCTAAAGTGTAACTACAACATCAATAGCAGCAGCAAGGTACTTCGGATATGTCTTGTGAGACTTCATAATATGACATTTATGACAATTTAAAAAAATATTTTAAAATTTCATGAACCCGATGGGAAAAGAAGAACAATATATTGGGAATAAGCCCAAAATGGCTGCCTGCCAAGCGTGGGGATTATGGCAAAACCCTCCACTTTAGTGGAGGAGGCTCATAGTCCAGCAGTTGACTGTAAAGGGCTGTTGATGATGATGATGAAGCCCAAAATTTCATTAAATTCGGAATTGATTCCAATTTACCTCCATATTGTTTACTTGCCGATTGGACTATTGGTTGATTATACATATTGAGTTTTTGTGGTACAGTGCGCAAGTCAGCGTGGACCCAGGAGTACTCCATGCTGTTCATCGACAACCCGGTGGGTGCCGGCTACAGCTTCACCAACGGCTTCGATGGCTTAGTTCAAAACATGGACGAAGTAATTATTTTTTTTTACTAATTTAAGGCTCGGCGCAAATGGACCACCGACCACAGCCACCGGTGGCCAGTGACGGCGACTTAACACACTATAGACGCGCCGCACACGTGTAGCCTGTAGCGGCCACTCGCTACAATAGTGTCCGCAAATCGCCACTGTCGCACTGCTCCATCCCCCGCTCCAGATGGGTTGGATTAGATAAAATCAGTACCTATAATGCACCTATAAAATACCTACTCCAAATCCCTATTCCGAATATTTATCCTCCATCTTCAGAATGCGTAGCAACAAGTGGGTTATATATAAAATGTGGCAGCTTCCTGACACCGGTGGCTGTCGCTCGCTTCTGATACTCTCATAAACATGGCGGTAGCGCTTGACAGCACTGGTGGCTGTGGTGTGATCGGTGGCTCATTTGCGCCAAGCCTAATTTAAAGTACCACCAAGCGCAGGAGCGGGCGTTGTGGAAATCCTTGGGGGAAGCCTTTGTCCAGCAGTGGACGTCATTCGGCTGAAATTAACGAAAAAGAACTTACCATTAGCCATTTGGTTCCGACGGAGTAGAACAGGACCACTGCTACTCTTTCCGTGGACATCGTATGCTAACATCAGATGTTGCAAGATGTTTCTCTATTTTCTGGCCAGCATGAGGAGTGCAGACCGAATCAATCTCAAGTCTTACATATGTATGTATTTAATTGGAGAAGGTCGTGTCTCTTGCAGTGGAGACTAAATAACCTGATGATCATTATGATGAACTAACAAAGTCAAGTGCTGATGTCGAAAACGTATTTATAAGAGTAAAATAAGTAGAAGAAAAATCATCAACTGAGTCAGATAAAATACTAGGACATTAGCAATTTTATCACGCGATGATGATGATGTTTTTGATATAGCATGATTGATTGAACGCGCTAACAATTTTAAGCGCAACGGTAAGCACTTTAATAAGATCTTTTGTGTAGGGGTCCATTATGCAAAAATCTTTGAATCTTTCATTGCAAACTGACACCTAGGCTTATCAGTTGGTTTCCCTGTTCCAGTGCTCGAACCACCTGTACAGAGCCCTGCAGCAGTTCCTGTCATTGTTCCCCGAGCTCCGTTCCGCGCCGCTGTATGTGGCGGGCGAGTCCTACGCCGGCCATTACGTGCCTGCGCTCGCGCACAGAATATTACACCCGCCAGCCCTGCCTGATCTACCACTACGGGATACGACTATTAACTTGCAGGTAAATATTCTAGGAAAGCGCTGGATGCAGGCTGGTAGCAACCGGGCAATGTGGAAAATCATTGGGGAGGCCTATGTTCAGCAGTGGACGTCCTGTGGCTGAAAATGAAATCCCTTGTCGGAAACCTTTTAATTTTCCCTGAAAAGGTTCTTTTGACACTTTTGGTGTTACGAGGTACGTTAATTGATGTGTTGTATGAAAATTGTTTACTACCTAGGTAGAAACAGGTACCTTACGAAGAAAATGAATCAGACGCTATTGAATTTAATATTTGTGAAAACGTCAAAAAAGTTTTTCTTTTTAACGAAATTATTAGGTAGTTCTTTTCTGAGCTTTGGAATAAACTCTACATTTTGCGAGTACATAATATGGTGCATGCAAATGCTATTCCTCGTAAAACGGGCATTGGATTTTCTTAGCTTTAAAACTTTATATACCTATCTTTTATTTCAGGGCGTAATGATGGGCAATCCTATAATAGATCGTAGAGACGAAGTGAACCTGACCTCGGTATATTACCAGTGGGGCCTCATTGACCCTCAAGGAGTCTTGGCTGTGAAGCCGCTTCAGGAAAAGTACGCAAAGGCCATACAAGATGGCGATTACATTAAGGCTACCGAGGTATTAAAATACATTAGTAATGTCACATTTAAGATGAACACAAACAAATGAAGTAGAGAAAGCATATATTAAAAAAATTATATTAAGTTATCATCTTCCGTTTCTTGGCTCTACTTGCCGTTTAAGTCCAATACATACAATGTTCGCTTTCCTTTATAGACCCGCAATACATTATTGGATAAGATTGAAATTGGAACTGGCCAGAAACAGTCGTACAACGTTCTGAAGGACTACATCGACGTGTTAAACTTCCAAGAGTTCGTGACGTCACCTCCTGTCAGGGCAGCCCTGCATGTGGGGAACGCCAATTTTGATTTTCGCCACGGGTCCGCGAATACGATGCTTCGGCAAGATTTTCTAGTCAGTCTCACAGCAAAAGTAGAAGAGCTACTGGAGCATTACAGGATATTGATTTATTGGTGAGCTTTTTCAATTTATTAAAGGAGACTTAAAATCATAGAATATCAGGCTATTTCTAAAATCCTTTAATGATTTATCTCGTTGTTAATGCCTTCAGCAGTCTAAGTAGGTACCTAGCTTGTTATAACATCACTTGCCTCTCTAACTGACGTACCTGACATTTTGCAAAATTTTCAGGCGATTAGACAGATCGATTCGTCTCGGGAAATTGATAAAGATGGTGTAGATAACTCAGTTTCGAAAAAATGTCAGATACGTCAGTTAGCGAGGCAAGCGACGATAATTGTGCGAATCTTTCTCCTCATTTGCAGCGGTCAGTTGGATCTGACAGCGCCGTGCGTGATGAACGCAGAAGCCCGCAGGCAGCACTGGCGCTGGAGTGGGCGCCAGGCTTTCTTGAACGCGCCGCGGACACCTTGGTCTCATAATGGCACCGTCGCCGGGTATGTAACAAGCAATTCTATAACAATAATGCATAGCCGTCGATATACTAGATTGAACAACGCAATGTTCATCATGGCCTTCTTCTTTTTAACACGCTTTTATTAGGTCGTCGTGTATGTAACTATGTATGTAATGGAATCTAAGAATCTGAATTACACGCACTTCTAATTCTAGTATCATCAAGAAACTTGGCAATTATATGTAGATTAGATGAAAATACAACATTATGGTACCATCGAGCTGGTCTGATGATGCGACTGGAAGGTGGCCATAGGAACTCCTAAACGAAACAGCGGAATCGCATCGAGTTTGGGTTCATTGGATTTGTATTTTCAAGCAATCTAGTGCTAGATGATGTCCAGGGTCCTGATGATGAAGTCGGGAGGTGTCCATTGGAACTCCTAAACGAATTGGCCTTTTAGTGCAGTAATTAAAAGCGTGTTTATAGTTTTTAAACAAATAAATTGATAGTTTATAAACTATAGGACAGTGCCAGGGTCTGGACCAAGTGTTGCCCAGAATCAAACCATAGTGCATTTTGTTCCTCAGATAAATAATGTCGAAGTCGTACTAAAGTAAGGTGTACGGATGCAGTATGGTTAAGTTCAACATAGCGAGTGTTATTTAATGCCACAATCGCGAAATCTTATGCGTAGTACCATCGTAGTACGTGTACATCGATGATATTTTGTATGTAAATAATTACATATAAAACTCTTTTTTTCTCTTAACTCCAGGGATAGATTTCAGTGCGCTTCGGTTTACACATTAGTATAGGCCTGAGGAACAAAATGCACTATGGTTTGATTCTGGGCAGCACTTGGTCCAACTTCCATACATGGATTGGCACTGTCCTTTATTTGTTCTTCTGATTTTTTTTTTATGTGATAGGAGGCAAACGAGCAGACGGATCACCTGATGGTAAGTGATTACCGTCGCCCATAGACACCCGCAGGGGCGTTACAGGGCGTGATAGTTGCCAGATCGCCTGCTTGCTAGGTGTTATCATTACTCAATGTTACCTCATGACACAAGAACTTCTAAGGAACTAGAAATAGAGTTATTTATAGGATTTCAGAAGTTGTACAGAATGCTTAATTTANATTGTTAATGCCTTCAGCAGTCTAAGTACCTAGCTTGTTATAATTGTGCGAATCTTTCTTCTCATTTGCAGCGGTCAGTTAGATCTGACAGCGCCGTGCGTGATGAACGCAGAAGCCCGCAGGCAGCACTGGCGCTGGAGTGGCCGCCAGGCTTTCTTGAACGCGCCGCGGACACCTTGGTCTCATAACGGAACCGTCGCAGGGTATGTAACAAGCAATTCTATAACAATAATGCATAGCCCTCGATACACTAGATTGAACAACGCAATGTTCATCATGGCCTTCTTCTTTTTAACACGCTTTTATTAAGTCATCGTGTATGTAACTATGTAATGGAATCTAAGAATCTGAATTACACGCACTTCTAATTCTTGTATCATAATGAAACTTGACAATTATATGTAGATTAGATGAAAGTACAATATTATAAGGTACCATCGAGCTGGTTTGATGATGCGACTGGAAGGTGGCCATAGAAACTCCTAAACGAAACAGCGGAATCGCATCGAGTTTCAGTTCATTGGATTTGTCTTTTCAAGCACTCTAGTGCTAGATGATGTCCAGGGTCCTGACGATTAAGTCGGGAGGTGTCCATAGGAACTCCTAAACGAATTGACCTTTTAGTGCAGTAATTAAAAGCGTGTTTATAGTTTTTAAACAAATAAATTGATAGTTTATAAACTATAAATTTATTTGTTCTTCTGATAGTTGCCAGATCGCCCGCTTGCTAGGTGTTATCATTACTCAATGTTACCTACCAATGGACACAGGAACTTCTAAGGAACTAGAAATAGACTTTTTTATAGGATTTCAGAAGTTGTACAGAATTATTAATTTATTTTTCCAGATACGTGAAAAGTGGCGGGAATTTCACCGAAGTACTTGTACGTGGTGCCGGGCACTTGGTGCCGATGGACAAACCTTTCGAGACCCTGGAGCTGATCTCCTCTTTCGTCGAAGGTCGGCAGTTACCATTAATACCTGTTTTAAACTATATACAACTCGACACCCCTCCACTCGAAGAAGATACGATTTACAATAAGGTTTATAACAGTAAAGGGTTAGTCGCTAGTATCGTTCTCAATGTCTTCTTCGTGGTAATTATTGCACTTGGTGTAGTGTACGTCATCAGGTGGCGGAGACGTCACAATAATTACTTGAACGCAATGATCGATAACTCGAGTCTCAGCGATGGAATCCTCACTATGGAATGAGCATGGTGATGTGGCACGTGTGTCCATCAATTAGTTCAAAGAAAGTCTTAGCGACACGATGACGAGAGGCAAAGATATTGAAATGTGGAAAGGTAACAAAGTAAATCAAGAATAATGAAACAGAATAATTTCTTGCGTTTGATTTCTAATTATTAATAGTTCGGTCAAATAATAGAGTTCCGACTAATAATAAATAAGACATCGTTACGAGTATTACTTGTATTTTTGTATAAATGAAGATTTTAAACTTATGTAAGCGTTGTGAGTTTTCAAAGAAACATACGCGTCAGTTAAACTAGTCAATTTCTTAATACATAATTAGGTACGTACTTTTCCTATCAAAGCAGTAACCAAATTGAATCAAATAAAGAGACCTCTACTAACCAGTTTTTGATTGACAAGGGTGTAAGGATTAAACGTGACTAGCACATATACCATACCTGCATTTTATTCGGTTATGCTTAGCCTTACAAAGGCATTCTATCAAATAAAAAATTAAACTATGTGATTAAATTAGTTATTGTTAATCTTGTTCGCAAGTAAGATAATATTGTTATTGACTGAAAATTAACTAGGAAGATAGTAAATTTTACCATTATAGAGTTAATAAGCGTAGGTACCTACTCATTTTTATAACGACCGACTAAATGTTACTAGACCCTAGACGACTTCTGTAATTAATAAAATAAAAAAAATCAAAGACATTTATTTAATTTTTGAACTGATTAATGAATGATCTTATCATATGTCTGGCCACGTAAGGCTGGTCGTTGGGGACCATGTGGCCGGCCAGTCGGATCAGCACCTCAACGAAGTTACCGCCTGATTTCTTGTAACTGAAAGAAAACAAATGTTAGTTAATAACGTGTAAAAAATAGTCCGGCCTCGTAGAAGAAATTACATTCCTAACAAACTCTATATCCATAATACAGAGCGAAACTACGTTCAAAAACGGCACAGCTATAGCGGAAATACAACTGTCATGTACCCAATGTTCTATCCCATGTTATTTTGTATATGGGGTAGATGTGTTGTCAATTTAACTTTCCACTATCAAGGTAACAAAATAAATGATTATTGTCCGACTGTCCGTGGTAAGTATATCTTTTCTGAAAGGTTATTAAACTTTTGTTTTGTCACCTATCATCCACTTTGCTCTAGAGGGAACTGCCCTAACTTTGAACTCCTCCTTCGTTCTTCTGATTAATTTCGCTGCAGATCCAATGACAGTACTTTCCCCCGAGATAAAGTTAACTTTCACTGGGTTGGGTTTTTATTGGTAGTCAAGCTGTAGACCCAGGCTACACAGGAGTTGTAGTGGTGGGAATAGTCACGTATCAAAATAAAGCGACACTTACGCAGCAATGGGGCCGTCCTTCGATAGACGGACGCATTCTCGCGGCGCCACCGTGTACTCATCTCTGCCCGACCACTCCAGTACATCGTACAGGTGCTTGGATAAGCCGTAGGGCAAGATGACGTCCAACTGCCCGCTAGAATGTACAACATACATACATGCAAGTGAAGCAACCTTAAAACATATGGTCAAATATTGTCAAGTACCTATGACGCTATTTACGATTGATACGCCTCTACATCGATCTATGATTTCGTATTTTTTTTATTTGGAAAACATACAGTATTGCTTTTAGTATAACAAACATAACAAAATTATTTATTTATTTATTTATTATCTAGTATTCTATGATTCCCTGTTCTTTCTTCAAAAATAATAGAGTTAGGATGTAGGAAATACACGTATTATCTCGTAGATATAGGCACACTACTTCTCAGACTGTAGGCGACGTTGTAGATCACCTACTGCACTTCAGACTTACTACTTAGTCGGGGAATTCCTCGAACGTTGAACGAAGAAGCCTTACCTGTAGGACAACACCCCATAATGCTCCAGCAGCTCTTCGAGGAACGGTCTGGTCGTGTTCATGATGTCCGGCAGCATGCTCTGGTACACAGTCTGGTTGTTGAAGGTGTGGACGACGTTGCCCACGTGGATCGCCCTCTGGACCTCTGACCTGTTGAGAAACGCTTCGTACTCCGGCGCCCCTTTACTGGGGTTTCTGTTAAAGTTGAAGATGTTGACGCCACTTTTCTCCTTTATAAATTCTATTGTTTCGTTGAATTTCTGAAGAATAACAATACGTGTTAGTGTTTCTTATTACCAACAAACAGGGCCGGATTAACCATCTCGGGGCCCCTAGGCACAGCTCGTTTCGGGCCCCCCCTTTTTCATACCACAACAACGCAATTTGGAATTTTTTACTGTCATTACGAAATAGAATGAAGGTACCATCATCATCAACAACTGACTTCAGTCATCACATTGCAAAAGTATAGGTACGCCTTCCTTCAAGACGAAGTATCGGAGTCATTTACAAATGAAACAAAAAATAGGAAAATCTTGCATATTTTTATAAAACTAACATAAACATAATAAAAATGTAGGTGTACTGATTAAGAAGCATGTTTTAATATTAGTTATAGGCCAGTAGAATTAGATTTTAAATCGGAAATAATTCCTACAAAAGATTTTATTGCTTTAGTGGTTTCATTGGTTGCCCTAATGGGTTTTTAATAGACTCTCCTAGGTTTTCGGCTTTGATTGAGTTGTGCTTTAGTGGTGGGGGCCCCCGAAAGGGGGCGTTTTTTCGGTTCACCGGTTATACCGCGTAAAGGACTTACTTACCCTATCGAAAAGTGGTCTTCATGATGGTTGAAGGGCATTTAATCCTACATTGAACAAGACCAAATTCATATGTTTTGGACAAACCGTTCTCGTGTTTATCTTCGACAAAGTAGAAAATGTAAGTATAATTAATAACCGTCTCTACGTCCAATAGCTCGTTACCTGCATGCTCCTAAGCCTTGTAAAGGGCCGCTGAGATTAGCGCGTTCAAACAAACAAACAAAAAACTCTTCAGCGTTTTAATATGAACTTGTTGTTGTTGATTTTTGGCGTCGAACATTGGACCAGGCATACGGCTAGGCAACATAGTCGTGCAGGAGGGTGCAAGGAAGAGGGGCAGCCACAGTAGGTAACACAGAGTCGTTCAGGGGAGTGCAAGCAAGAGGTGCATCAACCACAGTTAAGGAACGGCTGGGAAGAACAATGATAGGCGCATCCAGCTCGTAAGCCTTGATAGGGTTACACTGGTTGAGGCGGCCGTCATGAAGACTACTTTTCGATAGGATAAGTCCTTTACGCGGTATAACCGGAAAACCGAAAAAACGCCCCTTCCGGGGGCCCCCACCACTTAAGCACAATAACTCCGTCGAAGTCGAAAACCTAGGAGAGTCTTAATGGGCAACTAATGAAGCCATTAAAGTAATAAAATCTTTTGTAGGAATTATTTCCGATTTGATTAATTTTTGTGTTTAATTCTACTCGCCTAACTAAATCATCGTTCTCTTTGCCTCTAATCTACCAAGAAAGTAGAAATCTACTAAAAAAACAGGGACTCCCCCAATCTTGTCATGTAAACCAAAGCAGTAATGCCAACGTTACGAAAATGAATTAAGTTCCACAATATCGAACTAAGACGATTGAATGTGTTTAAACCAAAATAAAGCGAAGTTTTGAGGTGGTTTGAGTTTTGGTGCATAAAAATAATCTACCATTATTATGTTTTTTTTTTTTTTTTTCATTTTTTAATCGGGAGCGCTGGGCCCCTGGTCATAGTGGGCCCCTAGGCACTGGCCTAAAGTGCCTTATGGATAATACGGCACTGCCAACAAACCTTGCTGACCCAAAGCGGCGGTAGCCGTCAGCTATACGAACTTAACTGAAATGTTTGTGTCTGACAAGTTCTGACTGAATTAGCGTTAGTGATGATAATGATGACAATGCTATTACATATTCCTATGTAATACATAATAATTCTTACGTTAGCAGCATCGATCATTCTTCCCGCGTCGATGAACCTAACAACATCTGTCTCTATTTGCTTCAGTTTGATGAGGTCTACGCCTTCCACGATACCCATCACGCCACACAGCTCAGTGTAATTCATCTGACTCCGTGGATCTATTAATCCGTTGCCTATACTCATACCCTGAAAAAGTGGAAGTAAAATAAAATTCCAATCTCGATCGGTTGAATCACATGAATCAGTGCATTTTTCTTTCGGATTTTGATCAGAATTCCAAAGTTGTTTTGCTGATGTTATCTTGGCACCTCAACATTACTTACCAATGCAGCACAGCAAGATCGCCTCGCGATAAAAGTATTTAGGTATTGGCAAAAACATCTTTAGAATTAAGTACGTGCAATAAATGTCCAATTAAATGGCAAAAAACTAGATTTCTAGCCTTACCTTGAAATTGATAGTCTCATTACTGTATCTATGTCTGTGGATCTGAATACCGAAGGCAGGGACGTATTTGCCGGCGTACGACTCTCCGGCGATGAAAAGCGGGGCCTTTCTCATCTCCGGGAAGATTTTCAGGAACTGGACCAGAAAATCGTACAACTGCTCGCCAACCTGGACAAATAGACAAAAGATCTTACTACATATTATGTATCTATAATATTTTATACTACCTAAAGAAGTACAGGAAACTGAAGATAAAATACCAACAGAATAGTTTTGTACACCAAAACTCAGTTATCTCTTGAAGTTAAAAGAATTGGCTTTCGTTCGAGAAGATGCGACACGTGATAATTAAAGCAAAGAATAAGAAGGGAATGTAAAGGCTTAAGTCATTGCTATGCATAACAACTTACTTGGTCCTCGTTCGTCGTGAGACCTCGCTTGTCTTTTGTGTAGCTGTATCCCGCACCCACTGGATTGTCCACGAACAGCAGCGAGTAATCACTCGCCCACGTTACATTCCGAGGGTGTACTGTGAGAAATGATAGTCAGATTATAGCACTGTTTTCCTTTACAATTTATGCCGAAACAGATGAAATTGAAATTTTACAACACATTTTTATGTCAACGTGTTCTTCACTTCACTGTTACGAATTTCAATCAAGTCCGTCTGCTAGTATTAAATATGTAATTGAAAGATATGTCAGTACATACGCTCTTCATCCACGATATGAAACGGGCCTATAATATGAAATAACCCGTACAGAGACGAACACCCTGGCCCGCCTTGCAGCCAGATCATCCAAGGTCTCCTCGCGGCCTCCTTATGCGGGAAGAACCAGAAGAAAATATTCGAATCATACTCCTCGTTGACGGTGAGGAAACCCGAATGGCTGGTTACATTCAGAAACTGGGATGGGTCTACGCGCGATAGGGTTCTGGCCAGTTCGGTGCTGCCATTCTTTATAAACGGGGTAAGTTTCAGGCAATCGCAGTCGTCTGCGCCGGTTGATAGAATGCTGAAATTAGTCACAAACTTTAATTTTATGGTCACAAATAAAAGTAATGAGTCTATTGACCCAATACGCAATGGGGTAAAACCGATTCTTAATTGAATAACTAGCATATACCTACTTAGTTATATTTTATTTTAAGCAGCACAATAAAAATAAACAAAATACATAAAACATAGCATTTCAAATGTGTTTTTCTTATTTTTGCAATTATTATTCCTATAGTTTACTTATTATTATGAAAATATACCTGAAACTGAACAAAATTAATGGAAAAATCAAAGGAATCCATGTGGCCACCATTTCCACTGAAGTTTCTTAACTAACAAATACCAATATCGAAGGTAAGAAATTGTAAGCACGTCAATCTTTTCATGCTCATTAATACATTTACGCATGAAGCGTGTAAAGTGCCAAGTAAGTGATTATGATCATTTAAAGTTATTGGCAGCTAAAATAGAAGAAAAGGCCTATTTAGTTATTGAAGTTTTTCCTTCGGTTGACTGATGCTTCAAAAGATGATACAGACAAAAACCCTCAATGTAAATGGTAGAGTTACGTAATAATTATAGAAACCGTACAAGATACTCGTAGAAACACTGAGTCATCTTATTCCTTTTGTAATAATAGTTTTGTAACTATGTGCTAGCTAGGTATGTAGAGTTATCAGTATGTATGGGCAGCTATTAATGCGCACGATAGATTTTTCATACAAACAAATTAGAATCGGGTCCAACTATCGGCCGACTAAAAATCGGAGGCTTCTATCATTTTTGTTAAAAAAAAAGAAGGCTTTGCAGTTCATTAGCAAGCCAATTTATAATTGTACCTACTTTTTTTACCTTAACTTAAATTGTTTTAAAAATTCGGCGTTAAAACGTTTCATTATTGACAAAGGAACGCTAAAAATAATGATTGCGTACAAGTTGAAATAATTTAAGAGCTCTTGCTTTCTTGATAGCCTTATCGATTGTTGAAAGTCGCATTGAAGTGCAGCGAACATAATAAATAAACACAGTAAATGTTATTATTGTAATCGCTGCGCTTTAAATATTATTACTATTAACAATATTAAAATAAGTTGAGACTCTTTTTGACTAAGTTATTCGAGTTACACTGAAAAGAAACAGAATTGGAAAAATACAGTGTGNATTATTTGTTGGCCTTTTTTGTGTATTTTATGTATTTTTTTAGTATTGCCTGCTATTTAGCATTATTACTGTTTTTATTTTATCAGGATATACCTCTTAGTTTAAAATTTATTACGTTTTCTTTACTATAAGTAATTGGAAGAAAAAAAAATCTATAAAAAATTAAAAAAAAATCTCAAAAAAATTCTGACCTCTTTTTTGTCGATAAAAATAGGTCTAGTTTCATCTATTTTCATATGTACACTTTAACGTGACTCACACTGTATAACAAAAATAACCAGCGGAGAAATGTAGAGTATCCTAACGCCCGTATTCACAAACATTACTATGAGGTCTCACAGGGCGCGTGGACGCACAGGGTGACACATGTACCAATCACAGAGTTCTATTCAACGAAATTCTAAGTTCCTATCCTCTGCCTCTTTATGACTCTTGCATGAAACTTTTATTTAGCTATTTATTTTAAACCTAGTTAAGATCATATAAATATTGTTAATAGTAATGATAATTCATTTAAATTCTTCTATGAACGCCTTCAGCACAAATCGAAAGAGCTCTGGTTGCTCGCTCGGCACCATGTGGCCCGCGTGTCGGATCACCACGTCTACGAAGTTGCCGCCACTTTGCCGGTAGCTGAAACAAAGTATACATAATAAAACTTATGTTACATGCACATGAAACACAGTACATGCGGCGAATTTAATGCCTTTTGGCATTCTCCTCCAGTTAAGTTAACCTTAGGGGAAACCTGATACTTTTTTATAATCGAAGATAAGTTTTGAACGTATAAGTACGGGTGAAACGATATGGAAGCGATTTTATATTTATTTTATTTTTATTTGATTTTTCTTTATTAATTATTTTATTTAAAAGAAGGCTTATCGGCTGTGGTTCTTAAACACGTTTTATCAAAATCGGTTCATCAATTCAAGTTTATCAGCAATTAGCTCTTAAATAAGTGAGCCGATGTGGATGCCAGCGATTTTTTTTGACAGTTTGCCATTCTGACTACACTAGGCTGAGTTGCCCACCTAACTTTGACCGTACTTAACTATAACGATAACCGTTGCTTTTTGTATGGAGTTTGATAGATTTTTGACGTTTGTCAAAGTTTAAGTAAGATGGTGGAAGGTAAGTTAGTAAGGCTGGGTACAGTAGGACTAGGTAAGACTAAAGAAAATTAGTACAATCTTACGCAACAACTGCTCCATTGCTGGACTTGCGCAGGCGCATCTGCGGCGCATCTTCATACTGCTTGCGTCGCGACCAGCGCAGCTGTGAGTACACTCGCTTGGACAGAGCGTACGGCAGGATGACGTCCAGTTGACCACTAGTGGGAAAAGGTATACATTACTAACGTGAAGATAATATCACATATTAAAATCCGTAGGCTGAGTTGCACCCACCAACTTTAACGGTAACTATGACGATGACCGGTGCATTTTGTATGGAGTTTGACAGATTTTTGACGTTTGTCATAGTTAAAGTAAGATGGTGCAACCCAGCCTTAGTTGACGCAGCTCTACGGCGTCAATCTGAATCACTTGAAGTCATTAATTTATTAAAGTTATTAACACAACCTCTCTTTTATATTCTACAAGTGCACGATGATAGACTTAGCTGCATTATGCCACGGTAATAACTATCTATATAGTATTCCAACTCGGCCATATTTTTGAAATAAATGTCAACAGTCGCGCGGTACGTCACAGTGTGACAACATGCGATAGGGCTGCCCACCTACATTACCCAGTTTAATTACATCTGCCTACTTAGAATTTCTATCTAGTTTTGTGATTGTATTTTTTTATTTAGTTAGACAAACAAAATACTTTGTGAATGGAATATGTTAAAAATGTGTGTCGTTTTGTGATTAGTAGATTTAATTTAGGAAAAACTACTTATTTTGAAACTTTAATAATCATAATAATCTGTTACTTTAATTTTGGGCGGGCGAAGTCGTGGGCAAAAGCTGGTTTTGGAATTTGACCGTAAATGACAGTCAGTCAAATTCAATCAGTTTTGTCATTTTTAACACTTGGCCACCGACGTCCATTTGGCACATTCGCGACACCCCCGACTTTTGCATACCGAGCGCATACCAAGATTTGAATTTCGAAAGAAAGTTCTCGTTTCGTCTGTTTATATGAAGTTACAATACTGTATGATATTATTACCGTGATTATGCTCATTAAATAAATAAATAAATAAATAAATAAATAAAATTAAAATATCGAAGATGACCATAGAAACAATAAAATGTTAGTTTCACTCTTGCCAGATTGGTCGTAGTCATCATTGTGAATCACGATGGGTGATGTTCCTTGCAATACGGCGCCATCCCTGGCGGACTGCAGCTTTCCGTACAGTTTCGTTAACCGAGCCGAGCATTGCAGCGATAGTTTCATATTAGGTACTTAAATCTTACAACTTTTTTGTGAAAAAGTGTAGAGCTAATCAGCCAATCGATCTAAATAGATTAAAATAAATCGATTGCATCAACGCTTAAATCAAGTTATGACTGTCGTTAGTGTTAAACCTTACCTATAACACAACACCCCGTAATGTTCCAAGAGCTCCTCCACAAACGGCCTGGTGGTGTTCATGAAGTCGGGCAGCATCTTGTTGTACACGTGCTGATTGTTCAGATTGAAGGTAGTTTCACCCACGTGGATCCACTCACGCACATCCGCGCGGTTCACAAACGCCTCTAAAGGGAAGGCAGTGGACATCGGATCCTTATCCAGATTGTAGACGTTTACGCCGCTCTTGGCTTTTATAAATTCTATTGACTCGTTGAATTTCTGAATGAGATAAAATACAAGAAAATAACGATTTGGAGATAGGGCGCATTTTATTGAAGCTGACCTGCACATTGGCACTACATGGGCTGGAGACGCCTCTGCACACTGCAGTGTGCATTCGCAGCTTCGCATCTTGAAACACACGCCTAATTTATAAATTTGAGAGTTATTGCAATGCTAAGTGCAATGCTACGAGTAAAATGCAAAGTTAGTGGTGTAGTTGTACGTGTAAAATTAGGAATTTTAGTTTCATATAAGCAGTATGACACAGTATGACACAAAAATGTTCTTTGATTGTTGTCAAAGTAAATGTGTGGGCCTAGGCCTTCCGCTATGTAGACCGACGATCTGGTGAAGGTCGCGGGAGGTGCCTAGAGGCGAGCGGCCCAGGACCGGTCTTTGTGGAAATCCTTGGTGGATGCATTTGTCCAGCAGTGGACGTCATTCGGCTGAAACGAATGAACGAAGTGTTCTTACATTAGCAGCGTCGATCATCCTGCTTCTGTCCAAATACGCAATACATTCTCTCTCTATTTTCAGCAGCCTGTGACAATCGTCGATTCCCAATAGACCAAGAAGGCTGCAGAGCTCGCTGTGAGCGACCTGGTTCCTTGGGTCGATCAGGCCGTTGCCAATAGATATGCCCTGGAATGTTATTATCATATAAATGAGCATTCAAATAAAGAAGGATACTGATAGAGGAAATTGTTTCCTAGCCTCAGAGCAAGACATTCAAATATCTCAACATACAGATGGATACAAAGTCATTATACATACTTAGTTTGTAACGTTGAGGAAGAATGTTAATGCTTTCCTGAGTTAATTAGTAGATGAGTAACTAACTATATGTATAGTACCTACCTTATAGCAAGTCAATCATGTATGGGCACCAAATTGTATTTCGTAGTTTGTAACAAAACTTTCTTAGTTGTTTACTCTGGATAGGCAACTATTTATTTAAATATTTAGTATAAAAACTTAAAACACGATAAACATCCTAATCTTTGAACTTAGAATAACTAATCTAAGACATAAAATTATTTTTACACGTGAAGCTACTTCTATAACCTGTGCTACAGGTTATAATAACTATCCATCTGAAGCATTATGGCACTGCTTACTAAGGTCAATACCACGATAAAAGAGTGGTCAATGATCCTGCATACCTTCAAATTGATACGTCCCCCTTTACTCCTGTATCTGTGGATGTAGAGTCCTAGAGTCGGCACGTATTTCCCTGAGTAAGACTGCCCTGCGATGAACAGGGGCGCATCCTGCAGCTCTGAGAACACTTGGAGGAACTGGACCAGGAACTCTAGCAGCTGTTCACCGATCTATTAGTATTGATAAAGTCTTTTAATAATAGTAGGTGGTAATTTAATAAGAGCATTGATAATATACTTGAAAGAAAGATGATTGCTGGATTATCGAGTTACTTTCTTGAGAAAGTCATTGCATATGCATAGAGGAGGCATGTCCAGCATTGGACTAAGTAGGCTGATAATAAAATAATGGTTTAAAGAAAGGTATGTTTTTACTTCGTCTTGCCCACTCGTATAGCCTCTGTCGTCGCGCGTATAGCTGAAGCCGGCGCCGACAGGATTGTCCACAAATAGCAGAGAATAGTCATTTGCCCACGTTCCTTTTTGTAGATTTACTAAAAGATTTGGATTAATTAAGCACAAGTTTAATTATGACCTAAGTATTTCTTATAACGACTTGCCGTTACCACTGTACCTTTAGAGTCCTCAATTTTCAAAGGCCCTACACCATGAAAGAGTCCGACCAGAGACGAAAACCCTGGTCCTCCCTGCAGCCAAATTACCCATGGCTTCTCTGCCGACCTGTCGTGGGGGAAGTACCAGAAGAAAATATTGGAATCGTATTCTTTTTTCACTGTCATGAACCCTGAATGACTCTTAATGCCCAAAAAGTTCTTGGAGTCAACTGTGGATAACTTCCTTGCCAAAGAATAACTGCCATTTCGTATGTACGGTGTCAAGATTGTGCCTCCAAAAGTTTCACAATATGTCAGATGGAGGATGCTGGAAGAAAAGTGATCAATTGCAGAAGATTAAGTAAGTAGCTAATTTACGTTCAAATATTAAACTTTCAGACCCTTACTTAAATATTAAAATGTAATAATAAGATAAATGTGCCATATTCAAGAGATTTTAATAAAATGAATGTGTAATGTTTAATGCTTGTTTTATTGAACGAGTTAATGTTTTCATCCCATCGTAAATGGACGATGAAACGTAGCAGTAATGTTTTAATATTGTGCGTGGATAAGGTTTATAATTTGTTCTTACTTTATAATAATAATATAATAATAAGAAAAGCAACCTACTTTGTTGTTTACTTATAGTCTTTAACTATTTATTAACTTTTTCTTTGTTCGCACCAAGTTTAATGTCTTTTACATCTTCTAGGTAAGTAGGCATCAATCAAACTAAATTCAAATATCGATAACAGCATAAGTATTTCGATATTAATCGTAAAACTAATTACCTACCTAATTCGCACGTAAAAACCATCCATAATTTTTTAAATCAAAAGTTGTTATTTTGTTTTACGAGCCCTTAAAACAAAAGAATGACCTAATCAATTACATAATTGGACGTTGTTCGGCGTCTTAAACAGTTGGGAAACCGGAAAACGGCCGGGGTTGGCCCATCCAAAATTTATGACCGTGGGAAAATAAGGTTCGCATCGACAAACCGATCTGCCTTCTCACGCGCACTGCAATCGGCTACCTTTGATCAATGAAGGAAGAACAGTGACGCAAGCTATGTACGCTCTATCGTTACGAACTATATTGGAATACACAGTCAATTCGCTCAAATAGGACAGTTTTGCGTAGGGTCCAAGATTGGAGCCGGGTTATAGATATGAGCCATTATCAGCCGCGCTCTGATTAGTGATCTGGCACACGTAGATTCGATGTTTACTATGAACATCCTAAATATAGAGCAAATCGGTCTGAGATCGTGCAAGAATCTATCGCGGCCCGCGGGCCGTGGGAGCAGGATTATGCTAAACAGGTCATTGGTACGCAGTACCTGTTTACCGATACCGGCTATGTACAGGCTGCTCTTTAGGCCGATGTTATGGGAAACAACCTTTATTTATTTTTGTTTTAATATTATGTAAGAAAGTTGAATGTTTTTATGTAATAGGTCGCAGGACATCAAGTACCCAAGTGATAAGAGATAAAGCCTTTGTTTAAATTCTTGTCAACGTTGAACCACCTGCCACTTAATTAATATTAGTAATGAAGAGTAGGTACTTTTATGCGATAAAGGCCAATTATAATGCATCATATTATGATTATCAAATATTTAACCAAATAATGGTATTGATAAAAAACCCATGAATAAATTTCCCTCATTTAGTACAATCTGTAAAATAATGAATTGGGCGTAAGCTTTAAATAGGCAATCAGGATCACAACTCTGTTTATTTAGGTATCCGAAATACGTAATATTGACGTTGTTTTCTATACTTAAATAAAAATAGTGTTTCTAATAAAGTCATAAAAAAACGTTCTTTTTACCTACAACTGCAACTGCAAACAGTTTATTTCGCTATCCGCGAAATTTTTCGAATCATCCTGTACATAAGATCGAGATAAATCCAAGTTCAAGGCGCAAGTGCAGAACAAGCCGAGCGAGTATACAAGGGTCCTGAGACCACCACCCCGGTTCCATTCCGCTCTGACCCATCTCCGAAGCAGGACGAAGCGTGGATAGACCTACCTAGAGCTCAAGAGAAGCAGGATGCTGTTGGCGTTTCTGTTGGTGCTGATGTGAGTCTATTCGAATTTTAAAGTGACATAAAAAAAAAGCAAGTGACATCGCAGTGGCCAGTGCCTATTTAGGTACAAATAAAAACTATTCGAATTTCATGGTAGAGTAAGTAGAGTCCTATCGGCCAGTACTTTTATACCATTGCATAAAATTAGCCAATGTGTTTTCCTTTTTGGATACTGGCTGATTGTTCTCACGAATAGTCTAGTCGTGGTAATTTTGTTTTTAAATGATCAAAGAAAGACTCTTAGAAAATTTTCGGAAACATGATAAAATGAATTTTATTGTTATTATAAGTTTGTGAAAGATTAACAAGGAAGAACAAGTAAAAGTTTATTAACATAATAATTTAGTCATCATTATCTTTCCGATCAGTGCTAAACAAACTCAAAGTTATGTCACTGGCACTTGCGAATTACGATGTTGTTATTATGTAGAAAACGTACACGAGAAAGTGAAGTCGCTTACGACGCGTCTGTAGATAGAAAGATGTTTATTTTTTCAAATGAATTTGTATCTCACATCAAGTTTTTGCATTATTTCTTGTTTTTTATTCTGATTTTATGACCGGCGCGGTGTTCTTCAAAACATAATTATGTTTGTTACATTTATGAAAAAGGAATTTTGAAAGGAAAATAAAAAAAAGAACACAATTTGTACGAAATCGTTACTTGCAACTATTTGTTTACTTTTAAAACTAATTTTATGAAATAGTAAAATTCATTCACAAACAACATAACCCTCCTTCCGGCGCAGTCGGGTAATAAGTAGCTATTAAAGTAACTAAATCATACTTAGTAGTACGAGAGCGCGTCTATCAAAAGTACAGTACAGTAGCCTCGCATTCTCCATAGACTACTTTTCCATAGATGCACCTCACAAGTGCTGGGAGGCGAGAGTCTCCTGCCGGACCTACCCCCTGGGGAAGCTCCAGAGCCGATCCTGACCTTCATGGAGCGCACTTACAAGTCCAGCCGCGCCAAGTCAGGCTTTGACGCTGGGTCGCCGCTGCTCCTCACGCCTTACATAGAGCAGAACAAGCTAGAAGAAGCTAGGAAGGCTGCTAAAGTTGACTCTGATTATTTACTGCCTGATATGGACAGCTATGCTGGGTATTTGACTGTGAGTATTGTTATTTATGAGTTTTGGGAATTAATACTAGAAAACTTACTCGCGACCTTAAATTGCATCGACAGAAAGATCCTAATTCCTATCAATAAATCTGCGCAAAAACTAGCGTTTACCTACTTCGCTCGCTTGAATTTCGGTCTATGTCACTTGGGAGTTTTAGCCTTTCTACTGGTAAATTAATTTTCAAAATAGGTTTAACAATGCCACAGATTTCTTCTTACAAACAAACTTTTCCGTTTACAATATTTGAAAAGCTTTTTTATGTAATAATCGATTCTCATTCGCAGGTCAACAAAGAATACAATGCCAACTTGTGGTTCTGGTACTTCCCAGTGCAGGATAAGCCTATAGAAGACACCCCATGGATTATATGGCTTCAGGGTGGACCGGGGGCTTCTTCTTTATACGGGCTGTTCACCGAAATAGGGCCTTTCTTCGTGAACGACGACCATAACTTAGAAGGTAATGTATTTTGTGAAGATGCTTTTTCTTCTTCACTAGACAACTACTTAATTATGTATGTTTATCAATCAAGAAGAGAGAGAGAGAGAGACAGAAGAGTCATAGGTAGGTGCATCATAACATCAAGGGGCTTTGCCAAAATCGCCCGCCCGCCCGCCTATTACTTATGTTACGTATACTTATTGCATGGAATGAACGCATGCACTGTACCTATTTTCGATACAGAATAGTGCGCGAGTTTTAGCGGAGGCCCTAAGGGTTGTTTTTGTTACAGAACTCAAATACTCATGGGGTAAAAACCATTCTCTCCTATTCATTGACAACCCTGTCGGAACGGGCTTCAGTTTCACGGACGACGATCGTGGGTACGCGACAAATCAGACTACAGTGAGTGTGTTTTTCTTTTATTTTTAATTTTCCAACATAATAAAGGCACTTCTTGGCCAGCACTCTCATTAATTATTTTGATAACCCTAAAGAGCTTTTTCCTCCAAACCCTTACCAGAAAGTCCTACCCTTAGCATAAACCTGAAAAAAACTTAATCTACTTAGTCTTATTCAAACCAATCAATTGAGGAAAATGATTTTCGAACTCTACATTATTTATCCCTTTTCAAGTGTTTTCTCACGACTTTTGCATATTTGTTTCTTTTTTCAGATTGGAGAGAACTTATACTCAGCCTTACAGCAGTTCTTGACGCTATTCCCGGAACTCAGGAAGGCCCCGCTCACGATAGCCGGGGAGTCGTATGCTGGGAAGCACATCCCATCGCTGGGCGTCCAGATCCACTGGCACAGGGAAGAGAATGAGCCCATCAACCTTTATGTGAGTTACATAGAGTTCGAGCTCTATTTGTTTAACTATGTGTCTCGTTTGTGGAAAGTTTATGGGTTACCTAGTCACAACACAAGTCACAACATCCAGGAAATTATCTGTACCTTATCATTACTTACTTAATTTGAAACATACGAGTGTATAATTGCTATTTACGGTAAAATTTTTGATTAGGTAATAATAATAATCATAATATCTTTATTGCTTCATGTGGTACAAACACAGTAGTAAGTATACAGTGAGGGTAAGTACTCACCTATGTAAATAAATAGTTAATCACAACATTGTTTAACATACGAGTACAATGTTAAAGTGTCCTTAATTTCCGATAACTCAGAGTGATTATGAGTAATTTAATATTTTACTTATTTTAGTTACACAGAAAATTGGTCTGGAATAATTTTTCAATTTCTATTAACGTATTTTTGTAAATCCAGAGTCTCTAGCCCTACCTATTCTGACCCCCAGGGCATGGCGATCGGCAACGGCTTCATCGACCCACAAACGCTGCAGAGGTACAGCCACTTCGTTCGCGAGGCAGGTCTAGTAGACGACCGGGTCGCCGACTTCATGGCGCAGTTCGAGTCGGCCGTCGTGCAGTTCATCAGCGATGGCGAGATGCTCAAGGCGTATGCTGTAAGTCACATGTACTACCATAGTATGGCTATCGGACACTGACGAATACGGCCCCTTCGTGCGCGAGCCAGGTCTAGTAGACGACCGGGTCGCCGACTTCATGGCGCAGTTCGAGTCGGCCGTCGTGCAGTTCATCAGCGATGGAGAGATGCTCAAAGCGTATGCTGTAAGTCACATGCGATGTGTATACTATACTACAGGCTGCAGGCGCTGCAGAGAGGTACCTACGTTTAACGACCGCGTGGCCATAGTGCAGTTTAAGCCGTCGTGTGAATCAGCGATAGGGAGATGCTCAAAGCTTACATGCTATACGAGTTTATGCGTATACTACAGACATGAATTACTTATTCAGATATTGATTTAAACAGTTCTTTAGACAGATATTCTTGACACTACTAACTAATCACGAAAACTTTCGGGCTGTAATTTTTCCGAAGCTCTATCAAAATCCACACGTTTTCGCTTCCTTGTTTCAGTACTACAACTACCTCCTGCAGCTGTTCTCAACAGAGTCGCACCTACACAACTTGTACAACTTCCTTCAAGACGACATCAGCCTGGACGGCGCTTACACAGAGTATCTTCAAAGATCGGAGGTGCGACGAGCACTGCACGTGGGAAATACCAACTTTACGTCGATAGGCGTGGTGTATAGGAAGCTGGTGCCAGACTTCATGGGCAGCGCGAAGATGTGGCTGGAAGAACTGCTGGACAACTACAGGGTTATGCTGTACAAGTGAGTGTATTGCTTGTTTCCCAAGCAATACACTCATTATTCTGAAGTAGTCGTAATATCTTACTAATTTTAGGAAGATTGCTTTGGTATAAATTAATGAAATAAAAAAAAAGTATTTTGATAGAAAAGTACACTATACGAGTAGCTCTACTTTCCCACAACCCTGATGATTATGACTGCGCCACAAGATGGAGTCATCTAAATATATAAAAGGAGAAACTGACTGACTGACTGACAGATCAACGCACAGCCTAAACGGCTAAACGTAGGCACTTGAAATTTGGAAGGGACGTAGCTTAGGTACCGTAGAGGTGCACTAAGAAAGGAATTCCCGAAATTCCCACGGGAACGGGAATTAGCGGGAAAAACGGGATTCACGCGTACGAAGTCGCGGGCGGCCGCTAGTGTAAGATAAGGAGACAGCCTAAAAATTCACATGATTAGGAAGAACATTAGGTTCCTAGATTATTTAGGCCTTAGTAATTCACAGAATGTAGGTCTATATGTACCATATCAGTCTTTTTAATAGCTTAAGGCATAATTTTAATGTATTTAGTAATTAATTAATAATTTCATTCTATTTCAGTGGACACTTGGACATAATAGTGGCTTACCACCCCTCTGTGAACACGTACAAATCTCTAGCGTTCTCAGGATCGGCGCAGTTCGCCAAGGCGGCACGGAAGCCATGGTACCATAATGAAAGGCTAGCTGGGTAAGAGTTCTCTTTAGTCCTTGTTTGTTTTCCATTTACCTATTTTTTAAAATAATAAGTATAGATCAGTGGTTCTTAACCGGTGGTCCGCGGACCACTGGTGGTCCCTGGAGGCATTCCAAGTGGTCCACGAAGTGCACTTGCACACCTTGGTCAAAACCAATTTTAAATGATTTTTGCAGTCAAACTGGTTTTGACCGATTGAGGTGGTCCCTGGCAAGGCAGAAAATTGGGAAAATGGTCCCTCATGACTTAAAGGTTAAGAACCACTGGTATAGATAAAGCATCCTCGGGAATTAAACCATAGCTACTAACCATGCCAGTTCCATTCAATGTCTGATGGAGCACATTTACTTTTTTTTAAACTGTTTCATTAATCTCCACAGTTACTACAAGACAGCTGGTAACCTCACAGAAGTTATGATTCGCGGAGCAGGGCACATGGTGCCTGCAGACCAGCCGGCCGCAGCCCTAGGCCTGATCTCGGCCTTCGTCCAAGGGAAGACCCTCGACGAAGACACCGGCCCACTCGCTGAAGTGGAAAAAAAAGCGCTTCGGCAACGACAGCTGCCTCTGCGATAATCATAAGTCTTATTTTTACAGCCAGTACCTTGTCGATAAACAGGCTTTAAATTATTCTTATTAGGTACACCTGGTAGGAAGTTGTTTTCGGAAGAATTTACTTAAGTAGGTAGACTAGAGTCCGAAAAATCGAGAAAGTCCCGTCAAATCCCGACCATCTGGCAACCCTATTTGAGAATACGACATATCATTTTTGATCATTTTAAGTTACTTGTACAGTTTTGTCTCCGAAACAAGGAAAATTAATGGCATTTACGAAATATGTGCAATTTAATTAACGATTAGATCAAATATCTTTGGTCAATCAGTTTAATTAGAAATAAGGCAAGATAGATAAGAATAAATAGGAATAATTTAAGAGAAGAGATTGATCTTTTAAGTGATTGTGATTTAAGTTCAATGAAAACATTCTTATTTGAGATTATTGACACTTCCGATTATGTGCATTAATTAATTAAGTTAATCGCGTCTAAATGTCATTAAGATATAATGTGTTATTACATTACTTGATGTGCCACCACAGTCGTTTGTACATTTATAAATTAAACAAAATAAATTAAGAATGTATTTGTTTTATTGACGTTACAATTTAATTATAATGATAACTTAGACATTAAATCAATCCCATCGTGATGGGCGTTTCATGGTGTTATTTTTATAAAAACTTACGCTGTAAGTATACGAAATGGTAAAGTTGCCGTTATATGTAATTGAAGGTAGTACAAGCGGAGTGGTGTACCCGTCACAACTGAGTGAAGAACGATGAGGATGGAGGCGGTGGTCTATGCTAGCTGGTGTAGCCTGAAATTAAGAGAACATTAAGTACTTAGGGAGGTAGGTAATCATTTTATTCCTATTTCACTAATAGGTATAGGTATGCGTCACGTTCAGAAGAAAGCTCTATGTAGTACAGTTAGAACTCCTTGCGCAATGGCAATTTTCGACTACTACCGAAGACCCGAAGTCACTTATTAGTACCTAATCTGTGCTTCTACCTAAAACGAAATGTGCATATAGGAATAACTACTTTACAGGTAATGGTATTGCCACGGGCGCTGGGATGACAGTTACGACTTAAAGTGGCAATGATCGACAACCAAACCACGGTACCAAACGCTACGTGAAATTTTAAACAATCTGCAACTTTACCTTGACAAGTACAATCTGTCCTTGATTGGCTCCTGCGTCTCCTTTTTCAGTATCTTCGCTGCGGTATATGAATTGCAAGTCGACGTGATTGAATAAATAATAGGCGTATTTTTTGGGACTCTTCAGTATTTGTCGACATGTGTTCTAAACATAAGACAAAATGGTTGATAAACATTATAATACGAAGATGAAGTATTAATTAGGGTTCAACTTCACTATCAGGTATCAAATCGCAATACACAAATCCAAAATACAGTCAAAATGGCTAGGTCTATTAGATAAAGAAAGTAGATTTAGGTTCGTTCGTTCGTTTCAGCCAAATGACGTCCACAGCTGGACAAAGCGTAATAAGTAGGTATTAGTTACATTATTTTACTTTACAATAAAGGAGGAGATGGCCAGAATGCTTTACCACAGATAATATAATACTAGTCTTTACGTACCTTAGTCGGAGTTACATAGCACCCCACAGGAAAACTGTTGCGGCAATGTAAGCCATGGCCAATGACCATAAAGCACCACTTTACGGGTCTTTCATCAACGAACCAACGATGTTCGTAATCCGAAGCTATCGCATTTTTCAAGTCTTCGAGCTTCTGTTTTATAGTACGGCTATATGACTTTTTACATAAAAGTGTACAGTCTTTATTTTCTAGAAAGTTAATCAAATACGGACTACGAGGTCCGAATAGCCCATCCTGATAAGACCCAATGGAAGATGCAGTCTCCGCGGATTGGCAGAAATCGAAGTCATGGTATTGGTATGGGAAAGATTCTGATCTCGATTTCAAACCCATGGTGGACACAGGGATTTCAGTCTGAAATGAGAGATAATTAGGTATGTGCTTAGTCGATACTTACTTACTGTGTGTAAGCTTATCTAATAGTTATACCGGACTGTCTAGGATGCCCTCAGTGTATTTCTTGCTATGCTTTGTCATGTTATACTTAGGTTCCTGCTTGATAACGTGTAAAAGTGCTTTCTAAAAGCCTATTTGCAAAAATAAATGAATTTTATGAATTTAATTTTTATTTTATAGGTCTTTCTTTATGAATTGATAAGTAATTTATGAAATTATTTTAAACTAACAAGAGCTTTTGCCCACGCCCACGGCTTTGCCCGCGTACTTACTTACTATAAATGTCGGTTTGGTACGAGTATGTCACAGAAAAACTTTATCACGCGGGACCCTGTTTCAAAAACTTGCACCCCCCTTTTCTACCCCCATAAGGATTATTTTTGGGTAAAAACTGTCCTATGTCCTTTTCCGGGTTCAAACTAGGTATCTCTATCTAATTTCATTTAAATCGATGCAGCGTTTTCGTGATGAGCTAAATAGAAAGATAAACTCTGACAGACACTTTCGCATCAATTTCTGTAGATGCAGTAGTTTACAGGTCATGCAGTAATGTAAAGTAGGTAGTACAGTAGCAACATTACTCACGTTAACATCCTGCAGTTGCCATTCTTCTCCTTCTTCGCTGTAAACAGGCCTCAAGTCGGGAAGAAAGAATGTTATAATAAAAACCAAAAATAATATCAGCGTCATATTCTAACCCGTGATTGTAAAAAAAAACTGAACAGACACATCAATTTCGTAAGAAGGTGTAGGTATAAGTAGTTCCTTTAGCGATATTTAAACTATTATTTTTGTAACGAGTAGGGCTATAGGTAACCTCTGTTAAAACCAGACAACTAAGCGGTAACAGTGGCGGATTTACAAATTTGCCGCTAGTAGGCCATTCAATTTTTGCCGCCCCTACCTACTGACTTTTGAAATTCAATTCGTTACTTTAATCCCGTTATTAGTATGATTGTGAACTTAATGATATTTCTGTCAGTTACTAGATTATTATTGCAACCCGCTATGTACTGAAGAGTTAGAGACTAAAAACGTACTAATCAAAAGGTGAGGAAAGGCATTACTTAAAAATACCTACACTATATGAACACAGACAAAATAATGTGTGGTCAGTAAATATTGTTGTTTTTGTTAAATATTTTTTATTGCACTTAACAGTTTAAAAACAGTACAAACAATTTCTAATAAAATATAACATGTTAACAATCCAGTTAATGGTGACAGGCAATGAGATCAAATAAGTTTTACATTATTTTCTTGCGAGATTATAATTAATTATATCGTCGTATGAAAACACAAAAAATAAAAAAATGAGAAAAAGAAAAAAAAGAGAAGAAAAGAAAAGAGAAAAAGAAAAGAAAAGAGATAAAGCATTAAGCTTTTCTTGAATTAAAGTAGATCGTAATTAGATAGTCTCGGGTTAAAAACCCGTTTTAAGCAAGAAAAGCTTCTCTCACCTGAACAATTTGTCACCGGTGTGCACAGAGCCATGCGAAGTGCTATATCCAGTATAATTAGCTAAGAACTACTTAAAGGTAAACAGAAAGACCAAGGCTTGGTAATACAGGGTGGCCCAGAAGAAAATTCACTTTTGAAAATTCTAGGAAACGAAAACTGTACATTTTATAGAACTTTAACTATTGCAATTTAAAGAAAATTTAATGCAATTTATTTTTAAATGTACCTTTATTAAATTACATCGCCCAGGAGATTTCCTTGACGCTTACAACATTCGATCAACATACATCAAAATCTTGGAATGCGTTCGTCAGAATCACCTGGTCTCGAAACCTATTTTAAATTTGCCGAATGCTCAGCTTCAGTTGCTGCATGGTTGTTGGATTATAAAAGTATATTCTATTCTTAATTCTTAATGTAACACCACAAAAAATAATTTTCTGGAGTGAGATCAGGGCTTCCTGGTGGCTAGGAGATGTCACCCCTGCCTGAAATTATTTTTTTGTGGGAACATGTTTCTAACCATCTAAATGCTCTCAGTTGAAGTAATTGACACGCAGCCCCATCTTGATGAAACCAAGTGCTCCGGTCATAACCTTGCGAATTGTGCAGCTTTGAAATCAAAAAGCTTTTCAGCTTACCAGTATAGCGCTCTCAAAAATTAATCATCCTTTCAATGCAACAAACCGTCCATTTAAGCAGGGGTGCCTCTAAGAAGCGCTAATCTCATTCCAGCAGACTTCTTTTTGTGGGGTTACGTTATGAGCAGAGTATACTCTAATAATCTAAAAACTCTGCAGCATTCATCCATCCTGAATCCATTTTGAGGTAACTCTAAGGGCTCCTGCACACGACGCCGCCACCGCGCCGCCGCCGCGCCGCTACACTGTTCATACGCACCGAGTAAAACCGCCGCCGCGCCGTCAAAGCATAATTTCACGCGCGGCGCGGCGGCGGCGCGGCAGCGGTGTTCACGCGGCGCGTATAAGGCCTCAGCCTCGAATTTAGCGGGCAGCGGGGCGGCGGCTATAGCGGCGCGGGAGCGGCAGGATCTTATGCGTAAAATCAAATAGACCGGTTCGCGAAAACAGCGGCGCGGGAGCGGGCAACGAGCGGGCACCGGTGCGGGAGCGGGCAACGAGCGGGCAGCGGTGCGGGATCGGGCAACGAGCGGGCTGCGCACTCCTTCTTTTGCCCACAATAAATCGAGCGTTAGGAATAAATTTGAATCGAAATAAAATTGTCGCCGTTGTTCAGACATTTCGTTTACGAATAAAAACAAATATTTTATTTTATTTTATTTTATTTATTTAGGAAAACCAGGGTTTTACAGTGTGTAATAATAACATAAGATAGGCAACGAGTAAACCACTTATACTTATACAATATCTCGACAATACAACACTTCGCCGCTAAAGCGCCGCGCGAGCTGCCCGGTTGTTTCGAGAACGAGTCTGCGTTGCCCGCCCCGCTACCGCGCCGCCGCCGCTCCCGCGCCGCTGTCCGCTAAATTCGAGGCTGAGGCCTAAACAGCGCAAAGGCGCGGCGGCGGCGCGGTAGCGGCGTCGTGTGCAGGAGCGCTCACGAAAGTTTTCCAAAATTTTGATGTATGTTGACCGAATGTTGTAAACGTCAAGGGAATCACATGTACGATAAAATTTATAAAAGATAGTAAATAAAATAAATTGCACTAAATTTCCTTTAAATTGCAATAGCTAAAGTTCTACAAAAATGTACAGTTTCGTTTCCTTGAATTTTCAAAAGTGGATTTTCTTCTGGGCTACCCTGTAAAACCATATACATGAAGTTGTGGAGAGATGGTGCTCGTGCTAGGCTCCGAAGATCCTGTGTTACGAGTTTTTTATTTAATTTTTATTGATACGCTATTGGAATATTTTAAAATTCATGATCACATAAGTACCTAAGTATATATTATTACAGTGCGTTTATTAATCGTTTATTTATATATGGATTGTGAATACGTATAATTATATTTTTTTCTGTAAAAATAAAATTTCCTATATTTGCCGCCCTTCTAAATCTGCCGCCCTAGGCACTGGCCTACTTGGCCTATTGGTAAATCCGCCACTGAGCGGTAATGTGCCTTTTAAAACTGTGTTTGGAAAGGAAAGCCTAATTAGTTAAGATAGAAGTGGGTCTATCCATTAGCTTAGGAGATAAGGAACATTATGTACGTTCCTAAGGCCCGGTTTTCACCATGGCGGAACGGAGCGGGGCCAAGGAGAGTAGGTACTTAGGGTCGGACCGTCAAAATTTTCTATAAGAATTTGATAGCGGCTGCGGCCCGGCGCGTACTTACCTATAGCGAAGCTGTGCAAAACGAAGTGAAATTAATGAAAAGTTAATCAGATTGACCAATCGGTCAAAATACTTCTCCGCTCCGTTCCGCTCTGCTCCGCCTTGGTGGAAACCGTGCCTAATAATAAATATTTTTAGCTAACAACACAATAATGAGGTGATTTGTGTACTTATTTAAAGATCATAAAACAAATAAAGTATTGTTTTGATTAGACAGTTATTACTGATATACTTAAGGGAACTATATTTATTTACGTACTAATGAAATGATTGTCAGTTAAAATATAGAAGTAAAGTGTATTTATTTTCCTTCGGCGACCAAACAATTTAAGGCACTTTTTTGTATTTTTTTTTTAACTTAGAACCTTGGCATATTAGACTGATAGTTTTCGTAAGTTCGTTTTTTTATGTAACATCAGACAATAATATTTTACTCTTTGGTTCCAATTTAAAAAGTAATTATTTTTAGTCTTGCAACTTCATTTTAAAATATTGTTTTGAGTTTTATATTCGATTTTAATTAGAATTTAATATAGAATTATAGGTATGTATTGGTATAGAACAGAGGAATTTTTTTAGAGAACCAGCTGTAGTACTAGCTCCACCATTTGTAATTGAATGTTCAATTACATAAGCTTGATACAGTGAGTGACACATCACTACCAGTCAGTGTGTGTGGTGACGTTCTGACATTTGCAGACATTTGTGTGTACGAAAGCTGGGAATAAATTGTGAAAATCCAAATAAACTCCCTACTTATTGTTAACTCTCTCTTTATTACTCGATTATGAGGAATTCAATAACTTGCGCTTGCGACTTATGATAGTATTGGCTTGTTTAACATGACGGAAATGATTCGTAACATCATGTCCCTCTCGTATGCGGTATGCGCATTATTTCTGTTGACGCCTATTACAGCATTTTATTTGCCGGGCCTAGCTCCTGTGAACTACTGTAAAGCCGGAGAAGACAATGGGAAGTCCTGCAAGGTGAGACTGACGTGTACATTATGTTTTCCTATTATTACAAAGCATACCATGCCTCGGCAAGTGCATGATCATTAATTAAAAGCACTCTATAGATAAGGCAATATTTCACTGTGTTGTAACTAATTTCCTATTAGCATGTTAATGTGTAATGCGCTATGTATTAAAACTCATTCGTTTTATATGAAAAAATGATTGCCTCACACAATGAAATTATGAATTCTACAAACTAACATTAAAACATACATAATTGTTGCAGAATGAAATTCCTCTTTACGTAAACAGACTGAACACAGAAGAATCAGTTATACCCTTCGAATACCACCACTTCGATTTCTGTCTTTCTGATGAGACGCAGTCGCCAGTCGAGAATCTCGGCCAAGTGGTTTTCGGGGAACGTATTCGTCCGAGTCCTTATAAGATAAATTTCCTGGAGAATACTAACTGCAAGGCGGTATGTTCGAGGGAATACAAAGCATCCAACACAGAAGATGTCAAGAAGCTGAATCTATTGAAAATGGGCATGGCTCTGTACTACCAACACCACTGGATCCTGGACAACATGCCGGTCACATGGTGCTACCTTGTGAATGAAGGAGGCAAGACTTACTGTAGTACTGGATTCCCAATGGGTTGTCAAGTTCGACGTGATGCTGTAAGTAATTTTTCCTCAGTAGACTTCAAACAGTACGTGTGATTCTTATTGGATAAATTGTCTTTAGTGATGTATAAATATAATCTCCTACCTTCTGACCAATTTGATTTTGTTTCCTGCCATGACATTTAAACTAAATTGAATTAAACTACCACGTTTCCATAGATTTAATTACAGGAAAAATGTTATCTAATTTCTATTTGAGTTTATCACCAATATGTAAAAGGAAATAATGATGATAAGTTACAAAAATTTTTTAGTATTAATTATGACTAGATTAAACTTTATGGTTAAAATGTAAGATAACAGCTAATAAAATTATGGTTATAGTTAAAACATTCAATCAATCATGTTGTTTTTTTAGGACTTTTGCTCACCAATAGTGACCGTACCTCCAGGCCAAGAAGTCGGTGCATATTATCTATTTAATCATGTAGACCTAGAGATCACATATCACAGTGGCGGAGATGAGGACTGGGCTGTTGGGTTTGGGGATAATGGGGGACGAATAATCTCAGCTAAGGTAATACTTACAGATCTTTTTAAAGTTATTCAAGTTAGTCTTGATTTTTTAACTGCTGTAAAAATCTAGAAAGATTTTGCTAATAGTAAAAATGTATAACTAGCATCATGAGCAAACCACAGGATATGTTGATAAATAAACTTTTTTCTTTCAGATTAAACCTGCCAGCATTAACCATCCAAAGAAAGACAACCTAGACTGTTCGGTCCACAACAACCCACTTGAGATACCGAAGTCCTTCACTGGAGACGACACCTTTAATGTTGTGTACACGTACCGTGTGTCGTTTATCAAGAACAACACCATCAAATGGTCGTCCAGATGGGACTATATTCTGGAGTCTATGCCACAGACTAACATACAGTGGTTCTCCATTCTAAACTCTCTTGTAATTGTACTGTTCCTGAGTGGAATGGTTGCCATGATACTGCTAAGGACGTTGCATAAAGATATAGCTAGATACAACCAAATGGAATGTGGAGAAGATGCCCAGGTATTAAATACTTTATTTTGAGATACTTATACTAAATTGTTTTAATTTAGAGGAAATTACTTAAATGTCGTTTGTAATTATGCATTATTGTAAAGTGTATTTATGTTGGTTTCTAGGAGGAATTCGGTTGGAAATTGGTACATGGTGATGTGTTCAGACCACCTCGACGAGGAATGCTGCTTGCTGTGTTCCTTGGTTCTGGTTCACAGGTAACATCATTGTACTTAAGTATTGAAATAATTAGTAGAATATACTATCACCTGTGATAATCGCATATCTCTTGAGAACAATGTATTTTCCCAGGATCAGAAGTGTGTGAATATTTTTCGTAGTCGTAAATCTTCTCGTCATTGAAAGACAAATTCAAACTTTAAATATTTATAATTAATTTTGATGTTTATAGATTTATTCATTTGCAAATTCATAGACTCTGTGTACAGTACATGTAACCTGAAAAACATCATAATGCATTGAGAATGTTAAATGTCGAGTGACAAAAACTATTGAAATAATTTTGTTTATGACCTTCCCAACATGTATTTGTGTACTTCAAGGACTTTGCAATCATCTCGCGTCTTAAACCACGCGTTCTCACTCAATGTTGACAAACAAAATTGCTCTGGCGAGTTTATAAACAGCAAGCAGAATTTACAAAATATCTTTCCAGTTTTGTGATGAAAATTAGTATTTTCGACAAGAGATAAAAAGCTAATAAGCTTACAAAAAGAATGAAATCAAATAATTTTCGCGTATTTCAAAAGACCATCTATCTGCTGACCGGATTTAACATTGCGGAACTAGCGCGTGGCTAAATCTTGTCGTGGGTAGTGTTTTTTTTATGCGCAAGTGCAGGTTACCATAGTAGAGACTTCTAAACTGTGTATTATGGTTTTAATAAAAATACCCAGGATAAAGGAGATCAGGATTTCTGGTGAAGAAAATCTGGGGGCACGGCAGTGCCCCCACCAAGTCGAGCAAAAAAGCGGCACGGCCGTACCATCCTTTTCTCAAAGCAATTCAGGCCATTTTCGACTGCCTGTAACTTCGTTGTGGATAAAACTAGAAGGCTGAATTTTCATTAGCTATGCAGGCATTGTAAAGACACGGTATATTTAAAATTTCATTCAATTTGAACCAGTAGTTTAGGAATTATAACGGGTCAAAGTTACTTAATTTTGTCACTCACTGACTCACTGACTGACTCACCGATCATCAAAATTCTAAGGCACTTCTAGCAGACCTAGAAGCTTCAAATTTGGAATATAAGTAGTGTTTGGTGTATGAATCAAGGAAAAACTAAAATATTTGGGGGCACGGTAGTGCAACCGCCAAGTCGAGTAAAATTTTTCAATTTCGGTCCAGTTGTCTAGATACATAACTGCTGTCTACAAAATACAAAAAGAAATGAGATTTGGGGGCACGGAAGTGCAACCGCCAAGTCGAGTAAAATTTTTCAATTTCGGTCCAGTTTTCTAGATACATAACTGCTGTCTACAAAATACAAAAAGAAATGAGATCCCATCAAAAACAATACTTGTCAAAAAAACCAAGTCTCGCAACTCAGTTGTTCTACGGTAAAAAGTTGTGAGATCCATGTAATACCAAGTCCAGGCCAGGAAATCTTTAACGTTTTACATAAATATATTGACTTGGCCATCGCATGAAAACACGTGTAAATTGAATTATTTAGTGCGATGGCCAAGTCGATATATTTATGTAAAACGTTAAAGATTTCCTGGCCTGGACTTGGTATTACATGGATCTCACAACTTTTTACCATAGAACAACTGAGTTGCGAGACTTGGTTTTTTTGACAAGTATTGTTTTTGATGGGATAAATCTTATGACCTTACAGAAAAATACCTTACAAATGAACCATTGACTAGATCCATAATCATTATTTTTCACATTGTATCTCTTCAAGTTAGTGGTTCTACTGAGTTTTTTAAAGTCCAATTAAAAAAGAAAAATTGTTATTTAACAACAATCACGTTCCCAGGTGTTCGGCATGACGCTAGTGACGTTAGCTTTCGCGTGCCTCGGCTTCCTGTCCCCGGCCAACCGGGGGGCGCTGATGACGTGCGCTCTGGTAGCGTGGGTGCTGCTGGGCGCCGCCGCGGGCTACGTCAGCGCACGCATCTACAAGAGCTTCGGCGGCCGCCGCTGGAAGAGCAACATCTCGCTGACGTCGATGGTGTGCCCGGGGTGAGTGACGTCAGCCTTCGCTGCCTCGGCTTCCTGTCCCCGGCCAACCGGGGGCGCTGATGCCGCCACTGGAAGAGCAACATCCTGCTGACGTCGATGGTGTGCCCGGGGTGAGTGACGTCAGCCTTCGCTGCCTCGGCTTCCTATCCCCGGCCAACCCAGGGGCGCTGATGCCGCCACTGGAAGAGCAATATCTTGCTGACGTCGATGGTGTGCCCGGGGTGCGTTACTAGTGACGTCGGCCTAATTTTCAAACGCAGGAAGGTTCCTGCGTTTGAAAATTCGGAATTAATTTAAAAAAAATGCAAAACAAGGCAGGTAATTCATCGCAATCGCACCTGGTGTTAAGTACTGTTAAGTGAGTAAGTCTATGATGGTACATATCTGCCCTGTAAGTACCTATTCACTCTCGCCTTGAAAAGGCCCGGATTATAGTGTTCAGGAAAGACTGCAGCATACAGCGAATCTATTTAATTAAATACAGCAGAAGTATAGGCACTTCAAGCTATTGGTTGACAATCTTTTCTTTAACTTTTGTAATTTTGATTGCATTGACTAATCCCAACTAATATTATAAATGCGAAAGTAACTCTGTCTGTCTGTCTGTCTGTTACGCTTTCCCGCTTAAACCTCGCAACCGATTTTGATGAAATTTGGCATAGAGATAGTTTGAGTCCCGGGAAAGAACATAGGATAGTTTTTATCCCGGTTTTTGAAACAGGGACGCGCGCGATAAAGTTTTTCTGTGACAGACAAAATTCCACGCGGGCGAAGCCGCGGGCGGAAAGCTAGTAAATTAGTATATCAACAGTTTGAAGTTTTAAAATACGTCTAATCTTATTCGCAGCGTGGTATTCTCGCTGTTCTTCATAATGAACCTGGTGCTGTGGGGTAAGGGCTCGTCAGCGGCTATCCCGTTCTCGACGCTGGTAGCGTTGCTGGCGCTGTGGTTTGGCGTGTCCGTGCCGCTAACCTTCATCGGCGCTTACTTCGGATTTAGGAAGAGGGTGAGTTTGATTCTACAGGGTGGAATTTTGTAATGCCACCTGGAGGGAAAGTACTCTTAATACTGTAGATAGAAATTTTTGCTGGAAGAAAACATTCCTTTATTTTTGAAAAGAAAGAGAACTGCATTCAAAGATATATTTCATGGTTTTCCTTTCATTTGATTTATCAAGTTTGTTAGAGAGATTTCATCCTTATACTTAACCGTAACTATCGATATAATAAAAATACAAGGTGTAATTTTGAAAGTACTCTTAATACTGTAGAGAGAAATTTTTACTGGAAGAAAACATTACTTTATTTTTGAAAAGAAAGAGAACTGCATTCAAAGAAAGATTTCATGGTTTTCCTTTCATTTGATTTATCAAGTTTGTTAGAGAGATTTCATCCTTATACTTAACCCTAACGATCGATATAATAAAAATACAGGTGTAATTTTGAAAGTACAGTAGAACGCCGATTATCCGAATTAATTGGGACCGGGGTCGATTCGGATAATCGAAAATTCGGATAATCGGACATAGACTGATAATAGCGAAAAACCAACTGTCACACATAAAATACACTTTAATTAGTTTAACAAACAGACAATTTCTACTTGGCGTTATTGTAGAACTGCTACAAAATCGCTCAGTTGAAATTTATCCTAATTCCAACAAAAAAAAAAATTGTTTTTATTTTTTTATATTAACGCTTAGGACCGATTCGGATAATTGGCGATTCGGTTAATCGGCGTTCGGATAATCAGCGTTCTACTGTACTCTTAATACTGTAGAGATAAATTTTTACTGGAAGAAAACATTACTTTATTTTTGAAAAGAAAGAGAACTGCATTCAAAGAAAGATTTCATGGTTTTCCTTTCATTTGATTTATCAAGTTTGTTAGAGTTTTTTAAAAATACAGGGTGTAATTTTTTACAGATTTTAGTTGGTTCGATTCCCAGGTGTGACAAGCAAATTTTTGGAAATTTATGAATGCAGTTCTATTTCTGTATATGATTCTAATCATGATAAGCGCACAAAGCTTCGGATTTAGGAAGAGGGTGAGTTTGGTTCTGATTATGATTCTAATCATGATTAAGGGGACAAGGATCCATATATCTAATTCCAGGAAACCTAATGGGCATCTTTAAAAGGAAAATGTGGATTAGCCTCAGTTTTTTACGAAACAGACCAACTGTGAAGGCCTAGGATGCGCACCGCGATAAGCTTTTATCGCGCCATTTTATCGATTCTATGCAATAAGCCCGTACATTTGTCATTATCATGATTTTTAATCATTAATTTATCATGGCGCGCATCATAGCTCGGCTAAAAGCCAAAAGTGGCTTCGATAAAATAGACGTCACGATTCAATGTTGAGATTCTTCTAATTATGTTTCATGGGTGTCGAATAAAAGGTTGCTTTTTCATGTTTAGATTGCACCTAATTTAATATTGCATAACTTCAAATTCTTTGATAACCCAGATAATTATCTGCTTGGATGACTAAGGCCACTGATTAGTATCTTTTGATGACTTCGGCATTTCAATTGATTATCCAAATGACTAAGCCTAATACTAAGCATTTATTTATCATTTTTAACTTATGGCATTCCGTTACGGAGGCTACCAGAGTGCTACAAAGCACAACCAGCTTTTTTAATACTGCCACCTTCTGATAGATATTATGTATTTTACAACCACCTTTTTAGGACGACCATGCAGTACAGGGAAGCGTCCAAGCATTTAATGTTTTTTGGGAACTAGATGGCGCTGTAAAATTTCCAAGGACATTTATTTATTCATCATACTCATATTACTTCCCTATACAGGGTGTCCCAGAATGGGTGAATCAAACTGATAGGGGAGGTAGCTCTACTAATGTACTCTAATGTACTATCCATAAAAAATATGAAAAAAAAAATTGAGTTCTGATTTTTTTTTAAATAAAGTGCTCAAAATCGAAATATAGTAATTATTTTCAAAAGTTTGTTTAATGTTTTTAGGTATAGTACATTAGTAGAGCTACCTCCCCTATCAGTTTGATTCACCCATTCTGGGACACCCTGTATATCCTTACCACCGGGGAATTATTTGAAACTAGATGGGGCTGTGTTAACCCTCCAAGCACATTTATATATTTATTATTGTATGCCATTATGGTGTAGTGGTTCAGAACGGACTACTATGCCGAGAGATCCCGGGTTCGATTCCCGGCTGGGCAGAAATTTAAGTGATGAATTTTAATTTCTGTAACGGGTCTGGGTGTTAGTGGTGTTACTATGTATAATATGTATGTATTTTAAAAGTATATAAGTAGCATATCCGTTAAGCTAGCACCTAAAACACAATCATATAAGTTGCTTACTTTGGGGCTAGCTAGCGCTGTGTGAAATTTTCAAGATTTTTAACTAAAAAAAAATGTTTCGCCTGTTGCTCCCTAGATCCTGGACCACCCGGTGCGCACGAATCAGATCCCGCGTCAGATCCCGGAACAGTCCCTGTACACACAGCCCGTGCCCGGCGTGGTCATGGGCGGCGTGCTGCCCTTCGGGTGCATCTTCATCCAGCTGTTCTTCATCCTCAACTCGCTGTGGTCTAGCCAGGTGGGATATACAGTGTGTTAGGTAAATGGGTATATGAGCCGGCACTAGCCCATGTTAACATGGGCATATAAATAGTATGGTGAAGTCAGAATTTGATATCATCCTTTTATTTTTTTAAATTTTCATATAAAATAAATTTTTATAAAATCCGATTTGTGTGAAAATTAAAATAATTAAAATGAAGATATCAATTTTCTGACTTCACCATACCATTTATATGACCATGTTAACATGGGCTAGTGTCGGCTCATATACCCATTTACCTAACACAATGTATAGTTCCAAAATACTGAACTGTCCTATGCATGACATTGACAGTGGGGCGCCACCGTCAATACCGGATCGCTGGTTCCGATTTTTGCCATGTTGGAAACCATATAGTTGAACGATGGTAGCGCCCCTCTGTCATTGAGTTTGGTGGGACAGTTCAGCGTGGCTCATCTATAATGGAGATTTTAGAGTCATATGACGCTAGATCGTCCTTTATTTATTTAATTTCAAAGCAAGTAAGCTTACAGCTAAATGCAAGTAAGGAAGACGTAGCGTGGGCAGGCCTCCCACTAGGTGGACCGACGATATGAAGGTCGCGGGAGGTGCCTGGATGCGAGCGGCGCAGGATCGGTCTTCATAGAAATCCTTGGCGGAGGCCTTTTGTCCAGCAGTGGACGTCTATCGGCTGAAACGACGAAGCTTACAGATAGATCAAAAGCGCTCACGTGGCCAATTTGAAGTTACTTTTTTTCTTTGATGATTTTATGACAAATAGGAAATGTAGTTCAGGATTTTATTCATGAAACCAAAGCAGGTGAAAAGATTATAGTAGATTACATGGTGCTATCAAATCATGATGCCCGCAATTTTTTTCATTTGCCCTAATATTGTCCTAATGTTAAGATTGACGCTGCTAATAATCTTATGCCTCCCCATCCAGTGGCTAATAAAATTAGATGTCTTACAGTGGTGACTAAATGCCCAGTGGCCTAATTCACGTATTTTGACAGTCAAGATCTCGCTGACGTTCATTAAAAAACAGTTCTAAATCCGTATTCACAAGGGTCATTTTGATAGAACGATTACTCGATAGGATCGCAACTCAGCGATTAGTTGTCATTGACGTTTTGTTACGTCGTCCCATTGAAAAACAGTTCTAAATCCGTAGGGTCATTTCGATAGAACGATTACTAAATAGGATCGCATTCAGCGATTTGTTGTCGTTGAAGTTTTGTGACGTGAATAAGGTTACATGTTTCTTATTGGGAAAGCCACTTGTAAGATCATAAAAGGAATCTTTATAATCGCTGATCAAGAGGCACTGACGCGTCTGACAGATTTTAATCCACACATTGTCCCTTCCAGATGTACTACATGTTCGGTTTCCTGTTCCTCGTGTTCGTGATCCTGGTGATCACGTGCTCGGAGACCACCATACTGCTGTGCTACTTCCACCTGTGCGCCGAGGACTACCACTGGTGGTGGCGCGCCTTCCTCAGCTCGGGCTCCACGGCCGGCTATCTCTTCGTCTACTGCTGCCACTACTTCTTCACAAAACTCAACATCGAAGACGCGGCCTCCACTTTCCTATACTTCGGGTACACCTTCATCATGGTATTCTTATTCTTCCTTCTCACCGGCACCATCGGGTTCATGGCCTGCTTCTGGTTTGTGAGGAAGATATACAGCGTGGTCAAGGTGGATTAAGGTTAGGTTGTAGGCGACACGAGTCTGAGGCTGCTCAGCTCCGAACGCGGCGTTTGACAGCGATTTGACCGTTATACGGCGCGGTTTGTTTTGTCTCTGGTCGTTTTTTGACATTGTGAAATTATTGTCTATGGTCAAACACTTGTAGGTATGACCACTAGGGTGGCTACGTGATTTTACCGTAATATTAGTGTGGGGCATCCAAACTGGAATACACAGATATTAAAAAACTATTTATTTCATTATTATACATTTATTATTACGATCGTAAACCACAAACCAGAGACAATTGCCGTTTTCTTGCTCAAATCACTGTCGAATTGCCAGCGTGATTATTAGATGGAGCCATATTTAGTCTGTGGACCGTGTGGTCATTGAGCGGTGCGTTGGTGCAGCGGTAGTGACGCGAAAGGTCGGCTTTATGTAAGCGAGAGCTCGATTTAGTGAGGGGTTATTGTCGAAACGTCTCATTTATTTTAAAGTTACATGCCTGAAAATAAACTTGCACTGCTTGTGACAGTCTTTTGTACGTTTAAATTGTATTTTAATTACAATTCAAATTTAAAATTACATGATGTACGGGATGGATTTTGACAGAAAAATAATAATCAGTTACTATTCTGGGATGAAAAGCACTGAATATAGACTTCCCATTTTTTCAAACTTCAGTGCAGAGCGAATTCGCTGTACAATTTTTCAAACCTATCCCTTACATCCTGAATTTGACAATCATTGAACTTATTTGCCCTTGTAGTCTCCTAAAAGGAAAGAGATCAAGGCATTTGTTCAAAGGGCTATCCTGACCACAGTACCAGGAACGTCAAGTAACTGTCAAGTTTGACTGCATTAAGATGTCCTCTGATATCGGCTTTAAAGCCGTGTGCTGGCTGGCTGTTGGAACGGTTAATAGATCGGCAGTATACTGATACTTTACACCACTGGGTAATAGTGGTTGGTAAGCCAGTGAGGTATGACCGACTAATTTAACCCAACTGCGTGATTCACTACTGAAAACTGAACTACAACTTCCTTCTCGACTACTTACTATTTTTCTACAACATATTATGCCTTCTGAATCCCGCATAACTTTTACGACTATTAGTTTACTACATTTATAATTTAGTTAGGGTTTTTTAATACATTATTATAATTTTGTATCAATTTATAATTTGCATAATTTTATAAGCAAGGATTAATTTCGGGGGACTTGCATTGTCGCTAACGAAATTCGCGATAGTCGGAATAGAGAAACCAACATCTTCATCAGTGAGCTTAGGTGTAGAATGAGTTCTAAGCTAAGAATGAATACAGTTTTGAGCGTCATTTCATAATAAGCACCACCAACTCTTTCTCTCTTAGTTCAAATTAGACAATAATAAGCCATTCATCATCAAATAATTAGATTTATAGAACTTAGAAAATAATGGGTAATTAAACAATCTTCAAGAATTCTTGAAGGTATTTTTAAAACAAGTGATCTCTTGGTTACAGCATTGTTTCTTGTAAATAATGTTTTAATTCCGCAAGGGCATTGAATTAGTCGGTCGTACTGAAATGTAGGCTTTTGAACCGAATCACGAAAGGTTATGCTACGAGTGCCCTAGTAGCACCGTCCTTAGGAAAGGGCGATGGCAGAATAAAGGAATAATAAATAAAGGTCGACGACCACTTGACTGGTCGGACTTAACATGCAACGGACGAAAGATTTTATCGAAAATCTTTCAATGAAATAAAGTACGCAGAATTTAGAGAAAAATTTTCAATAGTCTACGTCGCTGCTTGTGCCTACAGGGCTCAGAGTCGGATGAGCGAGGACCTTTATGTGAGAGACTACTGTACACAATGTGATTAACTGTATAAATTTTTATTTACGTATATCCAAAATAAGTCGATAGTCACGTGAGGTATTTTTAGTTAACGTTCAGTTTTCGTATATTTACTTGTTAGTCGTTAGCTGTAAATAAGTTTAAAAGAATGAAATGGCAATCAAATTTATTTTTGCTTATTGATTAGGTGGTAAGGGTGATCAAAAATTTCCACTGGTATGCAATAGTACTTAAAGAAAGGGGATTGAGTAACATTATCGACACAAATGGAACTATTGTCGAAGTATTACGGGAAGGTATGAATTAATTTTTTTGTAGATTACATTATTATTATAGTTCTTTACACCTTTTAAATCAAATTAATGTGTATAGTATTTGTTAAGGTAGTATTCGAATATACGAGATTTTCTGTTGCGATCGCTTATTGAATATGTATCGATTGTACATTTTACACGCGCGAATGATTTTCGTGGCATTTCAAGGAGCGCGCGATATACGCGAATCACGAAATGAAGGACACGAGTACACTATATGCATTTATGTAGAAAATTATATTTTTTCATTAACGCGTTATGCGTATAGTTAAAACGCCATTTTGGGCTTTATGGATGATTTTTAATAACCAGTGAATATACCTACTTATAACGAATCTATTTATTTATAATGACATGGTAAACTATAAATTAACCTTTCCTTTCTGATAGATAAGTATAAGTGGTTTATAAACCACTTTGAAATGTAATTGTAGTTAAGGTCAATTGGGAAAACTTGTCCAGAAGCAGGTTGATGTTTATTGATGACTCGGAAGATTCGAATTCTATTTAATATTAGTTTCATATCAGGCAGGACTTCCATTTGTGTCTGTTATTCTGGTCTCTTGTTTAATGTATAAAATATTGGATGTAACTACTAACCACACACCACATAAGACAATGTTCGTTGCACACCTATTTGATAAACCACGTTAAGTAATTTTAATTTTATTTAGTTGTTTTATTTAATATTACTGTGTGTCCATATCATACATTATTTTCATGAGATATTAAAATGTTTTAAAAGTAATTATGCTTGATTAAAACAGTTGAATGTATGTAAACAATAAATGTACTATTTTATAATTGTATTTTATTTTCAACTTTGTAACATACGTTAGTGAAGGAAAACACGTGTAAAAATAAATTAATCTCCATCACTGCTTTCAGACAGATCAGCCTTTTCCTTGGGTAAAAGTGGTTTCTTCTTGAAAGCCTTTCTTTTACGGTCTATATTAGTTTTTCTGAATATTTCGATGGCTTTCATTCTGTTTTGTAACAGACTCTCCTTGTCTTTTTCTCGTTGCGGAATGATTTCTTGATATCTGTCCGTTTTCGGAATTATTATGTCTATTCCAGGAGTTGCCTCGTCTACATGTGCCACAACTCTAACATTAAGGTCTTTGCATTCGGAATCTTTTTTATTTCTTTTTACAGGTCCAGGGCCGGTGGGGATGGGTTTCGCTTTAGCAGTTCCCTTTTCTGTATTGGTTTTTCTTTTTCTAGTAGGCTTTGAACTAGTCGAGGGCTGTTCTTCATCAACCGGGAGCAGTTCACCCACCGGTTTCTGGGGGTCCATTTTTTCAACTGCCGCCTTTACCCTCTTACTCATTTGGTGCTCCAAAGATTGGAACTCTACAGTTCTTTTAAAGTAATCACGCACTGTCTTCTGACTTTTTCTTTCCATTTGCCTTTTCAAGACCGGTTTTAATATTTCATCTACCTTATTTTGTGACCATCCAAACTTCGCTTTTGTGTAATCCCGTAATATTGTTATGTCTAATTCGCCCCATGTAAATTTGTCCTCGCTCTTCTCAACATTTGGATCGAAATAAGCTTGTACTACCTGCAATAAACATTTATCATTCAAATTACATATACTGAGATACACTATGGAGATTACAGGCGGATGCCAAAACAGAACATGCACAGTAGCTTGCCATAAATGCATGAGGGAGACGTAAAATACGACAGCCTCGCTTTCTAATTATACCCATAACATTATGTCGAAACTTACCCTAACACTAGGGAAATCGTCATTCAAAGATATATTTCTCAGTTTCTTTTTAAGGCTGGTATTATCAGTTCTTTTGCCAGCTCGCACCCAATTCTTAAACTCCTGCAGCCCAGTAACAACTTGCTGATATTTTTCTTGCTTAGATGTTTCATTTAAAAATTGTTTTCTGTTGAAGGGGAATGACGCCAAGATCTCTAACGCTGTAACAGGGCCCACTCCATCAATGCCAGTTGTGTAATCGCTGCCTACTAGTAATGCTAGCAAAATCAACTGCTCTCTGGTTAAGTCTGAAAAAGAATATAGTTGAAGAGTAACAAGATACCATAGGTGTATGTATGGCTACGAAAGACCATTAGGGATATTAAACTTACTGTAGGATTTTTCGATCCTTTCTGATAAGAACTGCAACACAAGCTTTTTCTGATTGAAGAAATTTTTGTAAACTGTCTTTCCGCCGAAGAGCCAGATATCGCTGTCATCTGTGATGGTCCCATCAGTTAACTTAATGCTCTCGAGAAAAGCGCATTGCGCCTCGGCCTCCATCGGAGCAACTATGTAGGGGATCCCGAATATTTGTAGCAGTTCTTGAGCCTCTTTAGTCATTTGTTCGGTAATGTTCCGACCCACACGATCAAGCCGCCCCTTTTCTTGCTCCAGTTGTTGTTGTTCATTTGCCACTTCCTTAGCCATCTCATTTAATTTTTCTATGGATATTTCTTTAGGTGGTGGAGCATCGACCTTCGTAGTGTTAGCCTTTGTAACTCCTTCAGCTACAAATTTAGGAGATTTATTGTCATGAATATCACTTGACGTAGTTTTCTCACTAGTACTTTCAGGGACTGTATTAGATAATAATGGGCTATCTTTACTCTGACTTGTAGTATGATCTTCATTACTTCTTTGAATACTTTTCTCTTTTTCAGTCGTTCGTATAACATTTGTTGATAAAAAACCTATAGCGTCTTCTTTAGAAGAGCTTTTCCGAGATTTGTCAAAATCCGACTTAATTGGATTAACTACGCTTTCAACTTTATCGATATTATTTTTGATAGGTGGTAGAACGTGATCAATATCAACAATATTACTGCTGCTCTTCTTATCAGTGAAAACATCTGCAAATATATCGTCATCTTCACATGTTTGTTCCATGTTCAGCGTAAGTTCTATACCAGGTTTCGTTGATTTGCTTTCGATTTCAGGGACATCCTCAAATTCCTCGTCGCTAGATTCTGATTCAATTCCAATAGGAATACTTAATTGTTTATTAGCCGTATTGATTGTGCCAAGTTTATCTAAATTAATTTTGTCACAGTGGTTTTTTCCGCTATCTTTAACTACATTTTCCGCGTCTAAGGCATTATCTTCTGCACTAGTATCAAGTGTTATGATATCTTGCAACGGGTTTTCAACAAATACAACCGATGCCTGGGTTAAGTCTACATCAGTTTCTTTGTTTTCTAGTTCTTTATAGCTTAGCTCTACGTCTTTATCACTAACTTTATCAGAAGTTATTTCAACTGAACCACTGTCATCTGACGATACATCTACATTGTCAACAATGATAGATTTTTCATTGTTGATTTCTTCCAAGATTTTATCAACACCCATAGTTTTAGGCTTTTTAGTTTTCTTTTTTACTGTTATGATTTCGTCTATTGCTTTATTCGTGAAATCGCTGTATTGCATTATGTAAGCCTTAGCCGAGGACATATCTGGTTGTTCCATTCCATCTTCTTCTTCAGAGTCGGTCTGTGAATAATCGTTATCAGACAATACTGAAGTCCAGGAATCATCTGTTTTAGAAGTATAATTGCTTGTATTTTGATCATCTGCACACTCTAGTGACATTTTTATAGCTTTTTCTAGGTCTTCTTCTAATTCATCTTTTACGGATGGGTTCTTGTCTATTATAATACTTTCTTTTTTAGTAGTAATTGGTCCTGGATTATTTTTGTCGTCATTTCCACACTCAAGTGACATTTTTATAGCTTTTTCTAAATCTTCTTCTGAATCATCTTCAACAGGTGGCTTCTCTTCTATTGTTATTGTTTCTTCTTTAGCTGCACTGGGTCCTGGATTGTTCTTGTTTTCTTGTCTCTTTTTTGCGTCAAGTAAAGCCTGCTTTACGTTGTTTATGAGCAAAAATCTTGTGTTAACATTAGACGCAATACGCCTTGTGGGTAATTCTTCTATTTTTGTGTCTATGCCTTCTTCATTAAGAAGAGACTCTAACTCGTTTAAAGACATACCACCATCACCCATTTCCTTTTCTGTTTCCTCTAAACATTCTTGAACTTTACGCCTTTTTAGGAGCCTCTGCATCTGAATAAATTTTCTGGTTTACTTATAAAATGTTCATTAATGGTATTTTTTTAAATTTAAGAAGAAAATACTTACTTGGAAGTCTGAGAAGTTATCACTATTCTTTGGCAACTCATGAAGTCTACCCCAAGAATTCATTTTCCTTGTTTCTTTCAATTCTATGAGCAAGTCATACTTCTCCTTTGCAGGTAAAGTCTTGAATGTGTTTGATTCTATATCTACTGAATGTAAATCAATGATGGAACTGGAGCTGGAGCTTTCATCTTCTGACCTAAAAGATTTTTAAATACTTGCAACACTACTGTACCTATCTACTATGGCCAATGAATGTAATTCTAGGCCAGGATCTACAATCTATCAAAATAAAAAAAGAAGCTAGCAATTAAATTAAATTTTAAAGCATGATTTTTTATAGCACAAAATCTCTAATTTGTAATTTTTACTGACATACTTACTCTGATTCACTTTCTTCTTTGTTTTCTGGTAAGGCAGGCAATTTGAAAAGATCATCATTGTTAGCGGTATTGCTGCTTGACCCTTTCTTCGGAGATATCTCTTTGCCCAAAAGACTACTGATTGCAGTCTTTTTACTGAGCAAGAGCGCTAGTTCTCTTTTTATTCTCTCCGACTCAGAGTTGTACTTTGCCTTGTTATATTGTCTTTTTGCCTAAAACAAGACATTTAAATGATACCTTTAATAAAAATATTATTTCAGCATGGTAATAAAAGTAAAAAAACAAAAGAGGTTTTAAGTCCAAAAAAATATTTTAAAATACCCAACCAAAAATAATAAAGGTAAGGTTACACAAATTAATTTATTAAAATATTTTTTAACCAGGTCAAAAATTGTTATCTTACTATTGTTTCTCTCTTCAAGTCTGGGAAACCACCATCAAATACGAAGACAGGCTTTATCCTGAAATAAAGCAGTTTGCAAAGGCGCTGGAATAGACCCATAAGATGGGCATTTGCAAGTGGAGCTCCTTTGGCATCTTGGTAGCCTTTCACCATCTGATGCAACCATATTGAAATATCTGCAGAAAATAAATTTCTTTATTATAATTGTCCCAATATAGATACTACCATGGGAATAACTATGTTTATTTATAAATTCAAGGCAAAATCGTACCCACTGCCAATACTTTGTTTTCCAAAGTTTCAACCGGCACCGGCTTGCCTGTCGGCTCGATCAACCGCCACAGTCCAGTGACTCCCATCGCGTGCAATTAAATTCCAGAACAGATTTTTTTGTTTATACTAATTTATATACCAGTGTACATAACAAAGGTCGTTTCCCACGAGATCTCCGGTCAATCGTCAGTCTCTTCCTCACACATCGCAACCTTTTCGCTCCATGAACTCGATGTATTTATCACGCACACAATCACAAACGAAATGTCTGCTACTGGCGCAGTGTGTTCGTAAATATGTGTTCGGTTCACTACAACATATCAAATGTTTCACTACGCTGCGACGCCCACTCTTTCCCACACTTTATTTTCTCACGCCCCATGCGTAACCCCACATCCTATGACCGGCTGTCAGTCGGCGCGCCGCGAAGCGACCCCGCAATCCGCATCACTCGATTGTGTTCTCGCGCGTGTGGACGACGACAACACGCTCGTACGCTTTTGTCTATGGTTCATCGTTTGACAGTTCTTAATTTTGGCGTTGTCGTATTTATTTCACGAATAAACACAAGATTATTTTAACAATTTACTGGCGGAACAGTGTGCCCTGTGGCGAAAAACACAAGTTCATCGCCATTAAAAGAAGAAGAAGAAGAAGAAGAATAATGTGAAATATTTTCATTCAATCAAGGATTTATCAGGAGACAGAAATCGTGTGCAAATTGTAAACAGTATCATCGTGGAATGTTGGCCAGACTGTCTGAAAATATCTTCGTCGAACAGGTGTTTTTGAATGAAAAGTGTGCTACGGTTCCCACCGTAATTAATTTATAGTGTCGTGAATAATACAAAAGTGTATCGATCTACGAGATCGCGGATAGGGGTCGTCGGCTGCATTTCAAATAAATTACGCGAATCGTCCACAGGGACGCCACACGTCCGTCGGGACGAGAGTGTCATCCTCGCGAGTGGATCATGTTCTGCGAGCGCAGCAAAGAGTGCAGTCGGCTCAGGTAGTGGCAAGGGAAGAGCGGTATGTTGTATGCGAATCGCGCCCCGAGCAGTATGAGCCGCGGCAGCAGGTGAGGTGGAGCCGTGGCGAGCATGCCGCATCAGTTCGGCGCGGGCGGCATGGCGCAGGGCCCGCCCTCGCCGCCGCCGCAGCACGGCGCGCTGTTCCCGCGCTACGCGAGCGCGGCCGGGCCCGGCGCCGGCGCCTACCGCCCCGAGGAGCGCCGCCTCACGAGGGAAGCGATGGAGCGGTACCTGCGCGACCGCTCCGACATGATCGTGGTGATCCTGCACGCGAAGGTGGCGCAGAAGTCGTACGGGAACGAGAAGCGGTTCTTCTGCCCGCCGCCGTGCATCTACCTGTTCGGGGACGGCTGGCGGCTGCGGCGCGAGCGCATGCTGCGCGAGGGAGAGACGGAGCAGGCGGCGCAACTGTGCGCCTTCATCGGCATCGGCAACTCCGACCAGGACATGCAACAGCTCGACCTCAACAACGGCAAACAGTACTGCGCTGCCAAAACTTTGTACATATCAGACTCTGATAAGCGAAAGCATTTCATGTTATCCGTTAAAATGTTCTATGGGAACGGGCATGATATTGGTATTTTTAATAGTAAAAGAATAAAAGTTATATCGAAGCCCTCAAAGAAGAAGCAGTCCCTGAAGAATGCTGATTTGTGCATCGCTAGTGGTACAAAAGTAGCTCTATTTAATCGGCTGAGGTCCCAGACTGTGTCTACTAGATACTTACATGTAGAAAATGGCAATTTTCATGCATCGTCAACACAGTGGGGTGCATTTACGATACATCTCTTGGATGACAATGAGAGTGAGTCTGAGGAGTTTGCTGTGAGAGATGGATACGTTCATTATGGATCTACTGTGAAGCTAGTCTGTTCTGTTACTGGAATGGCACTCCCGAGACTGATAATTAGAAAGGTAATTATAACCTGCCAAATCTAATTAAATAATAATGATATTTGATAAAAATTTATGCTCTACATCTACCTTTAGCACTAATTGTTGATTTCTATAAATATTAATNCATCTCTACTAAAAATCCTGGCAGGCAAAATAAAAAAGGTCCAATTACGATAAAAACAGTAGCAACCGTTTGCAGGTCGCCAGTGACGCCAGTGCCTCTAGTCCACTCGTTGAATCTCAACGGCGGCGGCGACGTGGCCATGTTAGAGCTCGCGGGGGATAACTTCACGCCGTCTCTCCAAGTGTGGTTTGGGGATGTTGAGGCCGAGACCATGTATCGGTGCGCCGAGTCCATGCTGTGTGTTGTCCCGGATATATCGCAGTTTAGAGGACAGTGGCTGTGGGTGCGGCAGCCTACTCAGGTATGAACTAGGGACCAATAAAAATCTAGTTTATAAGTGGCTATAAACAACTTCTGTGTAGCTGTAAACAACTTAATGTCTTCACTCCAAGTGTGGTTTGGGGATGTGGAGGCTGAGACCATGTATCGGTGCGCCGAGTCCATGCTGTGTGTTGTACCGGATATATCGCAGTTTAGAGGACAGTGGCTGTGGGTGCGGCAGCCTACTCAGGTATGAACTAGGGACCAATAAAAATCTAGTTTATAAGTCGCTAAAGCCTGATCCGTGAGCACATAGAATTTTGTCCAATGACCCCAAGCTACCCATCCTTATCGCTCGCGCGTAATTATATTGCTGTCGCGACAGTGCGACGGGCGCCCGCAGTGAGTGTGCGAGCGCGACAGCAACATAATTACGCGGGAGCGATAAGGATAGGTAGCTTGGGGTCATTGGACAAAATTCTACGTGCTCACGGACCAGGCTTTATAAACAACTTTATGCCTTCACTCCGAGTGTGGTTTGGGGACGTGGCAGGCTGAAACTGTATCGGTGCGCCGGCGCAGAGTTCATGCTGTGTATTGTCTCGGATATATCGCAGTTCAGGGGACAGTCACTATGGGTGCGGCAGCCTACTCAGGTATGTGCTAGGAACCAAAAAACAACTAGTAAAGTCTGATAGTGGCAGTAAACAACTTCACCTTCACTCCCTTCTTGCTACTAGCGTGGTTTAGAGACGTGGAGGCCGCGGCTGGACATATCGCAATTCAGAGGATAGTGGTTATTGACTCGCAGGTATGTGCTAGAGACCAGTTAACAATCTAGCATGGTCTTTGAGTGGCTACACAAACTTTACTCATGAGGTAAAAGACATGGAGACTATGGTACGTAGATATCGCCGTATGCCATACGCTAACGATGCGAATTTTCCCAGTTTAATTATGTACTGTTACAAACTATTACTTACAAACTTCACCACCTTACTTAAAAGTGTAAATGGTAAGTTTAGAGATCTACGCGGTTAATCATTCAGAAAGAATCCATGGGGAGATGGTACTCTACGCAGCTTAGGGGAGACATGAGTGTGCGAGTAACCCCGCCGGAGATTAATTAATTCGGTGACGTAAATTATGCAGGTCAATGTAGATACAGCAGTTGATACAGATATTAGCTTCGATTCATTTTGTACACAACTGCATTAGGCATTGGATATCCCTGTTCCTGAAGGAATACCGATTGCTGGCTGGATGCTATTTTATGAGATACAGTAAAAGTCTTTAAATCCATGAGAAACCGGACACAAGTTCGTGTTAAGAATTAATGAGTTATTGATCTTAAAGATTTATGAAGGATAAACGATTTAATTTATCTTTATTATTTCGTTTCCCACATATTATGCTAAAAATATTACGTACCTACCTATTTACATAAATCAAAAGCCAACTAAATTGGCCGTAAAACAATAGTTTTATAAAAATCGAAAAAACCTAACAAAAAGGTCTGCTGCATATCGTGAGAACGTATGTTTTGCTCGTTTCAAATGCAATGTAACCCAAAGGTCTGGTTGAAGATAAATTAATTTGATCAATGCATTTGGTTCATTAAGTGTTCCGCAATGTGCGACTAGTGATGCATGGCGTGCATCTAATATGATTGCTATTTATAAATGCGCACTGTGTAGTCGCTATAAGCGTTACGATCATCTACATCTGCTTGTTATCAATGTCAGGCAATATGAAAGCTAATTAGTAATCAGGAATCCTATTAGAAAATGCTACATTATAATACTAAATGGTTTCAATATTTTGCCAGTGATGCGCTCTTTAAAATGTCTCTCTATTCACGTTAACATCCATTAGTGCTAAGTACTATTTGATAGCTCTCTATCTATATTTTCTTATTGCACTCGATTATAACTGCGGGCTCTAGAGGAAAAGGGTATTTACCATTTCCTAAAATGTACTTCTTTGAATACCCTTTCGTGTTCGTTTCGACTTTTGATGGCGCTACTAATTTGTTTTACATATTCTTAAATCAGACCAGACATTGTATTACGAGTACTAGTCCTTAGCCTCTTCTTCAATCAGTTATAAGTCGATCTAAATTATTAGTTCATTTATTTTAGTCTACTGTAGGAGAGACACGCTCTAATTTACTAAAAGCAACTAAAGGATCAACCATGGAAAGCATTGGGGGAGGCCTATGTTCAGCAGTGGACGTCCTATGGCTGAGATGATGATGAAGAATATAGCCTACACTGCCAAGTCCATATGCTGCCTAGACGGGTTGTGTAGGCTGGATACTCGCACTAAGGGACATCCTCGGGGAGCGTAGGCCGCACCTAATCTACTCTGCCGAAACCAAACGGCCAGTATATTCCCTGGCGATTTTGTATTACTTCTAAATATAAACAGGCATGTATACGTCTTCAGGTGCCGGTATCCCTGGTGCGGAACGACGGCATAATATACGCGACAGGACTGACGTTTACTTACACGCCGGAGCCTGGCCCGCGACCCGTGTGCGCGCCTGTGGATGACGTCATGCNGAATTTTAATTAATAAATTCCTAATAAGATACTAACTAATAATAACATATCTAATCAATCACTAATTTATCTAATCAATCAAATATAAATTTAAAAGATTCGTGAAGAAAAAGCTGTATTTTTGTTTATTATTTAATCACACTACATTGTAAATAGCTATCTGTAAATTCTAATTGATTTGTTATAGGTGGACAAACAAATGGCACTATTGGAAGCCGACGATCCTGTTTCCCAGCTGCATAAATGTGCGTTCTACATGAAAGACACAGAGCGCATGTACCTCTGCCTGTCTCAAGAACGGATCATCCAGTTCCAAGCAACTCCTTGCCCCAAAGAGCCTAACAAAGAAATGATCAACGATGGAGCATGTTGGACTATCATTTCGACTGATAAAGCGGAGTATCAGTTCTATGAAGGAATGGGACCTGTAAGGTAACTTAAAAGAAAATAACATTTTATCATTAATTTAATTTTTATTAATTGGAATTTGCTTTCTCATAAAACTAGCAGTAAAAAATACTTTCTTAAATTATCTCCTGCTAAGTTAAAATTGTTTGTATGAATCTCAAATAATGCATCAAGAGAATAATTGCAAAAGTTTAATAAATACTCGTACTCAATTGAAGTACCTAAAACAGTAGAAAAGAAAAATCTATGGTATTTCCGAAAAAGTTTATATTTTAAAACTAAAAAATCCTGGCAGGCAAAATAAAAAGGTCCAATCACGATAAAAACAGTAGCAACCGTTTGCAGGTCGCCAGTGACGCCAGTGCCTCTAGTCCACTCGTTGAATCTCAACGGCGGCGGCGACGTGGCCATGTTAGAGCTCGCGGGGGATAACTTCACGCCGTCTCTCCAAGTGTGGTTTGGGGATGTGGAGGCCGAGACTATGTACCGGTGCGCCGAGTCTATGCTGTGTGTTGTCCCGGATATATCGCAGTTTAGAGGACAGTGGCTGTGGGTGCGGCAGCCTACTCAGGTATGTGCTAGGGACCAAGAAATAATCTGTAAGTAGCTGTAAACAACTTGATGCCTTTACTCCAAGTGTGGTTTGGGGACGTGGCAGGCCGAAACTGTATCGGTGCGCCGGCGTAAAGTCCATACTGTATGTTGTACCTACCGCAAAGTCCATGCTCCCCTGAACTGCTATATATCCGATATAGCAGTTCAGGGGAGTGGCTGTGGGTGCGGCAGCCTACTCAGGTATGTTCTAGAACTTCTAGGGACCGATAAACTACTAGTAAAGTCTGATAGTGGCTGTAAACTCCTTCACGCCTTCCCTCCAAGTGTGGTTTGGGGACGTAGTAGGCCGAAACTGTATCGGTGCGCCGGCGCAAAGTTCATGCTGTGTATTGTCTCGGGTATATCGCAGTTTAGATGACAGTGGCTGTGGGTGCGGCAGCCTACTCAGGTATGTGCTAGGGACCAATAAACAATCTGTAAGTTGCTATAAACCCCTTCACGCCCTTACTGCTTAGTGTAGTTTGAAGATGTATGTGCTAGGAACCAATAAACAACTAGTAAAGTCTGATAGTGGCAGTAAACAACTTCACCTTCACTCCCTTCTTGCTGCTAGCGTGGTTTAGAGGCGTGGAGGCCGCGGCTGGACATATCGCAATTCAGAGGATAGTGGTTATTGACTCGCAGGTATGTGCTAGAGACCAGTTAACAATCTAGCATGGTCTTTGAGTGGCTACACAAACTTTACTCATGAGGTAAAAGACATGGAGACTATGGTACGTAGATATCGCCGTATGCCATACGCTAACGATGCGAATTTTCCCAGTTCAGGTATGAGCTGTACAAACTATTACCAACTTCACCTATTTAAAAGTGTAAAGGGAGAGATCTACGCGGTGAATCACGCAGATTGTTTCTGATTGGGGAGATGATACTCTACGCACTTTAGGGGAGACATGAGTGTGCGAGCAACCCCGCCTGGAACTTAATTAATTCGGTGACGTAGATTATGCAGGTCAATGTAGATGCAGCAATTGATACAGATATCAGCTTCGTTCACAACTGGATAAGGCATTGGATATCCCTATTCCTGAAGCAATACCGATTGCTGGCTGGATGCTATTTTATGAGATACAGTAAAAGTCTTTAAATCCACGAGAAACCGGATACAAGTTCGTGTTAAGAATTAATGAGTTATTGATCTTAAAGATTTATGAAGGATAAACGATTTAATTTATCTTTATTATTTCGTTTCCCACATATGCTAAAAATATTACGTACCTACCTATTTACATAAATCAAACGCCAACTAAATTGGCCGTAAAACAATAGTTTTATAAACAACGAAAAAACCTAACAAAAAGGTCTGCTGCATATCGTGAGAACGTATGTTTTGCTCGTTCCAAATGCAATCTAACCCAAAGGTCTGGTTGAAGATAAATTAATTTGATCAATGCATTTGGTTCATTAAGTGTTCCGCAATGTGCGACTAGTGATGCATGGCGTGCATCTAATATGATTGCTATTTATAAATGCGCACTGTAAAGTCGCTATAAGCGTTATGATCATCTACATCTGCTTGTTATCAATGTCAGGCAATATGAAAGCTAATTAGTAATCAGGAATCCTATTAGAAAATGCTACATTATAATACTAAATGGCCTCAATATTTTGCCAGTGATGCGCCCTTTAAAATATCTCTCTATTCTCGTTAACATCCATTAGTGCTAAGTACTATTTGATAGCTCTCTATCTATATTTTCTTATTGCACTCGATTATAATTGAGGGCTCTACAGGAAAAGGGTACTTACCATTTCCAAAAAAGTATTTCTTCGTTTACCCTTTCCAGTAGGTACTCGTTTCAGCTTTTTGATGGCGCTACTAATTTGTTTTACATTTCTTAAATCAGACCAGACATTGTATTACGAATTTACAAGTACTAGTCCTTAGCCTCTTCTTCAATCAGTTATAAGTCGATCTAAATTATTAGTTCATTTATTTTAGTCTACTGTAGGAGAGACCCTCTCTAATTTACTAAAAGCAACTAAAGGATCAACCATGGAAAGCATTGAGGGAGGCCTATGTTCAGCAGTGGACGTCCTATGGCTGAGATGATGATGATGAAGAATATAGCCTACACTCCCAAGTCCATATGCTGCCTAGACGGGTTGTGTAGTCTGGATACTCGAACTAAGGGATGTCCTCGGGGAGCGTAGGCCGCACCTAATCTACTCTGCCGAAACCAAACGGCCAGTAAATTCCGTGCCGATTTTTTCGTTCGTTCGTTCGTTTCAGCCGAAAGACGTACACTGAAAGAAAGAAAGAAAGAAAATATTTTATTTGGTCCAACATATTAAATTATTACAGTATACAGTTTACAATACTTGCACATTTGTGGACCAAAATGGCATCCGCTCAGCATTGTGTCCTGCTCTGAGGTAGACCCAGAACAGGACGCTGTTATTCTGCGCTGTTGGACAAAGGCCTCCCCAGGGTTTTCCACAAAAACCGGTCCAGCGCCGCCTACATCCAGGCACCTCCCGCAACCTTCACCAGATCGTCGGTCCACCTAGTGGGAGGCCTGCCCACACTACGTCATCCGGCTCGTGGTCGCCACTCGAGAACTTATCTGCTCCAGCGGCCATCGGCTACGAGCTATGTGACCTGCCCACCGATTTTGCATAACTTCTAATTTAGAAATAAACAGGCATGTATACGTCTTCAGGTGCCGGTATCCCTGGTGCGGAACGACGGCATAATATACGCGACAGGGCTGACGTTTACTTACACCCCGGAGCCCGGGCCGCGGCCCGTGTGCGCGCCCGTGGATGACGTCATGCGGCCCGAGCAAGCCGGCCCGTGGCATCACGACGCGCACCGCCTGCCCGACAGCACCATGCAGTAACCAATCGACTGCAGGCTCCACGACAGTCTGCAGTCAATGGAACACGCCCCAAAGAGTGACGCCCAATCACCAAATGACTCCCAGAGTGGTGCACTTTGGTGAGTGACTTGAAGACATTTTTGTAATTAGTTCGATAGTGCCTAAAGTTTGGTCGGCATAGCATTGTTTCGGTCCACTGTGAATCATTTTGTTGACTAAAACTAATCTGTAAAACAATAAATATGAATAAGGTCAAGTCGCTGTTTGCAGCGTCAATCGATGGAATACCTCCGATGGCGTTTATAATAACTTTCAAGGAAAAGTAGAAAGAAATAATTGTATGACAGGGAAAGTGCTGTGAAGGCCAAACTGATAGATAGCTTTATACTAAGGTGCCGCGTGAGAATCAGCTGCCACCGACAGCTACCGGTCGCATGGCGATTCTGTGGCGCCACGACAGTTGTGCCTAAAACGAATACTATATGTAATCATTGAAATTATGACACCAAAATGAAATATGACAGCAATAAATGTATTAAGAAGTGATTTGATGCCTATTTATGTGTATACGAAAACATTAAGATACAGTATTTTAAACTCTAATTTAAAGTAATCCTGAAATAATTCAGAAACGATGTCGCTTTAAGTTAGTTCGCATTTATTTTATGTGTGCACGCGAGATCGGAACATGTAACAGGGAATAAAATCGCCGAAGATATTGTGTGCCTTCAAAGATTTTGTTTACAATGAAATCAGCAGCGCTAGCGTAGTTTTTAGGATTATGTACCGGTATCAAACCAATTATTTCATAATTTTAATCAAATGTATCATGGAAGGAGATCTCTCTGTTCTTAGATTTGTTTCTTCGGGGCCAAATAGCTGTAATCCATGACAAGTCAGTGTTTATAGTTTTTATGATAAGTGAACAATATTGGGTTGAGGACAAAGAGAGTCGTACGGCTTGATTTTATCTCTTTGTGATTATTTGTACATTATTGGAGATAGACATTAGTTAAGTATCCTATTGTCAACGATAAGACTAAGCCAAATAAGTACTAATTGTGCTTTCTCAAAAGTTGATTGCTTCTCGTGATTCGCGTTGTATTAGTCATTTGCTTTGAGCCGGCCCGCCGCCCGGGCCCCTTGTGGGCCTACAGGACACTTGCCCGGGCGCGGTCTCTACCAGCTATCGATGCAGGGAGGTAGCGATGTCACTGTACGTATGTAAATTTACTGAGATTCGAACAAGTTAGGTAGGGCCTAGATTAGTCCATAGTACATTAAAATATTGTTTAAATCATTCAAATGAATTTCTATTTATTTTTTGCGAATCTAATTTTAATGATAAATTTATAATTTTAAAAGCGGTTTTGATGTGTATTTTAATAGTGTGATTTCGAACATTCCATGTGGAAAGTGTAATGAGAAGTACAAAAAAATATCAATATTTTTGTAGAGAAACATTAAATTACAATATAAATCTTATGGAATTGGTATAGTTACAGTATTACAAGGAAATTAGTATTAAATATTGTACTGGATAAGCACTATCACGTCGTCAATTTGTATAAATGATAAGTGGATTTTCATTTTAAAGCTGTTTACTCTTAAATTTGTATCGTTGTACAATTGTACATGGTATTTGTATGTAGAACGGGTCATACGATGCGTCAGCTCGTCGGACTTAACATTATTATCGATATTTTGAACAGTGATTTTGAAACATGAATATTTTTTAATAAAACCGAATTGAATTACCTATTTCAGCATTTTTATTCGAATGAGTTCGATTGCAGTTACCTTTTGCTTCGGTTCCAAGTAATTTTTAAGTGGTTTGCTTTTTCTCAAGCAGAAGTCGAGTGTTATGAGGCTTATGAGAACGGTAATTTGTTTTTAGTCACGGCTTTGGCACGGTGCCGGTAGTCGCCGGCAGCGCCTCGGCACGGAGGCAATTAGGCAAAAATCTCACATTCTCACGATTCGCGCGAAGCGGATCTCATTGCCTTAAATATCATTGTCTAATTAAAAACGCGGGGGTCAAGTGTAATTAACTAATTATGAATCAGATAAATCGAGAAATCAGTGCTCTGTGGGAACGTCTTCAAAATGTCTTCACATGATAATAACAAGTGCTTCCCCCTACATACCGTTCCGCACTGCTGGGTTTGACCTCAGATAATTATCACAAGTTTATGCCGTCCGCCATTGTTCGGAGCTGAGATTTCAGAGTAATAAATGGGGTAAATATTTATGATATGTGCCTGGGAACCTGACGGTAGTTGGTTTTCGTTTGTAGATTGATTCGTCTCTTGGGTTCCGATCGATTTGAAACGATGGGCGAGTTGAGGTGCATCGGCGACGAGGCGTGACGAGTTGGTATTGGAAGGATCGTGGGAGGTGTAATTTGCAGACATGCAATCAGTGACGCCCGCGTGGAGAGACGTAAGAGCTGAGAGCTAATTGCAGCCTCGGAGATGCGTCTAATCTCGGAAAATCGCATGAAAAACATCCGAGATCTAATGATACAGTTTCAAGCAATCATAGGACTTCCCTGTATCCTGTTTGTTGATGTCATTTCCGTATCTTAATTATCTTACATCAAGAATTAACCATTAATGAAGACATTTGAATAACAATTAAGACTTGATGTTGTCTTTTGAACTATTTACATAAGTGGTGTGGGAGTTTCTTTCCTTCTTATTTTTAGGACCAATCTGTCTGTAGAATGTCTCTTTATTCGTCAGATCTTTTACAATACAAGATTTCTACCCCAACTTCCATAATATTCTTCCATAACAATTCCATCTTGTTCTGTTTCATCGTCGCGGCGTCGTGGTTTCGTTGTTATTTTTCGTAAAGTAAGTATGTAAGTAGAAGTTGGTAGTAGGTATTCCGGAAATATAAAACTGAAAAGTCATAAATGAAACATTATGCTGCTTTGCAAGCTTCTAATCTAATAATCAAGGATGGGACGTAAATGCATAGGCCATAATTACATGTCAAAGCAAGGCGATCTGTTGTTTAATAATTCATGTTTATTGATGAATCGATCTCCCTCTATTCCATACCCATTCCCCGCATTACATACAATGTATTTCTAATATTATTATAGATACAAATCTAAGTAGATTTTCAAAACCTCCATTTCATAGAGTTTGAGCTTAACTGCTACTATTTAACGTATCAATTAAACAAAAATACACATCTCGTGTATTCTGATAAAAATAAATAATAGGATTTATTTAGATAATATTATTTATGATGGACATTTAGATACTACACATAACAGTAGATAATCACAGGTAGTGCAAGAAACACAAAAAATAAGAAATGCAATGCGAATGCAATAGGACCCTAATCAACATTTATTAAGTCGTGCGTAACCCACGCCACGGTGACGAGGTCCACGACTCTAGTTTTCAGTATGCCAGCCAGTAGTAGTCATAGTCAATTCATAAATATAAAATAGGGTCTGTAGGAATTTTACGTACCTACTACGTATTTAGATTTAGACAAAACTATAGCGAGTCCGGTATACGAACTACTTTGTGTCGAGTCCCATGGAATCTTCAAGTCTTTTAGCAGAGGAGACAACAAAAATTGAAGGAGCTGCAAATAATGGAAAAATGAAATGGTGATTTCCTAAGTACGTTGGTAATTGGGCTCGTAATAAGTCTCTAAAACTTTTTTATGAGAGCAACGTGGGATATGTATGTAATGTATGCTCACCTTGCTTACCATCTGCCTAATTAATTAAAACTGGTCTCGTAGTTATGCTGGTTCGTCCTGTACCTCTAGTACGAAAAACTTTCGAGTTCGTTTCGTTTGCGTATTCAAAGTGTCATCGAAAAATTTTGTATGAAAAATTAAACAGCGCCCCCTAGGGCGGCTATAATATAGGGGGCGCTGTTTAATTTTTCATACAAAATTTTTCGATGACACTTTGAATACGCAACGAAACGAACTCGAAAGTTTTTCCTACTAGAGGTACTGTACTCTACTACGAGTTTTATTTTATTTGGTTCACAATCTGAATGTCTCGCTTTTTTTACTCTTCTACCGTATGGGTTGCGATCTCATTATTATAGGACATTACGAGATTGATAGGTAACTAACATGGCTCAATCGCACCGAACGAATTTAGAATAATCACGTTGAAAACCTGTAACGTCCCGTCACGTGTAAGGAAGGTAAAATGTAAAGACACCTAAGAATCACACTAGCTAGAACCTCTTAAATGTTCGTCCGTACTACAAGAAAACGCCTTAAACTCTCAATTACAAGCAGGTTGAATTTCAATATTTAGAACAATCCTGGGACAGAATGTATGATTAAAATTTAATCTAGCGTTAAGCAATTATTTGTAATATTATGTACTAGCTTAACGACCGTATTCACAAACATTACTATGAGGTCTCACAGTGCGCGTGGACGCACAGGGTGACACATGAACCAATCACAGAGCTCTATTCAACGCTGTGCGTTCTATTTTCTGCTTCACTTAAGCAAGCATCGTTTGTGAATACGGACGTAAGAGTCGAGAGAAACCAACTCTAATAACTGCACCACGGAGACGTTTGCAAACAATACTAACGCACCTATGCAGCTGAAGATTCACAATTTAGTGAACATGATATTCCTAAGTAATATGTTTTCACACATGTTTATGTAAATAAATATCTTTATCTTTTTAAGGTTATTGGGAGAGTTAGAAGGCATTTGCAAGAAACAAACAAAGCAGGCAACTTAAAACAGGCAGGCTACATTTTTTATTCGTTTGTACTGCCACCTGAAAAAAATAATTTTAGTGCAATTAACAGAACTCGACTTATCGTATCCTATTTTATAGGCCGCGCACACAGTTTTTAGGATTCTTGCACATACATTACGGCGGATTAATGGCAGCACTGAACAGCAATGTCTATAGCTCTATTTCTCGTTGTTAGAATAGTTATCTAAGTAGTATGTTCTCAGTCCAATAAATTAGAATCAGTTTTAATTCAAATTCTTTCCAAGTTTGTAGGCTCTTTTCAGGGTCCTTAAACACGTTCCTAATAATATAACTAACCCTACCACCACTTCGGGGCAACATATCTGCTGGTGCTGAAAAGAGCAAGGCAATTTAAATATGTATTTATAATTTCAAACTCTACCAGCCTTGCTTTCAGCTGTAAAATCACGTTATTACTATCTCTATAATCTTACAGATCATATAATATCCTGTTGTAAATCCTCACCAGATTAACTCTCAGCGCAAACACCTCACGGATAGCGTGACTGCCTTCAATTATTTTTTATCCATGACGTGCTAAAGAAAATAATGACGTGAAAACCTACAAGAATAGGACGTAACCATTCATTCATGATGCGACAAAAAGTGTTATTATTTCCATAAAAAGTTTCAGGATATCGCCGCATCCTGCTGCGAGGAAAATGAGGGGAAACCACACTGATGATCGAACCGATGATAGTATCAGGTCTTCCAAAACAGTTATACCCGGAACAAATGTTGGTCATTTACCTGCACTAATTAAACTATGGAGCGATTAAATCTTAGTGGGGACTGTGAGAAAGCTATGTGCACACAATTGAATCATTGTCTGCTTTTTTACATTCTGCCGGCTTGATATATGGAGCCAAGATATGCAGAGTGTGGGAAAAGTCGAGCGCGCTCGTGTTTTCCACCATGCCATCCCCGACCGTGGGAGCGTATGGCAGATACCCAATTTCAGTTTACCAATTAAAAATCATATCACGGCACAATTGTTCTACTCTAATTCAATCAGCTGCTTCTTTGATGATGAGTATGACGCTGGTCTCATCTTTTTGCTGACTCGGTATTCTCATTAATCTGACTGGCTCTTATGACATTTGTTCCCTATGTATATCGGACTTGCCAATGGTTTTGGGTCTGGTTACATTTATTTTTAATATCTGGTTGCTATCTCCTTCAGACCTTTATGTAGAGTCTCGTAGTGGTGCCTGGACGATCAGTGTTTTGGATAGGAACCTCCTTGCACAACGCTGCCCATAGTTCGATTTGGAACTGGTGAAGTTTGAGTTACCTTACGAATTTTTCGATAACAAGCGCTTTTCACCCACCCAATCGTCATACATAATGTTTGTGAAAGGTCTACTCGTAGTAAGTAGTCAACTACCTACGTAGCAGAGCCATGCCACGTATCTCCTTTTTTTTACTAAGTTTATTATTGTTCAATTTATCCAGTTTCCGTACCCATATTTGCTGTAGAGCGAACATGTTAATAATGTTTTGTGTTGCTGTTTTATCGTCTAACCCAGCAGCTAAAGTACGTTCATTTGAGATGAATGGCAGATGATTGTTGCATCAGCAATTATGTCTCTTGTGTGACGCAAACTGCTGCATAACCACACGGTAGTGTCTGAGGATTTGTGCTCGTATACCCTATTTTTATCTAGCAATTAGCATCGGTTATGTAAGAATTCGTAGCTACAGATTTTCGAAATTATATCATCTGTAGTTGCGAAATTTTTCAAGAAGAAAACATCTCGTGTGTTGTCTTTTCTATGTCATCCATACTGCACTGTCTGTTGGCAAGATTAAATTGAAAGGACAATAGTTATTTGAAACCATACCTATGTTGTATCAATACATAAATATTCCTATCCTAATCTTGCTTAACTGTGTAAGTATATTTCTTTGTTGGCTTCCTTTGCGAAGCTTTAATTGTTTCTATGATTTATTGTCCTATAAATAGATTTAATG